CGCGATGAGGTGAAGGTCGAAGGGGCCCATCCTTCCTTTGAGCCTACGGTGTTGAAGTAGCCAGCGCTGTAGCCTCCGGTGAAAGCACCGTGAAAGCGCTTGCGGCCCTGCTCATCGCGAGCATCTTGCTTCCATACAGGAACATAGGAACCATCGTCGCGAGTGTCGGAGTCCAGAGGGGGAAGGGGTGTGCCGAAGAGGGCAAACTGCGGAACTTGGTCGCTCTCAAAGTTGTCTCTTGATCTCTTGTATGACATGTTCAGTATCTGTTTGCATTGTGTCAAGCATTAAGATAACCCCACGAGAGATCGCGGCACTTACCTACGTCACGGCATGGAAGGTGGTTCGTTCAGTCGAACCTGTCAAGCCGTTTGACTCTGATTCTGGAGTTCGCGGAGAGGATCAGCGGGTTGGCATTATTGTCATTGAGTCAGTTTCACGAAGACATGAAGAAGGGCCCTGGCCACGAGATATTCTGTATCTCGTCCTGGACGTGCAGCAATAGTGAAAAGCTGTCAGGCATCAATTACAGTAGCAACGGTAGACGAGTGGTCTGTCAGATCCTGGCATCTGCAGTCCAAGCGAACCAAATCGTGGCTTCTGACACGGACAACCTCTCCGCAAACAACACCATGCTTACAGTACTTGACATCCTCCTTTCAATACCTTGCCCGCCCCAACACTCGTCGTCGATCGCGACATAACTGCTCACGTTGTTGAACCTGCTCTTCGCAAGGAAAGCGCGAGTCACACTTCTGCGCCAAACGCGCCTGCCAGCGACAAGCTCCTTCCATAACAACGACAACACTCGCTATCGAGCCACATCATTTGATCCACTCGCCCTCACATCCAGGCGGTAGCGCAGTGCCCCGCTTGCGCTATGTCTGTTCCCGATACGCCAACCAGCATCCGCCGCCAGCATATGCAACAAGCGCCTTCCTCAGAGCGGCCCTCAACAACACCCGCCCGCTCAGAGATCCCTCCGTCTCCTCGTCGTCAACCTTCGCAGTCAACTCACGCTCGCTCAGCATCTGCCTCGGCTGCCCCCCAGCTTGCAAGTGTTGCCAGAAACGACTATGAGCAGTCAAACCTAGCACAACAATCTTCCTCTTCTCGGCATCGCGCTGACGCGCCTGCTCGCTCCGACTCGACGCGAAACGCCGCTTCGGCCAGTCAGTCAAGATACCACACTCAGGAAATGCCTTCCTCTACTTCAAATGGCACTCATGCTGTCCCTCCTTCTGCGACTAACGTCCGTCGACGAACCACCATCGATGCTACTACCGGGCACTGGGACCTTGGAAAGACAATCGGTGCCGGAAGTATGGGAAAAGTAAAGCTGGCTCGCAACAAGGAGACTGGTGAACAAGTGAGCACTCCCCCCACCATCTACATCTCCACGTTCGCATGCTAATTTCTGCNNCAGGTCGCTGTCAAAATCGTCCCCCGACAGTCCACTGACGAACACCGCAACGCTCAAGACCGTGAAAGGGCCGACCATTCCAAAGAAGTACGCACCGCCCGCGAGGCTGCTATCGTCACTCTGGTGGATCATCCTTACATCTGCGGTATGCGCGATGTTGTCCGTACAAACTACCACTGGTATATGCTGTTTGAATATGTCAACGGTGGTCAGATGCTTGACTACATCATCTCTCATGGTCGTCTGAAGGAGAAGCAGGCGCGTAAATTTGGTCGCCAGATTGCAAGCGCCCTCGACTACTGCCACCGCAACAGCATCGTGCATAGAGATCTGAAGATTGAGAATATCCTCATCAGCAAGACTGGCGATATCAAGATCATTGACTTCGGCTTGAGCAACACCTTTTCTCCCAAGGGCCTCCTGAAGACCTTTTGTGGTTCCCTCTACTTCGCCGCACCTGAGCTTTTGCAGGCAAAAGCTTACACTGGCCCCGAAGTTGATGTCTGGAGTTTCGGTATTGTCTTGTATGTTCTCGTCTGTGGCAAGGTTCCATTCGACGATCAGAGCATGCCACAGTTGCATGCCAAAATCAAGAAGGGAGCAGTAGAGTATCCACCTTGGTTGAGTGCAGGTGTGTCTTGGTTGCCTTTTTCTCTTCGCTGGATTGTACTGACTTGAGTTTAGNAATGCAAGAACCTGATCGCTCGCATGCTTGTGACTGATCCCGCGCAACGCGCTACTCTCGCGGAGATCATGGTCCATCCCTGGATGACGAAAGGATTCGGTGGCCCTCCCGAGAATTACCTGCCTCCTCGTAAGCCACTACAACTCCCACTAGATCCGCGGGTCCTCCAGAAAATGGATGGCTTCGATTTTGGCACCGCAGAATACATCGAGCAGCAGCTCACCAAAATCATTCAATCTGAGGACTATCAGAAATCTGTGGTCGCAATGGAACGTCGTCACCAGTCCGGCATCTCAGACTCGCAGAACAAGCAAGGTAGCATGTTCGATTTCTACAAACGACGAAAGTCTACGACAAGTCGCGATACCCTCACCGGGCCCTCATCCGAAGCTGTTCAGCTGGGCACTGATCCTCTGAATGCTTACAACCCACTACTTTCCATATACTTCTTAGCCAAGGAGAAGATCGAGCGGGAAGAGAGGGAAACCAACCCAGGCGCTCTAGCTATCCCACGCTCGCCTGGAGAGAAGCCATTGCAATTGCCCGATCTCCAGCCACCAGCGGCTGCTTACACAAACACTGCTACTTACGAGATGGCTGGGGAGGCACCGACAGGAGGAAGAAGTCGTCCTCGTGCTAGAACACATGGCGAAGACGAGTTGCAAGAAGACGCAAAGAAGGCCAGGTCTACCAACCGCGTGCCACCAGTGCCATCGCCTGCCATTGTTCTTCCACCACCTGAACACACGCCGGTGAAGAAGGAAAGCGCTGCCGTGGGCCTTCTGCGCAGATTGAGCACTAGACGGCACAAAGACCCCGAGAGGCCAGCCCCCGCAGCGACTAACGATGCCTACACTACACCAAGGAAAAGCTTCAGCATGAGGAGACAGCGAGATCCAAGCGCCAACAGACTGCAGCCAGAGCCTGTTGTCGAGAAGCCAGCAGACCTACTCACACCGACGCCCGAACGCACTAATTTAGGCCGTTCTACCAGTGTGAGCGCTGCTGAGTACAACCGCGACAACACTCGTCGGGGTGTCTCTGAGGGTTCAAGCGCTCGTCCAGCAGCGATGACTCCTCAGCCAAGTAGACGTGGCGACAGACAGTATGGTGATGCTTCCTCGGACGCCGAGGCCTCGGGGTCCAGAACGCTGCCCCTCACCTCAAGAACTAAATCGATGGGCCACGGTCGCAAGGAAAGCTTCCAAGCACGTAGAGCTCGAAGAATGGACAATCGCACCGAAGGCGTACCGGAAGAGACGGACCAGGACCTCCAAGAGGTCGAGGCATCTCGTTCAGCTAACAGCGCCAGCGAGAGCCCGAATGGCATTAAGCCAGTCTACCTCAAGGGCTTGTTCAGTGTATCAACGACCAGCTCAAAGTCTCTAGCTGTGATTCGTACAGACATCATCAGAGTCTTGAAACAGCTTGGTGTCGAGTACCGTGAGATCAAGGGTGGATTCAGTTGTCGTCACGCTCCCAGCATCGATATGGAAAAGCCAAGGGACGATCAAGCAGCGGCGGGATATGGAAGTCACAGACGAAAGATTAGCTTTGGTGGGCTGATGGGAGGAGGCAACGCCGAGCCAGCTACACCAACACCTCCGCGTCCCCGACGTGACAACAGTTACACCGCCAGCGACAGTTCTGACGATGATGAGGAGAGAAGGGTTCGTGGCCAGCAGCACAACCGAGCGGCCGGCGAAACATCAACACACGTGCAGACCGATCTTGGTGAGGGCATGGTTCTCAAGTTCGAGATTTTCGTGGTGAAGGTACCTTTGTTGAGCTTGCATGGCATCCAGTTCAAGAAGGTGGATGGAGGCACTTGGCAGTACAAGAACATGGCACAAACCATCTTGAACGAGCTAAAGTTGTAAACAATGATGAGGGAAGGAGGTGGAGGTAATGGAAGGCACAGGCACAAGATGGCATACTAGGCGTTCTTGCAGGCAAAGAGGCGTTTGGATGAAGATGAGGCAGACAGATTTATGGGCTTAATCATCAGAGCCCTTTGGCTCCAGAAGCATGAATATAATGTAAACAGAGGCTGAGATCTCGATTACGAAGCATGTGTATTTCGTCGATTCATCTTGTCTCGGCAGCAGCAACAACAACTTCGTGTTGGCCCGCTTCACTCACTCCACGAGCAACTGCCTTGCACACGTTTTCGACGGCTACATACAGGACATGAGGCCCAGTGAAGCAGATGGCACTGACGGCGACTTGCATACGCGCACAGACCATTCAGTATGGCCGGATAAGCTTCGCGGGCCGAGCGGAGTCGAGGAAGCGTGTGCATCGTGCCTTCCTCAAGGCTCACAGTTACTCTGACACTCAGTCATATCGTAACAGTCGGCCGCTCCTTCTCGTCTCGTCGTCTCGCGCTCCTTCTACTCGTCGCCTTCGAAGCCAAACCGCTCCAATCGTTCAATCTGTCTACATTCACCACCCGCGCAGCCAAGATGCTGCCCTCACAGCACGTCTTCTCGCATCAGCACCAGCATCAGCATCAACACCATAACCAACACCAGCAGCATTATGCGCCCCAGGAATGGCAGCAGCAACAGCAACAGCAGCAACCCCATCACCACCAGCAGTCACACCACGGTCTGCAGCAGCAACACGCCCAAGCCCAGGCACAAGCCCAGGCTCAGGCTCAAGCACAAGCCCAGGCTCATGCACAAGCTGCCGCCGCCGCTGCTGCAGCAGCTGCTGCGCAACAACAGCACTACAACCGCATCGCTGTGAACAACGTCGCTTCAGCCGCCAACATGCCGCCCTCCCATGAGCATCAGCTCCAGCTGCAGTCGAGTGACGGCGCAGTCAGTGACGAGAACCGTCGCGTACTCGAGTGGATTGCCCAGATGATGAACCCTCAGACACGTGAAGGTGCTCTGCTCGAGCTGAGCAAGAAGAGGGAACAAGTTCCCGAATTGGCTTTGATCTTGTGGCACTCGTTCGGTATGTACCCCTATGTCAAGCGTAACTGATCAAGGCGCTGACCCGAGCTAGGCGTCATGACTTCGCTCCTTCAAGAGATCATCTCCGTCTACCCCTTGCTGAACCCCTCGCAACTCACCGCTGCTGCTTCCAACCGTGTCTGCAACGCTTTGGCTCTGCTCCAGTGTGTGGCCTCGCACGGCGAGACTCGTGGCCTCTTCCTGGGCGCCCATATCCCACTCTTCCTCTATCCCTTCCTCAATACGACATCCAAGTCGAGGCCTTTCGAGTACTTGCGCCTCACCTCTCTTGGTGTCATTGGTGCTCTGGTCAAGAACGACAGTTCCGAGGTCATCAACTTCCTCCTCACGACTGAGATCATTCCGCTCTGCTTGCGTATCATGGAGACGGGTAGTGAACTCAGCAAGACTGTCGCCATCTTCATCGTTCAGAAGATCTTGCTCGACGATCTTGGCCTGCAGTACATCTGTCAGACTTACGAGCGATTCTACGCTGTTGGAACTGTCCTTTCCAACATGGTCAACCAGCTGGTCGAGCAACAGACAGTGCGCCTCCTTAAGCATGTCGTGAGATGTTTCCTCCGGTAAGTGACTCTCCCAGTTCTTCGGCCACCGCCTCTCTGACGACCACTACAGCNNCTCAGTGACAACGCCCGTGCTCGTGAAGCTCTCCGTCAATGCCTGCCCGAACCTCTCCGCGATGCTACCTTCTCCTCTGTGTTGCGTGACGATGCCGCAACTAAGCGTTGTCTGGCACAACTGCTCCTGGCTCTCTCGGACCAGGTTGTTGATCCCTCGCAGCAGAATCAGCCTACTCTTCTTCCTTGATCCGACCATTCTTACCACACCTACCATTCTTGTCCAATCTTTGACGTCACATCTTTGTTGGCTTCCGCTACTGCTCTTATACCCAACCATCGGTTACAAACACGAAGATACGCATAACATGCTCCGAATTTTCTATTAGCACCCTCTGGACTCGACAAAAGCAGTCTCGATTTTCTGGAAGGGAAGCAAGATACTTTCCAGCGCTACACAACTGTACCTATTCATGCTCAACATGGCTTTTGGGGAGGATGTCTCATCTGGATCTTTCTCTTACCCTTTCTAGGGATTTGTTTTTTCTCTTTATTCTCTATACCAATCTGTTGTTGTAGTAGTAGTGGTACTTTTCTTTTACTTTTGCGAAAGGAAAGGGCGGCGGCGGCATGCAAGGGAAAAACAAGGAGTTCATATCGGCATTCTATCTCTTCTTTTCAGCTGCACAAACACGAAAATCCGGAAAGACTGGGAGGGGGGGTCACGGGCGTTTTTCCAAGAGGGTGCCAAAAAGGAGTTTGTGATTTTTCTTTCTTCTTATTTTTCTGCATAGCACTGCGATCTTTCATCCCTTCCATCCATCCCCACGCGAATGAATTCACCATTGTTGTATGACTCTGTTTTTCTTACACATACCCCCTTGTTCTCCTGTCTCCTTTAGCATACCTATAAAAGCATTATTGTTACCCCTGTCTGATCTCTCATGCACAACTCTGAGGGTAAAATGTATCTCTTGTGACGATTTCCTGGTTATTTACGCTGCTGCTCTGCGAGCCGAAAGTCTTGCTGGTTCTCTGATTGTTGGATTTCCAGCCTATGGTATCTGCTTGAGCAAGTGAAGTGTTGGTGGTTCTTGGTATGGCTTGTGTTGGCTCGTACGACAAGCATATGTTGCTCTCGTCTTCGACGGTTGCTAACATGTCTGCCTACCGAAGTGGGCATACAACTCTGAATCTCCGTCCTCATTATTGCATGCTGAATCACTTTGTGTTGATAGCCGTCTCCATGTGCAGCTTGATTTGAACAAAGAAGAGACCGAAAGTGTGAAAAGAGGAGCTTTTGGTGATTACAAAAAGACAAGGGCTTTCATTTCAGACTCGCTAGGCGCCCAATGCTCGGACATTGACTTGGTTATCGTGGAAAAAGAACAAGAGTAGAAAAAGAGGATCCAAGCGCTTCCCCCTCTCGGACAACGTGAATACGAAATTAGAAGTTGGTCGTTTGCTCAACCAACATCTTACTCCTCGGCCTCCATGGGAGCCTCCTCATCGTACTCCTCCTCACCCTCGGAGATCGAGGCCTCCTGGTACTGCTGGTACTCGCTGACCAAGTCGTTCATGTTGGACTCAGCCTCAGTGAACTCCATTTCATCCATACCCTCACCAGTGTACCAATGCAAGAAAGCCTTGCGACGGAACATGGCAGAGAACTGGTCACCGACACGCTTGAACAGCTCCTGGATCGAGGTCGAGTTACCGACGAAGGTAGACGACATCTTGAGGCCACGAGGAGGAATGGAGCAGAGGGCGGTCTGAACGTTGTTGGGGATCCACTCAACGAAGTAGGCGGAGTTCTTGTTCTGGACGTTGCGCATCTGGTCCTCAACCTCCTTCATGGAGACCTTACCACGGAAGATGGCAGAGCAGGTCAGGTAGCGGCCGTTGCGGAAGTCGGTGGCGGCCATCATGTTCTTGGGGTCGAAGATTTGCTGAGTGAGCTCGGGAACCGAGACGGCGCGGAAGGAGTGGGCGTTGCGGCTGGTGAGGGGAGCGAAACCGACCATGAAGAAGTGGAGACGGGGGAAGGGGACCATGTTGACGGCGAGCTTGCGCAAGTCGGAGTTGAGCTGACCGGGGAAACGGAGCGAGACGGTGACACCGGACATGACGGCCGAGACGAGGTAGTTCAGGTCACCGTAGGAGGGGTTGTTGAGCTTGAGGGTGCTCATGCAGATGTCGTAGAGAGCCTAACACGATTAGTCTAAGAAGCGGTGTAGAAAGACAAGGCCGAAACATACCTGGTTGTCGATACAGAAGGTCTCGTCGGAGTTCTCGACCAGCTGGTGGACGGAGAGGGTAGCGTTGTAAGGCTCGACAACGGTGTCGGAAACCTTGGGCGAGGGCATGACGGAGAAAGTGGCCATCATACGGTCGGGGAACTCCTCACGAATCTTGGAGATAAGGAGCGTTCCCATACCGGCACCGGTACCACCACCGAGCGAGTGAGTGATCTGGAAACCTTGAAGGCAGTCACAGCTCTCGGCCTCACGACGGACGACATCCAAGACCTGGTCGACCAACTCGGCACCCTCAGTGTAGTGACCCTTGGCCCAGTTGTTGCCAGCACCGGACTGACCGAAGACGAAGTTGTCGGGACGGAAGAGCTGACCGAAGGGACCGGCACGGACGGCGTCCATGGTACCGGGCTCCAAGTCGACGAGGACGGCACGGGGNACATACTTGTTACCAGAGGCCTGTGGTGTGCGTTAGCATCCGAGTAGTGAAGGAAGGGCCGACGGGTGGTGACTGACCTCGTTGAAGTAGACGTTCATGCGCTCCAGCTGGAGATCCGAGGTACCGTTGTAGCTTTGAGGCAGTCAGCGAGCCGTCACCATTTGTGAGGATGCGCAGAGGGGGTCGACGTACACACCAGCACCGTCAAGGCCGTGCTCGCCGGAGATGGTCTGCCAGAAGGCGGCACCGACTTGGTTACCCTGTTTGCAGAGTCAGAAGCGTGGTTCTTGGGGTCAATTGGAGCTCATTGCAGGTAGGCATACGCATTGGCCGGTCTGGAGGTGGACCTGTAGGAGAAAGACGTTAGCAACAAAGCTCGTGGTTGCGCAAGCGACAGCAGGGAGTACACACAATCTCACGCATGGTGACTGTGATGGATGAGCGATGAAGAGGTCTGGAGGGTGGAGATGCGGTGGTCGAGGAGATTGTCGGTTGGCAATGGGCGTGGGAAGGGATTCAAGGGGAGGCGGTAGGCAGGAGGAAAGCACCGAGCGCTCCTGCTTTGGATTTCTCTTGGCGCCCAAACATCAACAATCGGCTGCTTCCGTTGCATACAGCCGCCGCGACCCTGCCCTCGCTGTTTCTACCATCCATTCACTCGATCACGCATCCAGCTCTGCTTTCACTATCTTCATACTATTCCAGACTGTTCTCCAGAGCTATGTGGACTAGCTGGTGTAATATATGTCACTAGGCCTTGTGCCTGCCCTCCCGTTATTCCTGACATCGGTTTTTAAGCTTTCCACGTTTGAACAACTCCTACCGCCTGCCCCATTCATGTGCCTATCTACTTGTACCTCTCATCATCGACGTTACAGTTCGTACCTTTTCCCTGTTTCACATCAGGCCTGTCCCGTGACACACTACAGCTTTTCTTGGGGCAAAACAAATTGAACACCTCGTCAATATCATGCTCGACCAGCAGCCCCTATTGCACGAATCTATACGAGCAACGCAATCTACAGAGAGACCGCTTCTTGCTCACTGACCACTTCCTCATATCTACTTTTGCCTCCTAATCTCGCCTGGCTTTCCGAGCACACCAATGCGTGTGCCAGCTAAAGTCGATGTAGGTCGGTCATATCGATTGTCGGGGAGGACGGTTCTTCTCTCCAAGACAACGGCGGTGCAGACCTCTACGCGCCACAACCATCATCTTTCATCTGTCGTTCGACAATGACATGTCTTCATCAGGCTGCCCGACTTTTGCAAGCTGCCTGACGATTTCGAGCAGCATTTACGGACAAATCGTCAGTTTAGGGCAGCTCAATCTTGTCATTGAAGATTGGTCCGACCGCACTCAGGGTCGTGGATCGGAGTGCTTGAGCCACGTTGGTCCAAGCTTTTGGTTGCTTGGTTGGTTGTGTTGTTAAGTGCAAATAAACCGTCATGCCTATCTTTCGTACTTCGCTCCAGAATACCTTACCTCCACGTCGTTATACTCTCGTTTCTCTCGTTGCACTATTGATTTCTCTGTTTTGATAACGATTCTCTCTCTTTTGCTATATCTCTTCTAATCATCCTGCGCCCGCCATCAGTCTTCCTCCTACAAGCTGACCCAAGACGAATTCGATATCCCTGTCTTCTGGCTCGCCATGGCTTTTGAAAACAGTGACAACCACAAAGATCAACAACTGGGTCAGCACATTCATTTTTCTCCTCCCAAGCCACCACACTCTCCAAAGAAACCCTCACCACTTAGACAATGCCAACGCCTCTCCTCTATACCCGACTATGATCAAATCAGCAACTTGAGCTTACACGACGAAGATTCAGCAACTTACTTACAAGATATTCGAAATAACCGCGTCGCACGACTCAATGGCTCGAGGCCGCCTCCGCCGTCGAGAATAGCAAGCAAGCGCCAGCAGCAGCGACCGACTTCCAGCGACGACTCTTTCCAGGCCATCACTAACACACCAGTTCCGACCACCTCGCATACCCGTCAAAAGAGCTTGGATTCCATTGACCGTGGCGAGTTCGTCGGTCGCCCTCTTGTATCGCAACCCGGGCCTTCCAAGGTGGCCAAGCCGTCATCTTTGGTCGCACAACCCATACACGAGGCTATAGAAGAGTTGAACCTGGATGAAGAACAACGCATACATGCAGCCGCCCAGGACGAGGCTGCTGAGCTAGTTTGGAAGCATCGCACTGGTCACGACCCTGAGAAAGAGCGTGCTTCTGCATACACAAATCCAGACGTGGACTCCAAAGCCGCGCGAAAGGACTACCGTGCCCATCTTCGCACCACAAGCAAAGACAGAATCGAAAGCCGTCCTCTCGCCACCAATCGTCCGGCAGTGAATGGTTCACCGATCGCGTCTCCCGAAAGGCCTAGCACCAGGGCTATCCCCGACGATCCTTTCGTCGAAAGTACGCCTGTCTCTACCCCTATCCCTACACCTCGAAGCACGCGTTCAAAAGGCAAAAGTTACGAAGGACTCGCAAACGCCGTGGCAAACGATGTCGCAGTATCAAAACGACGTGTAAGCAGTGGGTCCAAACGACGACCTAGCGCAGATGTCAAGGCCGGGTTTATGAGCCCCACCGACAGAATTTACGAGGAACCGGACGAACAACTGAAGGAAGCAAGAGCTGCAGAAGTGCAAAGAGCGACAGCAAAGGTGGAAGCAAAGTCCGAAGAGGTTCCACGTCACGTTCGCAGGAACCCTTTTGCGCGAGTGAGATTGGCACAGGAGAAATTCGAGAAAAAGAATCTCCCTCTGGCTACTCAGTCAAGAAGACCGACGATAAAGAGTCCATTTCTGGCTACACGGCAAAGAAGCATGAAAAGANTTGAGATCCAGAGAAATCCACCTTCGCAATCCCGCAATGCTTTCTACACGGTCAACAATTCTGTGCCAGCCTCACCCAATCTTCCACCTCAAGAGATACCCGAGAAGGCTGTAGAGGACAGCCCAAAGATAAAAGATGGCAAAGAAATACGCAGCGACGACATACGCTCTGCAACCGCCATGAAGCGCAAGGACAGGAGCCCCAATCTACCCCAACCAACCGCAGTCAGCGACAGTCCTGGCAGACCTATTGTTAGTTTCCAATCAGGGTGGAAGCCCAAGGAGATCCAGTTGGTTGAGGAGAAACCGATTGATCTCCCCAACTCTCTGGCCGTAGGGAAGAATGCCNCCTCCGACGCTGCTTTGAGTGGAAAGCAGAGACGTTACTCGCTGCCACGTTCTCAGCAAGGCCCACCTCCAATTCCTACAATCATGACTCCGGACGAACCAGCAACAAGATCAAGCGAGCTACCTGGTACTATGCCCACGATTTCGGTCCTGACCGCTGACATTCCGATGATTGTCGTCCCAGACGATCCTGTCTCAAGCCCGTCCAAGACACTTTCTGAGGAGCCGGACATTCCTGGGATAAGTCTGTCTTCTGGCACTGTGAAGCCTCCGGTCTTCGTCATCAACGAGCCTTCCAGTGTGAAGGCTGACCGACCACCACTGCTACAGCATCGTCCGCAGTCTTCGCCGCCAAAGACGTCTTCGCCCTTGTCGAAACGACCTCTCCCAACTCCTACACCTTCAGCTGCTCGCCCGCTTCCCATTCCTTCGAAGACGTCGCCGTTCCCAGCAGTGACTAAACCTCATATGACGCCATCTGTAAGGAGGAATACGGCATTGTGTGCCCATTGTGCATTGCCCATAGCAGGGCGCATCTTGAGTGCCGCAGGCGAGCGTTTCCATCCTTCATGCTTCAAATGTCATGAGTGTAGCATCAATCTCGAGTGTGTGGCCTTCTACCCGGAACCAGACAAGAAGCGAGCGGAGCGCTTGGCTCGCATCCATCAACGTCGACAAGGCATTGACGTTAATCTGCCTGCAGGTGTGACCGAAGATGATGTCAGAAGGCTAGAGGAACAGGACGGTGATGAATCGCTACGATTTTTCTGTGGACTAGATTTCCACGAGTTCTTTAGTCCACGTTGCAAGAGTTGCAAGACACCTATTGAAGGCGAAGTAGTCGTTGCTTGTGGAGCAGAATGGCATGTTGGCCATTTCTTCTGTGCACAGTGTGGTGATGTGAGTTGTCGCTTGTGGTATGCTTTTACTGCTGGCCTTTTGCTGACTCTTCTATAGCCTTTCGATTCGACGACACCTTTTGTCGAAAAGGACGGATATGCATGGTGTGTAGGCTGTCATACCAACAGATACAGCGCAAAGTGCCGTAAATGCAAACGCCCAGTCACGGAGATTGTGGTCAAGGCCTTGGGTTCTGACTGGCACGCAGACTGCTTCTGCTGCACGGTAAGTAAACCTTTGCTTGCTGGCTTGGACCTTGACTGACGATTGTCTAGGNAATGTGGTGATGGTTTTGATGACGGCAGATACTTCCTGAGAGGCAAGAACCAAGACCCCGTATGTGTAAGATGTGAAGAGCGGAGACTCAAGGCCTAGTCGAGGTAAGGTCTGGGATGAATTGACTACGAAACCCATTGCATTTTTTTTTTTTTTTTTATAGCGTTTGCGTGTTGACTTAGGGTGATGGGTAGGTGGGATCAGGTCTAAACTCTGGCGCAAGCATAGCAGAGGAGATGGTCCTTCTTGAGTACAAATGGTATATTTCTTCAATCGACCAAGCTCACAACCGTGGTGCATTTGGCTTTCAACATGATTATTTAACTCTGGCAGCCGTTGACTCGTGTGGGCTCTCCTTTTCGGCTTTCAGCCTCCTGTGGCTGATGATCCACTCTCCTTGTCCTTGATCAACAGCGATAGTTATTTGGTGTCTTAATTAACACAGTACCGACAGGTAGCGGTGTATGAGCTCATTCTCGAATCTCCGACTTGTCGTCGAATTGAGTCTCCTGTTCCTCTCTTCCTTTCCTTTCCTGCAGCGTCATTCTACCTAGCATTAGGCATATGTTTCAAGTCACAGACTAGGTAATTTCCTCAGGGTCAAAGCATCCAGCTAAAACAAATCTACCCCGTAGAGCACTGCACACAGTATTCAGTCAAAGAGCATCGACTGCGTGTGAGCGAGTTTCCATCGCTCTCGCTGTCCGGTGCTACGTAAGGTTCGTCCTCACAAGCAAGGAAGCCTGCAACTCGCTGACAGCCGGTATAGATAGACACGACACGGCTTCTCCTGCAACCACCTTCGCTACTCCCGTCGCTAGTCCTTGTCGTCGCAGCAGATCTGAACATGGTCTGTCAGGTCTAGAGGACTCACCATCGATACAATCGCGGACCGCTGGGCATCGGTGGTCCCTCAAGCCTGAAGAGATCCTTTCCACAACCGACGCTCCATCGGTCTACTACACGGCTCAAGATCCAAGTGTGCCCAGCGCCGAAGGCACCCCAGTCGCCTCGCAACGACACGCTACCAGCGAGAGTCCGTCCCCGAGCATCTCTTTCGGCCTCGAGCATCTCGTTCCGTCGCGCGTCGCCGTTCAAGGACGGGACTTCAGCCCTTCTTTTGGTCTCGACCATTTATTGCCGTCTCGCATACCCATCCAGAACCACATAGCAAGCCCAGTCACGACCGAGCGACTGGCCCTCCAGGAAGACACAGCACAGACAGTTGCACAGAGACCGTCGCGTCATACCATCACTCGTCGTCTGACTGAAGATTGGGTCCAACAGTACACCACTGGCAAGTGGCGCTCAGAAAGAGGAAATTGGTTGAGTGACGAGTCTGGTGACAGCAACTCGGACTCTGACGACGACGAGGAATTCAAGACACCTATCCCGTTCACCTGGTTTTCTGGCAGGCATCGTCGCAAGAACACATCTGCCAGTCCCTTGTTTGAGAGACAGCAAAGACCAGTATCGCACGACTCTTTCAGGAAAGGTCACAAGTCTAGAGAGGATAATTTGACTTTGAAACAGGAGGATTTTTGGCAATTCACACGTCGATTGAACGGGCCCGACATGTCGCTTTTCACATCCAGATGGGCTTCGTCGCCCCAGAAGGAGAAGCCTCTCNCCCCACCACCTGCATCACCAGGACATGTCAGATCTATGGGAAACAGTCCTCAGAAGAATGGCCAACTGCCAACGCTACCTTCCCCACCAAATTCAGATGGTCAGCGACCCACACCTCCACCACGACCGAGGACTAAATTGGCCTGGAGAGGAAAGGCTTGTTGGATTGCTTTACCTTCAATGGCCCCTGAAGCCTGCGGAGGCAACAAACCGCTGAGTATGAGCGAAACACAGTCACGTTTGAGAAACTTTGAAGAGGAGGGGTACAACGTGAACGGTTTCGATCTGGAGCCTTGGGCCTACCATGATTCGATCGTGTCACAGAGTAGTGGTCAATATCCCGATGATTCAGAAGATGTAATCAAGCGTCGGCAGAAAGACTTCAAGGTCTTCGTACCGAATCCGCAGACCTGGAAGTCCTACGTCGACGAGCTCATGGAGCAAAAGCTGCGTGCTTTGGGTGTGAGTTTGGGTGATGATCTTGCGCCCGCTCAACCACCACCTATGTCGAGGCAATCTTCTGGACATTACCAGTCTGTTTCGCCGAACATGATGCATGCAGCCATGGCTGCAGCATCGCACCGCTCTACGCCTTCGCTGGCCCACTTCCCTACTCCAGGACACTCCTACTCAGCATCTGTCGCCTCGCCTCTTTCCATGCCTGGCGACCCCCGAGGCCACGCGCATAGACACTCCGTATTTGGCATGCCGGGAATGCCATTCGGCTTCCNNCCCAATCAGCAGAACCAGCACAACGGACTACCAGCTTTCTCTCCTTCAACGGCAAACTTCAACATGAACGGACTTCCCAGAGGAGGGTCGCCTGCGCTGGAGAGGCTCAAGAGTGAAGGCCCACCAGCCAAATCTCCAATCTCGCCATACGGCATGCCTTCTCCCTTCGCTAGAAGTCCCCAGCCTCAGCTTGGTGACTGGCCTGGACAGGCCCACCTTAGACATCAATCAGTATTCTCGAGCTTCTCTCCTCAACCTCAAGCACAGAGAAGCATTACACCCACCCTCACTCCAGGTTCGGCAATGCGTCCAATCCCATCATTGGCCGAAGTTCCTGAGGATGAAGAAGAGCCTATGCAAGATTACTTTGCTGGTGCCACACCAAGACGTCAAACACGCAAGGATGTTGAACTTGCTCATCCCAGTCCACGACACAACCGAAACATCAGCGATGCTCTGGAGAGGGAAATTCAAGGATCCGATTATCATCTGGAGAAGTCCTTCGAGCGCCAGCTCCAGGACGAAGAAGACGCAGCCAGCAACAGTTTCATCAGTCAAACCTCTAGTAATGGTGCCTACGTGCCCCCTGGTAAACGCACATCTCTTGGACATAGTATGAACGGAACTGCTGGCCGTAAAGACTCACCCGGTCTCATCAACGGTCTAGCAAAGCCTGAAGCCAAGGACAGCCTTTCGAATACTGGGCTAGCTGGTGCGCTTCAGAACAAGACCACGAACAAGGCCAAGGGACATGTGTCAAGACTTAGTGTCGCCGCCCCCGAGTTCAAATTTCAACCAGGTTCTGCATTCCAGCCGACCTTGCCTAGCCTTCCCGGTCTGTCACACTTCGGTCCTCCCATTCACAACAATGTCACAAACCCATCCGCCAGTGCCATGGATATGTCGGCTACCGCTTTCCAGCCATCAGGACTCGGCGTTATGCCTTCATCCGACTTCGTCTTTGCTTCGTCGTTCCCCTTTAACCCTGTTGCTTCCGTCCAGCAACCCATTGCTCATCAAGCCCCTGTTCAATCCTCTGCTCCGAGCATCTTTGGTGATGTGGCCATACCCGAGGCTACCAAGCCAGTGAGAAGATCAAAGGCTGTGGCCATCACTCAACCGAAGGCTTCACCCGTCAAGGAAGAACTCGAGGTTGAGGATGAAGATGGTCGTGTAGTACAAAGCGAGGACAGACAGAAGAGAGCTCGTGTTGGTCAAAGTGATGGCGATGATGTGCCTCTCTTTGCCGAGCGGCCTGCGTCTCTCACTCGCCCGGATGTTCAAGAACCATCGAGCCTTGAACAAGAGAGGGCCTCAATTGCTCCTGAACCCGAACAACCCAAAGACCTCAAAGATGTGGCAAAAGATGACAAGACCAACTCAGCGACCACGAAAGAGCATGCTGCTAAAACATCGGCCAACATCGCCTCGGCGCAAGGCTTTGAGACTTTGACTAGGCTTCCCACCGCACGAAGCGAACAAGGTCATAAGAAAAACTCGAGCTCCTTATCAGCGCTCGCAAAACCCTTCGAATTCAAAACCCAAGGATCAATGTCAAGCAACCAGCCCATTGAATCTCTTCTTCGCAGTCCCGACCCGAATAAGACCAAACCCGACTTCAGTCCTGCGCGTGTCTTCTCACATACTACCGAGAAGACACAGGCACCTGTGGAAGACCTCGATTACGCTCCTTCACCTGAGCCACAGAAACATGCGCCCTACCCTGTTGATGACAATGAGGGAGCTCGATTCCCCGAGCCAACCTTTGATGAGATCGATGCTGTCATGCAGCAACTCAACGACGATGATGAGTATGACCATGTCCAGCAGGAGTTTGCTTCAGAGGTTGTCAGCCCCAATGCAAGCGTCATACATCACAGCCCCAGTCGAGATGATAGAGACCGCTCCATGTCTCCTCTTCCAACGCTGTCTAGAGAGCAAGTCAAGCTACGTCCAGCTCACATCAACCGTCTCAACCGTGGTGAAGAGATTCCTCTCAGCGAGTGGTCTGATGACCTTTCTGTCGATGAGGCCAGCAAGTTGCGCACTCGTAGCAATTTCTTCGACGATAGAGTTGACCAGATCGTTGGCGGTGTCATCGACCACCGCTTGGCGCCTCTGGAAAAGAGTTTGCAGATGATCCACCGCGCAGTGAGCACCATCATGACTCGAGAGCCACGACCGTCGATGAACCGTGCTTTGTCTGTGGACGATAGTGATGCTGATGATGAAGATGAAACCATCGACGAAAGATAACCCTTCCGTTCTGTGTCCCGCGCACAAGAACGAAAAGCAAGTCAGATCAAGGCTGCTGTACTTGAAGCATTGGCTTCACACAAGGCAAACGGTTCTCAATTCTCGTCTGCCACTGAGATCCAGAATGCGCTCATGGACATGAACACGACCATCGCTCGTATCGCCTCGTCCAACCTTGACATTGACGATGTCAAGCACGTGGTTGACGAGTCACTTCATCGCATGGGCCAGAATCTGACACCTGCACCGCCAGTGGAGAGTCCAGAAGTAACCCAGAGGCACAGACGAGAAGTCTCTGAGCTGAACAATAGGCTGAACAAGACACTCGCCGATGCACTGGAAGAAGCTAATCACCGTCGCACGGTTGAGGAACGTGAGGCTGACACTCGCCGACTACTTCGTCTTGCTGAAGAAGAGCTTTCTCTCCTTCGCAAGACCATGGGCGACAAGGAGCAGCGTATCCATTCTTTGGAGAACCAGCGCGAAGAGCTTGAGATCCGTGTCGATGCTGCAGAGGTCACTCACGTGCACGACCGAAAGCAGTTGTCGAACTTCGAGGCAGAAAATGCAGCACTCGAGTCTACTCTTGAAGAGTATCGTCTTTCAAGCACCAAGTGGAGAAACGAGGTCGACGAAGTTACTAGCGAGAACGAAGTCCTCAAATCCGGTACTCTCGAACTCAAGCTCCAGCTCGGAGAATCCCAAGAAACCATCAAGATGGCTCGCCAACAATTTGAAAATACAGCTGTTGAGAACGCCGCGCTCAAGATTAGCTCAGCTGAGCTCTTAGCACAGTTGGAAGACTCTCAAGCCTTTGGCAAACAAGCACGCCAAGCAGCTGATGATGCAGCCATCGAAGCTACAGCAATCAAGGCCAGTGCTGCAGAACTGATGGTGGAGCTGGAAGCATCGCATGCTGCCATGAAGCAGGTTCAAGAAACTGCTGACGATGCGATCGTTGAGAGCACGGCATTGAAGGCCAGCGTCACGAGCTTGGTCACCGAACTTGAGGATTCTCGTCTGTCTGCAAAGAAGTGGAAGCAAGAAGCTGAAGTTGCTACTCGCGATAACGCCAATCTCCAGGAAAGCATGTCTGACTTGAAGAATCAGATTGCAGATGGCCTCAACATTCGCGAGAACATGCGTAGCAAACTTGACAAGATCCACCATGGCATGATCTCGGCCGCTGAGCAATTAGCCAACGAAAAGGCGATATGGCAAAACCGCAACGAGGAGCTGCAAAAGAGATATGTTGTCTTGCAAGCTCGTCTAGAGGGTGAGGTTAGCATCAGACGTAGCATGGAAGAAGAGGTTCAGAGCTTGCGTACCCAAGTACACGAGGCTGTCACCACCAAGATTCAGCTCGAACAGCTGCAAAGATCCACCACGTTGCACGAAGAGACATTGAGAACGCTCAGAGAAAACCTCACATCAGAGCAGACGTTGAATGCTCGCTTGCAGCGCGATTTACACGAGTCCAGAGAGTCTGGAAGAGCTGAAGTTCAACGCACTCAAATGATAATGCAGTCCAGCATTGAAGCAGCCGAAAGTCAAGCCAACATCGTCCGTGCTAGCTTGGAGCATGAAGTCATGCTCGCCAAGAATGAGATTGACAACATCAAGATGGTCTCGGAAGCCGCTCGCGAAAGACACGAACGTTCGCTGGAGCAAGAGGCTGATCTCAGACGCGACGCTCTTCGCAAGGTGAACGAGACCAGCAGTTCTGCTCTGAACGATCTGCGTGAAAAGCATGCGGAAGAGATCAGATACCTCAAGTCACAGTACGAAAGAAGTGTCGCCAACGCCTATGAGGACAAGCAACGTTCTGCAGTCCATTTCAATGACAGACTGGAGCTGTCAACCGACCAAGTTCTGCACTTGCGTGACAAGGTCGCCCATCTGGAGGAACGTTTGAACGTCGCCAAATCTGCAGCACAGGCAGCTGCCTCCGCTGCTCAAGCTGCGAAGTTTACTCCATCAGCTACGCCTGCACCTACAGCTGTGTCGTGTGCATCGCGCGAAGAGCCCGAAAAGATCTCTCCCCAAGCCCTTCGCGAGTCTATCTTGGTACTACAAGAACAGCTCCAGGAACGCGAGACTCGTATCGAGCGTCTGCAGAACGAGGTCGCAAATGTCGACTCCTCGGCGCCTTCCAAGCTCAAGGAGAAGGAAGTCGAGATCTCCTGGTTGCGTGAGCTTCTGTCTGTCCGCAACGAAGATCTCAATCAGCTAGTTGATACATTGTCAAAGTCGGACTATGACAAAGATGCGGTCAGGGACTTTGCCATTCGCATCCGTGCCAACCTGCAGATGGAGCAACAAGAGAAGGAGCGACTCATCAACGCCGGCCCCTCGCTGACAGGCCAAGCTCTGGCCAACTTGACCAACTTTGCTTCACCCAAGGCAGTGTCTTTGGCCGCTGCATTCGGCAATTGGCGCAAGGGTAGGGAAACCTCGCGCCCCGCGTCTGTTCCTAAAGCTCCTGCTTCCAGAGCAACTCCCAGATCAACCGCTGCCGCCGCACGGTTGGCCAATGTCCGCACGCAAACACCTTCTAAACCAGCACCTCTAGCATCGCCATCTATCCTGTCTGGTCTCATGACTCCTCCCGCTACGAACTTCCGTCGCACCCCTAGTCCCGCTGAAGAGCCGAGTGGATCTCAGCGATCAAGCCTTAGCTTCTCCAATGGTCCACAGCAAGCCAACAGCGAGACGAAGATGAGCTACTTCGACACAAAGCCCAACGAGCAGGGCGAAGAAAGCCCCATGGTCTTCAGACGTCAAAGCTATGATGAAGATGCACAGCTTGGCGATGTCGATGCTGGCATGGGCGCTAACGACGAGGACGAGCAGAATACCGTTACCATGGACAATGACAAACAGCGCTCTCTTGATCAGACACCCGAAGAGCTGGTTGGCAGAAGTCTGGCCAACGAGCTAGAGGCAATGTAAGTTGTTATTCCTGGGACAATATCTGTCAAAAGAGATGGGGATATATTTCCCGGAGAGGCGTTTATATCCTATGTTTCTGTTGATTTGAATTCCTCGAAATTGTCATAGCATATTTTGATCTTGTACTTTCTTCTTTGCACCCTCCTTTGTCGCATTTGTTTCTGGCAGCGAGATACCCCATGGCGGCAGCAGACAGCTACGCGTTGTTGACTGGTTGCAATACTTGTATCAGTCTGGAAAGAAGCGGTGGTTGTAATTCTGGTCGTTCACTCTCTTTTCATATACATATAACCAAGCATAGTCATTGTACATATAGTCTCCTTGCCTGACTCTACCAGCACACGTTTGCACTCTTGAGGTACACGTTCTCTAAGAAGATTGGTTTTGTGATTGATTGTTTTATCAATAGCTTCTCCAAGCATGAGTGGTCCGCATCCCGTGTATTCCTTTTCTCAGCCCTTTTCAATACCGAAATTTGTGATAGTGCCAGTCGCAATAGAACGCCGCGCTTGTGGAATGATGTTTTGTGCCTGAGAAGTAAACGCCGGATGGTTGAGTGGATGTGGATCGAATGGTCGTTAAGACCTTAGTGTAGGAAGGGCGGGAAAACGCGCATGGTGATGGACGTGTCGGAAGTTCGAGATGGTCATGTCGGCGCGGACCTTACTGGAGATGGCGCGTGGTGTCGCGCGCAAGAAGAGATTTTGTGGTACAGACGGACGGGTAGTTTAGCGGGCCTCGAACTGGATCATGCTGCGACGAATGTCAGAGAGCTGAGCACGAACAAGGCAATCAACAGAAGACATACCGGTTGGTGCGCTGCTTGTACAGGACACGGTAACCGCACTCCTTGCAACGGATGGGGTCGCCGCGCTTGAGCGAGACTTCGGCATCGCAGTCACCGCACAGGTACTTGACGCTGCGGTTGGTGTCCTCGAAGGTGTTTTGGTTTGTGATCTGGAAGCCAGTGTTGTTGTTGGTCTGTTGTTGCGACATGATTGCGGTATGTGTGTGATGGGATCGATCGCTGTTGACGGCCAGTAGATGGACTTTGATGGATGATGGGCAAAGAAAGATGCGACTCGGCCTTGGCAGAGCTTCCGGACGGCGGAGAAGGCGCGGCGACAACGGCGGGCAGGGACTCGCGTGCCACTGCCGATTGCGTCGGTGGTTTCCATTTGCAATGCTGACCAACTGATTTATTTTCCCTATCGCTCTTTCCTTCTCCGCCTGCTTTGCCTTTTGATACCCGTGTTTTCTATGACTGTGTTTCTTCGAGCGTCGTTCTTTCCTTCTTAGCATCTTCTCTTGCTCCTTGTCTTCTTCAATTCCATTCCATTGCATTGCACTCGTAGATTCAACACCCCGCCTTCGCGACCCCCGCCACATACAAGGAATCGCAGACATGTCGGCCATTTTATCCGCCGACGACCTCAACGACTTTATCTCCCCCGGTGTCGCCTGTATCAAGCCTGTAGAGACGCTCCCGAAACAGCAACCAAAAGAAAATGCCTACGAAGTCACGACCGAAGACAAAGTCGCTGCCGCCGAAGCCCCACCAGCCAGCATTTCCTTGACCGATTGTCTTGCATGTAGCGGCTGCGTTACTTCAGCGGAGGCCGTCCTTGTTAGTCTGCAATCGCATCAAGAAGTTTTGAATACACTAGAGGCATATCCTGAACTACGCTTGCCTTGGACTGCCCCAGGCGAGTCCCTACCAGGTCCTTCGGATGGCAAGGTCTTTGTCGCAAGCGTGTCACCTCAGACCCGCGCCAGCATCGCCGCTACATATGGAGTCTCCGAGACCGCCGCTACAAACATGATTCAACAGCTTCTCTCTGGTCCAGCAGGTCTGCGATCGGGCGGCGCAAACAACAGCGGTTTCGCCTGGGTCATTGACACCAACATTATGCGTCAGGCCGCTCTGGTTGCTGCAGCCGACGAGGTCATGGACTCTTTGGCACCTTCCGCCAAACACACGTCTGACTCTAGTGGATCGCGCGCCGAGAAGCCCAAGAAGCCCATCCTGGCCTCTGCCTGCCCTGGTTGGATTTGTTACGCCGAGAAGACACACCCTCACGCATTGCCACACATGTCACGATTGAAGTCACCCCAAGCTTTGACAGGCACATTGATCAAGAGCGTTCTTGCAAGGAAATATGGAATCAACCCGGAGAATGTATGGCACATGGCAATCATGCCTTGTTTCGACAAGAAGTTGGAAGCGTCAAGAGAAGAGTTGACAGATATACATTGGTCTCCTGATGGTACAAACACCGAACGCAAGGGCATTCGCGATGTCGATTGTGTAATCACTGCTCGCGAGCTGCTCATGCTGGCCGAGAGTCGCGGCATTTCCTTCCCCCAATTGTCCCAGAAGCCTCTGTCGAGACAATTTCGAACGCCCTTCCCTGACTCTAAACTGGATCGCTTCCTCTTTCCTTCCACTTCCACTCCCAATGGCACGCGAGACGCTGGCACTAGTGGTGGATATCTCTGGCACGTCATGCAAACGTATCGCGCACAACATCCAGGCAGCCAGATCACTGTTCAACGAGGTCGCAATGCTGATGTTGTTGAGTATACACTGGTTGACTCAGAGAACGCTGCCGTTGTAAGATCTGCTCGATACTACGGGTTTCGTAACATCCAGAACTTGGTCCGCCGACTAAAACCTGTACGCGCATCACGTATGCCGGGTGCGGCAAACAGACTTGCTGGTGCTCGTAAGCCTGGTGCTGCGGCAGGTTCGGCGGGAGGTCAGAACATGAGTGATTACGCATACGTAGAAGTCATGGCATGTCCTGGCGGCTGCACGAACGGTGGTGGTCAGATAAAAGTTGGAGATGTGGGAGCCCTCCGAGGCAGTGGCGTAGAGAATGGAGGCGACCAGGAAGTTGCTCCTCAACAAAAGGAGTGGCTGCAAAAAGTGGACGAAGCATACTTTTCATCCTCGTCTGCATCTTCATCGCCATCACCTTCAGATACAGAGGATGAAGGCGTTGAAGACGTAGACGCCTCATCCGCAGTCACAACAGCGAAATCTTCTGCTAATGGCGATGTGGAGATGGAAGATGCAGAGCATGGCTCATTGGTAGACGGCATCTCACATTCACAGATCAAGGATATCTTTTCGCATTGGTCTGAGCTCACAGGAGTAGCGACAGACAAGCTAGTATATACCTCCTACCGCAAGGTCGAGAGCGATATTGGCAAGGCCACCGATGTAGAAAGGGTGGCTGGTCTTGCCAGTACCATTGGTGGTGGATGGTAGATAGTATTGCTCTCACGCCTTCTCAAATCTATATCATGTCCAGACCTGCTCCTTTTCCAAACACACTTGATTTTTTTCTCTTCCACACGTAGCCTCTCTTCTTGAAGCCTTCTCGTCTTCGCAATCCACATCCATCTACCAAAACCCGCTGCACCTCCAACAGCCATGGGAACAAACAGACACATCATATCCCACTCCCCCGACCTCTGCACCTTTGCACCACCCTCCAACACACTTTCAAACCATTCTCTGGAATCGAAAACAGCGTTTACATACATGAACGCATAACAAGCCCACATGAACCCACTCCCATAGTCTGACTCTTTGACCACACCACCTTGCTCTGCAGTATCCATGCTTGATGTCTTGTTTCGTCTGGCAATGAGTTTTGTCTTTGCTTGCTGCCATCCACCCACCTTGGTTTCGAAAATGTAGATTGTGGCGCTTGTTCCTGATACCACTGCTGTCAGGACCTTCATCCAGAATGTTGTCGTTTCTGATGTGCTCAGTGTAGGGAGTTGAGGCAGGTGTACGTGCAAGAAGCGCCGTGATAGGAATGCGAAGAGTTTGTAGAGGAGGGAAGATATGTTTGCTGTTGCGTCGAGAGCCATGAAAGATGCCATGCTGAAGAGACTTGTTGTAGTTACGAGGTGTAGGGATAGGGATATAGATGGTGAGAGGCGGAGATATGTGTATGCTTTTGGTAAGAGCCAGAAGGCTAGAAGCAGGTTGTAGAAGAGGAGCATCATTGGTGCGTTGGTATTTGTTGCCATGATGGGAATTTTTTCGAGATTTCAAGAGTACAAGAATATGAGGTGTTTTGTATCTTGGATTCTTGAGGGGTTTCGTACGATGGAATGAGGGGCTGTCGGTGATCTTGGTGTTGGAGGTGATGGTGGTTTTGGATGAGAGCCCGAGGAAGGATTCACAATGTAGGACTTTGATTGGATGTTATGGTGTCATGATTCATGTCAGGTGTTTTCCTGTCAGAGTGCTATGAGAGGCTCTTTGGACCTCATTGTATCCGAAGCGGATGCAACAATTACTGGTTGGGCACATGTTATGTCTGTTTCGTAGCTAATTGATTTGACGCGGCATAGAAAATCACCAATTTCCACTACATCTGTCCAGATCATAGGCTCCATCACAAAGTCGCAAGCAAAGGCACTCTTATCATACGTCTAGTGGTATCTTTTCATTTCAGTGTTTCGCAGAAAATTATCAGGGGAATCCGTGGTATTTTTTACAACATGCTTTTGGGCCACTCATCCCTTAGTGACCGTGACCATCATCACCACCCTGGTTCTCAGGGTCAAGCTTGATCATCGTGTCGATTCTCATAATGGCCACACAGGCCTCGACGGCACTCTTCAATTGCTTGACCTTGCTCATGGCGGGCTCCAAGACACCCATCTTCAAGCTGTCGACGACGCGGCCCTTGGTGAGGTCGAGACCGTAGTTCTTGTAGTTCTTCTTCTTGGCGAGTGACTTTTCGTCTTCGGTGGCGGGTTGTACGGTGGCTGCGGTGTGGGCATCGCCGCTGCCACCTTCAGAGGCGGAGAGGCGTTGTGACAGGGCGTGACGGCTGCGGAGTTGGGCGACGAGTTCGGAGCTGTCTTTTGCGGCGTTGACAGCGAGGGTGGTGGGGATGATGAGGAGGGATTGGGCAAAGGCGCCGATGGCGAGTTGCTCGCGCGAGCCCTGATGTGAGTTAGCATGGATCGTAGCGAGTAGCAAGGAGAGGAAACGTACGACTGAGGTGGCCCACTCCTCGAGGTAGATGTGCAGGGCAGTCTCAACAGCACCACCACCGGGGACGATGCGGCCGCTCTCAAGAGTACGCTTGACAGCAGAAAGCGAATCGTGAACGGAACGCTCCATCTCGTCGAGCGAGTACTCGTTGGGACCACGGAGAATGATGGAAGCAGAAGTGTGAACCTTGGTACCCTTGACAAGGATACACTCGTCGTCTGAAATGCGCTCCTGGACAACCTCCTCGGCGTGACCAAGGTTGCTGGCCTCGAACTTCTCGTCACCGTTCAAGTCGGAGAGGGAGGAGACGAGGGTAGCACCAGTGGCCTTTGCGATACGGCGAAGATCCTCCTTCTTGCAGCGGCGGACAGCCATGGCGCCCTTCTCGATGAACGACTTCAAGCACAGGTCGTCGATACCCTTTGTGGTGAAGATGACGTTGGCGCCAGACTTGAGAATCATGTCGACACGCTCCAGGACGATGCCAGCCTCGCGCTCACGGATCTTCTCGAGTTGTGCCGGGTCGTCGATGGTGATGTGTACGCCCAACTTCATGCGCTCCTTCTGCAGGTTCATGTCGAGGCAGGCAATCTTTGCGTCAACAACACGGGTGTTCATGGCTTGGCTGGCCACGGTGCAGTTCAAGGCGTAACCCTTGACCAGGACACTCTCCAGGGCACTCTTTCCGTGGGCCTTGAGCACGTTGACAGCCTTGACGGGGTACTTGATGTCGCCGCGGCTGTTGATGGTCTTGACGCTCTGCATGGCATCCACGACCATGTTGGCGAAGAAGTCTGAGTCGGCGCCAATGATCTTGCTGCTCATGCTGGTCTTTGCAATCGACATGAGCGACTCGCGGCCCAGAGTATCGACCTTGGTGGCAATGTTTTCGCTCATGTAACGGACAGCCTCACGCAGAGCCAGGCGGTATCCAGTGATGATGGTTGTGGGGTGAATGCGCATCTTCATCAACTCGTTGGCGCGGCGCAGCAGCTCCGAGGCGATGAGCACGACTGACGTTGTTCCATCTCCGACCTCCTTGTCTTGTTGCTGAGCCAGGTCTACCAGAATCTTGCCGGCCGGGTGCGAGATGTCGAGCAGGGAGAGAATGGTTGCGCCGTCGTTGGTGACTGTAACATCACCAATGTCGTCCACCATCATCTTGTCCAGTCCACTAGGTCCGAAGGATGACCGCACGACGTTGGATATCGCTTGGGTTGCTTGCACGCATTGGTCTCGTACGTCTGATCCGCTGATTTTTGTTCCGCCAAGGACNTGTTTCGAGGTCAGCGAATGCCTCTTGTGAGCGCTTTGGGTGTACAGTGACTGACACAGAGTTCCGGCGTTCCTCGGGGCTTCGAACATCTGCATATTGAATGGTTGCGATGTTGATATGGTCGTGCTATAAATTTGTCCAGTGACTTAACTCGGTCAACTTCCACTCCCAAACAGCCCTGAGGGCCAAAGCTCGGCCACAACGCCAAGCCGGAGGCACACCGCCAGCTTGCGGCGACCTCCTCTCCGACCGACCTCTGCCTCCAGATGATGCCTTCCATCTGTCTTGATCATGTTGCAGATCCTTGACTGCCGTCAGGGACGTCTACTCAGCTTGTTGCGCTAAGAGAGATGCAACGAGTCAAACATCTCGATTTTTTCCATGATCCATGGGCTCATATCTGCTCACTTCATGACCTCTTCTCTCCCACGTCATCGATACTGAGATGCGAAAGGTCCCAAGAGGGTGCCTTTGTTCAGAAGCAAAGAGTATAGGCTGAGTTCCTGGCCAGAATGTGATGAACCTCTGGCTATTGATTAGTGAAAGGAGACTGGCGGTTGTAGAGCAAGGTGAACCCCCACTGAAAGCTCTAGGTTGGTATACGTGAACAGGTAATTATGAATATAACTGGCTTTGGATGTCGACAACGGTAAACCAATGGGGGTGCCTGCAGCGAGTCGAAACACCCAATAAACCGGGACCTGCTGGAAACAAACGGGAGGTGCAAACGCTCCATAACCCCATCACTTGATCGACGGAACTTTGAAGACCAAGTCAACACCAGCCAATTGAGCACTCCAGGTGATGTTTGTTTATCCGCAACACACCCACACCTGAACAAACCAACGCGACCAAGACAACTGTCTGTCTTGTTCTGTCTTTCATCTCGTTTTCACGCAACCACGACAATCTTCACACCGTACAACTCTTTAAATATCACTCAGCCCTCGCCTTATGGAGCCCTATTAGATTCCCTCACTTGCTTCGACCCTGTTTCCTCCTCATCCTCTCTTCATCAACAAGATGACGGAGAAACTGTCTGTCGAGGAGTGCCAGGCGCACATCAGAGACATCCGCAACAGCCATGGCGCAGACGCGCGCAACGAGAGCGAGAGATTCCTCCGCAGAGGCTATGAGAGCATGTTGAAGTTGTGAGTTTGACTGCCACAACCTTGACCAACTTCACATTGTTGACACGACTCAGACNTATCTGCACAACTGTACAGCGAGCCGAGCCATTTCCTCTTCGAGCTCATCCAGAATGCCGACGACAACACTTACGCCGACGGCGAACAACCCCAAGCCACCCTTGCATACCGGCCTGACGGTCTGTTGCTGTTTGGATGCAACGAACAGGGCTTTTCCAAGGCCAACGTGAGCGCCATCTGCGACATGAACCAGAGCACAAAGACTCTTTTGAAAGAGGGCAAGAAGAGCTGCATTGGCGAGAAGGGCATCGGCTTCAAGTCCGTCTTCAAAGTGGCCGACCAAGTTTTCATCAGGTCCAACAACTTCTCCTTCATGTTCGACAAGAATACCCTACTGGGCATGGTTGATCCTGTATGGGCTAAGTTTCCAGACTTCCCCGAACAACTCCAGATGAACACCATGATCTGCTTGAAGATCGAGAAGCAAGAGGATCGTGATGTGGTCAGGGAACAGCTGACAAGAGTCCTCGAACCTTCATCGTTCATGTTCCTGCGTCGTATTACCAAGGTCAGGATCGTCAGGCTCGAAGACTCCGGTGACACTTTCGACGAGCTGATCATGTCTCACGAGCATCGACCCTTCGCCGACGACCTTCAGATTGTCACAACAACGAAAAGCAAGGGCACAAAGTCGTGGAAGTCGCGCTACATCCTCTCTGACTACATTGCTCGCGAGATGCCTTCGACTGAGCTTAGACAGGGTGTCACCGAGACATCGATCAAGCTGGCATTTCCCATTAGCGATCAGCAACAACCTCTCATCGCCAAGCGTGACGTCTATGCTTTCCTGCCCGTCTGCTCCTCTGGCCTTCCCTTCCTTATCCAGGCCGACTTCTTGCTCGTTGCCAGCAGACAGGGTATCGACGAATCTCAGCCCTGGAATCGTCGCCTCCAAGATCATATGGTTTACGCGCTCATCCAAGCCTTTCAGCGGCTTAACGCTACTCGCTTGAAGTACCTCTGGCCTGCCTACCTCCCGGAAGCCCAAGTTGCTCTCAAGTTCTTCGACAAGCTGAAAGACAAGTTCTTGGACCGCGTCAAGGATGTCAAGATTCTGGAATCGCGATCTGGTGAACTTGCCAAACCCAAGGTGATGATGTTGGTGCCCGATCAGTACAAGGACGAAGATGGAACCCCTTTATTGACGCCTGCCAACGATCGATACCTCTCTACCAAGTATGACACGAGCCATGTCTCCTCGCTGGTCACACAAGCACTAGACGACAAAAAGTTCTTCGACATGCTCAAAGTTTATGTCTCGAAACAGGCTGAAGAGTTTCGCAACAAGTCTGACTCATGGCACGGTAAAGTCTCCATCGTCCTAATGGCAGGACAGAATCAGTTCAACCTCACTGAACTTTTGATCATGCCTGTCGTCCCTCTTGACGATGGCTCGTGGATTAATGCCATGAGCCGTCATAAAACTTCTTACTCTAGGGTGGCCAACAGATCAGCCCCGTCTACGACCTTCTATCTGCCACGTTCTGATGCTAACATTGTCATTCCCAAGGGCGTGTCGCTGTCTATTGTTGAGCACAAAGCCTCTCGCAATGAAGAGCGCAGGGTCTTCTTCCGTTGTATCGGGGCTCAGGACCTCGACTACGAGGACGTGCTTCGAGGCATAATCAAGCAACACAAGGAATCACTATCCAATGCTGACGTTAATCTCTTGCTCTCTCATGCTCAGTACGTCTTCAGTATGCCGTCGGCGTCAAGATTGGCGCAGAACCTGAGCACAATCCTTTGGCTTGCAGACTCGCGAGGCGAACAGTCTCGTGGCATTGAGCTCCATATGGATAACCCATTTAAGCCGGCAGTCAGTCAGATGTTCTTGACCAATCCCACAGTGGCTCGTTTCATCCATCCCAAGTACTTGGAAGTTTACCAAGGAAACCTAGAGCTCCGTGCGAGATGGTTGGCATGGTTGCGTGAGTGCTTGGGTGTACATGATGTTCCTCGCTTGTCGAACAAGACGAACAAAGGCCTATCGGTCGAGTTCGAATGGCTCGTCAATAACCTCCCGAGTGTACAGTGGCTCGCTGTTATCAGACACAATTGGGACGACTACCACCTCCATCAAGTCCCAAAGCTAGGCGACATGAGGATTCCGAGCCAAGACGTCCGCAACAAGATTGCATCTCTGCCTGTGGATTGCACCGATGGTAGGAGAGCGAAACTTCAAGACACCATCCTTCCTACTTTGCGCTCCGCTGTCATGACAATCCAGCACATGGGCTTCCATTTCCTTGATATCAAGGATGAACACAACGGCGAATGGGCCAAATTTTCGACCTTTGGTGTTATCACTCATCGTGATCTGGACTTTTGTCTGAAGCTATTGATGAAATTCCCGGCAAGCGGAGTCACCCCTGACAAGATGACTGTTATCAAGTTGTACAGAGATATCCACATCTTCTGTGAGTCGAGTATGAGTGCAAGGGAGCGTACTCGTGCTGCTTTCAAGGATCATCCCTTGATTTTCCTACCCGACAATTCGAAATGGGTTCACCTGCAATCCTGCGTCTGGGAGGCTCCTCCGTGCCTGCGCAAGGTTCGTCCCATTGCACATATTTATGGACCTGTCCAATCGTTTTTCAAGAACATCCTCAACTTGCATGATGCAGGTATTGGAGACTTCGTCAATGAACTGATCACACATGACAATGTCATCCCTTCCACCGGTCTGCTCAAGGAGCTGTTGCTCGAGCTCGGCAGCAGAATAAATCCCCGCCTGACGTATGATCTTAAAGCACTGGACAGTCGTAGAATCTTTCCTGTCGTCAACGCACAGAAGCAGCGAGTCCTCATGGCTGGAACCGATCCACAATGGTTCATTCCTGATGGCCGAAATCTTACCACATCCTTCAGTGGCATCATACCTCTTCTAGACTTCTCGCTAGGTGAACAGAAGAGGCTGGAATCCCTTTTGNAGAAGATGGGTATCTGGGGCAGACATCTCTCTGAAAAGGTTGCGAAGCGAGAAGTTGTTGAAGGCAAGGACCAAGCCATGAAGGACGCAGCTCACACCAGAAAGTTTCAGGTGAAGGCACACTATCTCTTGTGTCTGACGAACCCAGCCGAGAGATACATCCTAAAGCCTCTGCTCGAAAGCATAGAAATCTGGGCTGTGAAGTCGATCAAAGTGTACCGCTCTATCCGCCTGGACAACCAGGAGATTTGTGGCAAACCTATGCCAGCCAACATCATGCTAGACAAGGACCAGCGAATCTTCGTGCCTATGAAGGATCTTGAGGACAATGAGCTCAACTACTACGAGCTCTCAGAGAAATTGATCACCCTGTGCAAGCTCGAGAAAGTGGCCGAAAAGCTACCACTTGGCATCCTCTCCATGTCATCCATCCAGCAAATTGAGGATATGCTGGAGGAGCACGGTGTCATCTTCGACAAGCTTGAACTACGCAAACTGACTACCAAGATTGTTGACGGTTCCACCGGCGCCATGCTATCTTCCAGGCGCAAGTCTCCTGAAAACAGTCGTCCAGAGATGGTCACAGATGATGGCTCCTCAATTTCTGGTGACAGTGATTTGTCTTCTCTGGCCGCCCTCAAGGACATTGGCGTCCATATCAAGGTTGCGCGCAGACCAAAGCCAGTTGCAGCTCCTCGTAGCAATGGTCGCAACTCCAATGGAATACCTCGCATTGAACGAGAGTCCAGCACCGACGACAATGACACAGAGCAGCACTCTGATGATGGAGACTGGGATAAGGACTCGGCCCCTATGTCGACTCGTGCTGCTCCTTCCAGACGATTTGACAAGTCTGACAACAGCAATGGAAATGGTAATGTAAATGGCAACGTCTATCGTATGAGGTCGAACATTGGCAATAGCATTGCCATGTCTGACGAGGATATCAACGAGATCGATGGCGAGGCAGGCGAAGATAGCAGAGACTTGACCCAGCGGACACAGACTTCAGAGTATCGCAAACAGCTGAGCGTTACACAAAGCACTGTGGAAGACCCTCAGGCTATCCGGATCGGTGAGCAAGGCGAAATGAAGGTAGGCAATCGACCAATCAGATTTTGCTCAAGAGCGTGTACTAATCGTAACAGATGTNACCTATTTCTTAAGACTCTTCTGGGTGGCTACTTCACAGACGACATGTGGACCAGTCATGCCAGTACCAAATACACTGACCTGAAGTTCAGCGGTGACGATAGCCAATTCGCTGACTTCACTATTCGTGATCTCAGTGGTCGTATGACAGACTGGCTTGTCGAAAAGGGCTGCAAGCAACCCACAGCATGGATGGGGAAGAAGGGCAAGGACGCAATCACATAATCTATCGAGGTCAAGGCTACTTATGGTCCACGTCATGAGCCGTTTCACATGAGCCAGAACCAGATTGACATGGTAATTAGATGTTCTCGTGATATCAATAGCAGATGCTGACTCGTTACAGNNGCAAAGGAACATCGCCTACAGGGTGATGGGGTGCCGAACCGAGTTTACGTGATCATGCGCGTATCGAACTTGGCAGGCAACGGCAGCGGCGGAAGTGCTCAGGTTCATCCTTTCGTCGATCCATACAGTCTGTTTGAGCAGGGCGATCTGAGCTGTATCTCTCAAGGAGGGTACTTGGTCTATTCTGATTTGAAGTCTTCTTGATTGTCATTATGAAACGCCAAATCGAGCATGACTGGCGAGAGAAGAGTTTACAGAGATGAACGAGGCATGTCGTGGAGGATAGTCGGTGGGCAAATATGTGACCATGATGAGTCTGTCAAAAAACATGTTGTCGTTACAAGAGTCATTCGCTCAGATGGACTTTTGGTAGTTGTTACAGGCCAAGGAAATACACAAGAACCTGCTTCGATATGTTCTTCTCGTGATTGTTAGTATGGAGGAACGTATCGTTTCGATGGCTATCTGTCGATGATGACGAGGTCGACTCTATGAGAGTTCCGAAGCATGGGCGAATTGAAGGGGTTTAATGGAGTACACTACCAGTATCAGGACACGGTGCATCACACTGACTAAAGACAACTGAGCAATCCGAACACGAGTCCCTGTGAGCTTGACCACTCTGTCTTCCGCTCCATATCCTATAGTAAGAACGAGTTTGCTGATCAAGACCTGGCTCAAAGATATGTGAATCTGGACATGGATCTTCCCGAAGGGTGTGGGCTTGTTTACTATGGCAATGTCGATCAAGCTAGAAAGGGCGGAGTCGTAAGATAGGTCTTAGGCTTGCAATATCACTGTGTACTTTGAGGAGAATTGCGTGATTAATACTCGTAGGATGGTTTGCACTAATAAGTTTTTATATACCAAGTTTCTCCACAGTAACCATGATTTGGCATTTATCAATTGAGATGTGCTTTCAAAACTACAACGTCCAAAAGAAAGGTGCGAGAGACAATACAGCATATTTGATCAGATAGTTTGGAGAACGAATCGTGGCTCGCCCGGTAGAGACTGTCCAACTCCCTCTGTGTCTTCCACAGTCGCCCCTTCCTCAAGAACAACGATGTTGTCAGGATAGATCTTTCCCAAGCATGCCAGCATCTCGATTTCATTGCTACATTGGATGAGGTGAACGCCCCCTTTTCGNTCGGTGACAAGGCCTTTGGAATCAGATTCGGCGAGGAAATCTGCTGCAGCGTGACGCGTTGCTATGATTGCACTGGAGACGGACTGAGTTGACTTGGCAGAAGCTTTGTAGCTGTAGCGCCAACCGCGAGAGATTGGTCCAACGTCCACAGATGGACGTTTTCCGTCCTGCGAATAATANTGGAGGTGTAAAGTTCGGGACGTCGTGTTGGGATCTGCATACCCATACATTGCAAAGGAGTAGCTCTGGAGTGCAGGCTGTTGGGAGGCATCAATGGTCAAGACCGGGCTTTGGTATCTTTCAGTCTCGTGACAGACTTGAATGCGAGGAGCGGTGTAGTAATCTGCAAACCCATACTCGAAAGTCACTTCCGGAGTACTGTCATCAACAACAGCAGGAATATAGCGTAGGAGACGTAGAGCCTGGCCTCCCACGACTGCTGCAGGCAGAATGAGACCGTGTTCATACTGGAAGCCATAAACATTCTCTGCAGCCAACTTTGGCGCAAGAAGGGACTGCGCGACCTTCAAAACAGACTTCTGAGTCGTCGACTTTGTCATGAGCTCAGCAATAAAGCTCATTCGGTTTGGCTCTGTAAACCTCATGCCTAACTGCTGCTTTTCCTTCCCACCAAGGATCGGGATGACGACTTCGTCGAAGTTCTCGAATGGCAAAAGTGCGTCGCGGAGCAACACCATTTGATGCAGATCTTCGTTGTATATCTGCATCAGATGGCCCAGGCTTCGCGGCCCGAACATGAGTTGCGCGACTGCAGGTTTGAGCAAATGTCCCTCACACGGACTTCTGATAACGTAGCCAGGGTCGAAGGAGACATCCTCTTTCTCGTGAGCGTAATCGACGATGGTTTTGCCAATCCTGACGGCTTGAGCTGCGAACTCCTTGCGACTGGCATCTTTGGTGGGGATGTCAAGACTCGGCTCGCGAGTCTCGAGAGCGAGGTTGGAAGCCAGATTGTCCAGAAGCATTTCACGAGCAGAAGGTTGATCGTGGGGTGATGAGCCTAGATGATGCAGTACGGTTTCAAGTAGTGGTGCGCAGCCCTCGACAATCTGACGGGCTGTGTATGCTCCGGATGGGAGAGACCAGCCTTGCCCGTTGACCATGGTGGGGCCCTGGTATCCGGTCCGCAAAGGAGGAAGCATATGTCCAATACTGAGGTTCTGCAGATCGGGAACGCTGAAGGGTTCGGCGCTCAGAAGAGGTGACATTTTTGCAGAAAAGAATTGGGAAGACCGGACAGATGGCAGTGTAGAGAACTGAATTATGTATTGATCAGTTTCGTGTTCTGCACTGTATGGTAGCATGGTCAGATGGAGACTTACCCAACTCGTTTGCACAACGGTGACAGCGACGTTACGCAAGCTTCGAAAGCAAAAGATCACATGAATAACGAAAAAGGTGCAAGATCTTGAGAGTGTTGTGAGTTGTTATGTGGTCTGGCTGTGTCCCTTTTGTATACAAAATCAGTGTCGAGACCGCCGGACGAGGACGTCTTTGCTCCGGTCGTATGTGCATGATTGTTCCGCCAGATCATGGAGGCCTGCGGAGATGGCCTGTTTTTGTCATTTGAGACTGCTGCTTCATGATCCCGTCGAAGCACAAAGAGATCCTGACATTTGCGCATCTTACACGACCTTTCATTGCTGTATGTCGATCTCAGTCACCTGAATATACTTATGGAAGTCAAAGACAAGACTTTATATAAAGGTGCTTGGATACGTATTGCCTGAGTTGACAGCGTTCAGGAGCTGACCTTCCTCGAAAGATTTTGTTCTGTGCTCAAAGTCTCTTGTAAAATACGGAGGAGTTTACCTTTGCTCCGCTAACACGAACCTTTCGCGAACTGACCAAAAAGCAGCTCCGTACAGTGGACGACTATCAGGCTTCATCGTCACGTGGAGATCAATCTTGTTCCATCGTGAGGAGATTCGTGACAACTCGACCCTGACGCTTATGGACGTCTCCGCGAGATGTCCAGTAGGTCAATACACTTATCTGAGAAGGGGAAAGAGCACTCAGAAGGCAGGGGAGAGGCTGTTTGCTTCGTACAGGTGCTGACTAAGCAGAGTCGACATGGACCCTGACCATTTTCCTCCGCCGCCTTGTTCCTTTCGGGAAGGCAAGCTGCAATGTCGTTGCATGTCCGTCCCTCACCAACATTCAGATATATGCTGAGCAGAAGCGCAACAGCGAGTCTTTTGATGGGGCAATTGTTGACTGAGTCATGGTCTGAAGCTTTTTGTCAAGTATGGCTAAGTCTCTGCTCGCAAAGTATTGCGACTCACGCAAGATGATCTGTCTACATGACTAATCACAAGTGACTGCTGAGATAAGCCTCCACGTCCCATTGTCACGAACTCAGTGTTATCCAACACTAAGAGACTCATTCTTTTGACCTTGTCGTGATCTTGAGCTTAACATGCAGCCTGTCGATCTAAACAACCAGCACGAGTGTGATCTTTGTCAAAAGACGTATAGACGACGTACGCTCCTTGCATCCGGACTTGCTAGAAAGGCTTCACTGATCCGATATGTTGTACAGGAGNATCTTTTAGTCCGTCATAGACGGCACTGCAAGCCAAACAAGACTTCCACGAAGAGAAAATCCTGCAATGCATGTGTACAAGCTAGATCAAAATGTTGCTTGAGACAGCCAACTTGTTCTCGGTGTGCTGCACGGAATCTGGTTTGCAAGTATCCGATTCGCCGCTCATCTACGTCGCAGAGTTCTGGTACCACGACTCCGGAGCTTGAACAGAACAGCAATACTTCTGGGAGCCTCATAGAGACCAACACAGACGTGTCGCTGGATGACTTGTTTGCTCATAATTGGGCTCCTAGCAACTCTGGGAACACGCAGAATGGAGCTTACTTTGGTCTTGCTCCATTCTCGCTAGATCGATCCATTACCTATGATTCCATCCAATCCATCGAAAACCAAGCTACGACCGCAGACTGGTTACAATTGCATGGCGCGCCCCCTATCCAAACGCCACCCATAGCACCTGCCATATCTTTTGCTGGTCACGAAGTCTCAGAAGATATCAACAGCTTTTCACGTAAATTGCAGACCGACAAAGTGATACAGGTTCTGCGGGAGTATCCAACATTACTGGCTTCCGCAGGTTACTGTACACCGCTTCTACATCGCGAGCTTCACAACATGTCGACTCCAGAGATAACAGCATTACCAAGAACAACGACAGCAATCTTGTGTGCGCTAGGCTTTGGAAGCAACAGCAATACATCCTTCATGAAACGTGCAATCTCTACTGAGCGACAGCGTCTTGTCGAAGGANTGTGTAAGTGCCGCGCCTTCATCTCGCAAGTGGCGGTGCTAAGCTGCCACACACAGCCAAAATACTCTTGTATCGAGGAGTGGGATACCCTCCATGCTATGTGGCTTTATGAGATGATGGAACTGCCCGATGCGTCAGACACAGCCAACGATGACTGGAAACTCGGCCCTCGAACAAGAGGTTTGAACTTGCCTATCGTGCTCAAGGTATTTCACTCTCGTCGATCATCACCAAATCACGTCCGTACTAAATCTTGAGCAGNNATGACCCGCCGATTCTATCAATCGCATCCAGAAGCCACAGATCCGACAGCCATACTCAATAGTGACTCACTCATACGATACGGAACAGTAGCATCAGTATGGATGACATGGCTAGTGGGAGAAACCGCACGCAGAACAATATTCCTCGCACATATTGTCAACTACTTCGCCACAAAAGACCCCAAGACTGGTGATATATCGNAGATGATATGGAATATGCCTTTACCTTGCTCATCGGCCGCCTGGGAAGCACGTACTGAGCAGGAGTGGCTTAGCCTGATGCGAACTCAACATCGGATCACCGGCTCTAGTGCCCAAGCAGTTCTGCTCTCGGACTTGTTTACCTATGAGCCAACGATCAACTCACTTCTGATAAGATCTACTAAGGAACAGTTGCGACTGCAATATGCTGGGAAGTTGGGACTTGAGAACTCGGACTCGTTTCGCAACCTGATCGTAAGCTGTGCTCTAGAGCAGAGCTCTTGAGTTTAGATACTATAGTCCCTTGTCACAGACAGTGATCACAGGAAACAGGATATATACTCCTACTTGCTGTAGCATGCTTTCTCACGTTTCCCATCGACAAGGCTCTTTGACAGACTCTATCATCTACATATGTGTTTGTCATGGGAAGTTATCGCTTTCCGGTTGTTACTTGTTTCGTTACTTCTTGGTGAAATCGAGACCGACTAAACGTTACACATATTGATAACTTGAAGTACTGTCAGAAGGTCCGGTCGATCTTCGGAACGGCTCAACGAAGCAAATTTGCATCCATTTTTTTTTGACTGTGCAAGTAGTTCCCATCAGTTTAGGGCTTACGGCGACGAGAATCCCCTTATAAAAGCCTCTCGACATGAGTGAGAGCGCTGCCGCACGGGATTTGGATGTGAGAGCGCTTCACCGCGATTGAGGCTACACTGAAGCATCGCTCTAGATCAGGCCTACGCGCTCGATATTGGTCCGATCTGGGCGTCAACTACATGAACCAGAAGCTAAAAATTTGGTTTATGACGGGGTACTTTGGCCGAGTGGTCTAAGGCGGTGGTTTTAAGTTGCTTTTGAGGCTCATACACCACTATCGAGAGATGCGTGGGTTCAAACCCCACAGGTACCATCATTCACTGTCTTTTTGCGTTTCCTGAAGATGCTTATAATGCATATTTGGGTCAAAATAGCCAAAGGGGAAGACTTTGGGGGTTTTGGGGGATAAAGTCATTTTTGGACGATGTGCTCTATCATTCTGAATATCGGGAGACTGCACAGGGTAGCCGACACACTGAGAGTGTACTGCTCTACAAAATTACGGTACAGTTTAGGGGGGCTTGGTGAACGACGGCGGGAATACTATACACGTGAGAATGTGTTGCATCTCTCGTCCGCGATGTCTCTGTTGACGGCCGTATAGAGCTGCTTATCACGTGTTCAGTAGGACTCATCAAGAGGTAAGGTGTAATGTTGGGGGACAGGAGTGGTGTTTGGTTGCATGTGTTTGCGAGAAAGGAACGAGATTAACGGTAATAAGTAAGGAGTGGTGCGCTTGGTGCGTACCATATAGCCCAGGCTGGATCTAAATCTAGGCTGGATCTGGTCTTCATGATTTAATCTTATAAAGAAACAGAGGTCAGGTGCATTCAAGCAAGCGATCTTGAGTCTCCTCTCTGCCAGATTCCCCAGTCCAAACTACCACTTCTCTTGCCTAACATTTAATGCTCTTTGGCTTGGTGAACTAGTTCTGAGGCCTCCAAGCCACAACCTCCTCGTCACCCTCCTCCTCGTCTTGGATCTCCAAGCCCTCGACAATCCTTCTGTTGCCCTGTTCGTCACAATCCAAGCCACATGCCTTGAGCACCGCCCATCTCACAGCTTCAATCCCAATCTTTGCACCTCCTCCCCATCCTTGTAGGCCCTTGATTTGTTTCTCAGCACTCGCAGCCAACACGTCTCTTTTCTTCTTTCTCTTGCCTTCATCCAAAGTAGCCAACTGCTCTTCCACCTCTTGATATATCCTATCCAGTTTGCCCACATTGCGAGTCAGCTTTTCCGCACCAGGGACTTTAGAATCTGTCATCACTATTCTGTCGACTTTGGAAAGGATGATTTGGTAATCAATGCCTTGTTGCTCGAAATGTTGCAGCAGGACCAAGTCTCGAGGTTTAATGCCGTGTAGAGCGTCGATGAGCAAAAAGACTTTGCGCAATTGCTTTCTCTTTTCGAAAAACTTGTTGATTTCGGGTCCCCATTCTTGACGTGAGTGGTAGCCGTAGCCGGGTGTGTCAACTACGACTAATGCGCCTTGCATCAATTGTTTCAATGGCTCTTTGGCAGCATTATCCCTTTGACTGCCACCAACACCAAATGCATTCAGTGTTTTCGTGTGTCCAGCCTTGGAACTAACTCTTGCAATCTTCTCTTTCGGGCGCCCGAATACGGCATTGAGTAAAGAGGATTTGCCAACATTGGAGCGACCCACGAAACACACCTCTGGGTATGGGGACCGTGGAATAGTCGAGAACTTTGCAGCGGTCCAGAGGTGAATTGGAGGCGAGGAAGGGTTTTGAAAGTAGCGGGTTGTGTAGGTTTGTTGGACGGGGGTGGGAGGAGAAGAGACGTGGTATCGTTGCAGATCCACTGGTTTCGGCGGTACAATGTCTTTTGTTGCTGTTGAAGACGATGGCGTGGGCTTCGGTCTGAGGGTTGTAGTGGGAGATGCGGCGGGAGGAAGGTTGTGTCGGGATGGCGGCGACGTTGTGCTTGTTGCGGTGCTGGTGTGGCGCAGACCGAGTATGCGACTGCGAGCGATATGCGCAAGGCATCTTCGTCGTACTAACGAATCCATAGTCACGTAATTGGCCGAGATTGTATGCAGCAAAAGAAGTTGGAAGGAACGAAGAATGCTCAAAGAGGCAGTCTCATTTCTGGTCCGAGCTTCAAACTCACCTTGATGGGAACTGACGGTATCAAAGCAAGAACAGACAACAGACGATTTATACCTGCAACCATACTGATTTGACCAAACATGGTCCTATGCTCTCGTGACATGCCCTCTATTTTCCTTCTTTTTCATGCTCATAGGTATCCATTATGCTCATGATTTCCTCCACTACTCTAAAGTGTCCCTTGAATAACTCCTTGTTCATGTAAATGCAGAAAGACTGAATCGTCTACTCTTCAACACCACCTCATCTCAGCTTCAAGTCGGACGAAGGCCTGGACTGTTCATACCCAGACGTGGACTGATGCCTCCGTTGCGGTCTCTTCTGAGGTTACGCAGCTGCGACTCGATCTGTCTGCGCTGTTCTTGCTCCGCNCTGTCACACGCGTTAGCTCTCTGTTCTACATCAATAGTCCAAGAGACAATACTCACTCTCAACAACTTGACTCCCTCCGCCCTCGTCTCTCTCATCATCTTCTTGAACTCGTTTCTCAAAACCATGGTGCTGGTCGTCTCCCTTGCGACACTACCCAGTTCTGGTGTACCTCCAGGGCTTCTGACGCCGAGCCATCTGACTCTCTCGTCGCTGAGCTGCACCTCCAACTCATCCATCTTGTCACGAAGCGAGTCGATCAATCCCTCAAGCTTCTCGCGCTCCTTCTCCATCTCGACTGTCTCGCGCGTGAGTTGCTGGTAGTCCGTCGTCATCTCGCCGAGTTCCTTCTCCAGTGCGCGCATACGACCGTCGTCACGCGAGCCTGATGCCTGGATTTCACGCAATGTGATGATCTCTCCTTCTAGTGATTTCGCACGTGATTCGGCGTTTTGATGCAGTCCGAGCATCTCGGCCATCTGACTCTCGTGATGACCCTTGTCACGTCTCAGTTGCTCCAACTCGGAAGACATGCTCCTCGACTTTTGCTCCAGCTCTTGGAATTCCGGGTGAGACGTCACTTCTCTGGCACGCTCTGAACGGCTGCCGTATGCGCCATCCAACTCTGCCTTTGCCATAGCCAACTCAGTGGTAAGACGAATGATCTCCGTCTCCATGTCGTCCATCTCCTCTGCCTTCATAGCCAGGCTGGCCTCTGCCGTCTCTCTGGCTACCTTGGCTTGATTGAGAGTTCCAGTCAGCTCCTCCAGGCGGTCCTGGTGATCACTTTCCTTGTGCTGTGCTTCGATGGCTGCGATGCGTGCCTCGTCTTGATGTTCAGAAATCTTGTTCTCAAGTTCGACAATCTGATCCTCGAGCTGTTCCAAACGCTTGCTCTGTGCTTCAATCTCTTCCAGAGCCTCTTGCTCGCGCTCTTTGAGTCCTTCCAGTTCGCTGGCACGAGCGGCATCTTCGCTGTTGGACTTTCCGGCGAGCTCGCGTTGTTGTTCAATCTGGCGTTTGAGAATACCAGTCTGCGTCTCGAGATCACTGTGGCGGGCAAACAAGCGTTCAACCTTGGATGTAAAGGCCTGGGTACTGAAAGGCTCGGATGTGGTTCGCTCTAGCTCTTCGTCATCCGAGTCAACATCCCGGTTGGCAGCAGCAGATTCCTTGGATGACATGATTCCCCAAAGACCTAGCATGACTGCCTCATGCTGTGCGGCATTTTGGGCGTGGGCATCTGCTTTTTGGCGAGCCTCGTCCAGTCCTCTTTTAGTAGCTTGATGAGAGTCTTGAAGAGATGCAGAGTGCTGCAGCATTTGATCGACGTTCGAGAGATTCTCTTCGAGGTAAGCGATCTGATTCTGGGTTCCTTGACCGGTAGGGCGTGGAGGTGGTTGTATATCTTGGTGGGCGGAGACAAGATCGAATAGGTGGAGATTGACACCCTGCAACCTGTTCTCGACAAGACTCTGATCCTCTTTTGAACCATTGAGCGTGTCCTCACGCGATTGGACGATAAATTTATGTTCTTCGAGGAGGGCGAAGATGCCGTCTTGTAATTGCTCGAGCTGGTTGTCGATGCGGACCGAGGGCTCGTCGTCTTCCGGGTACGCAGATGGGATCTCGTCTGGTGAGGTATCGATGCTGCCTGCGCGACCTTTCTTCGCCTGGGATATGAGAGACCGCATTTGGCCGTTTAGGAACTGTAGCCTTGTGTTGAAGTCGTTCAATTGGTCGTTGTGGACAATCGACTGTTCTTTGCCAACATCGCTGTGAACACTCTGGTCGTAATCGCGAATGTGAGGCAGAGAGTCAGCCGCAGGATTGTCGGCGGACTCGGCTTCACGTTGGAGGTGAGCAGCCTGCAGGACGGCGGCCGTGTGTCGCAGTAGTCTGCTTTCAATGTATTGTCTGCGGTTTTCCAGACCGACCAGGATTTGAACCAGCTCTTCAACCTTCTTCTCGCTCTGGGCAAGTTCGTCGCTAGCCTGACCGACACTGTCACTCTTGACACTGGACGAACTATTCCTTCTGTCTCCCAGCAAACTCTTTCTACGAGGCTGCGAGACGCGGCCCTTNTGCGAATAGAGGCGGTGTAGAGAGCGGGCAGCTTCGCATACTTTGCTTTCTAAGGCGAGTTTGCGGCGTGTTGCTTCGATGCGAGCGTCCACCTTTGTCTTCTCTTTCTTCAGCGCGTCAACCTCTTCGATGGCCAGGATGTCGTATCGCGAGCTGTCGAACATGGCAGTCTCGACCAACAAGTGCCTGTGTAGCGAGTCGCCATTGGCGAACGAGTCGGCCGGAGTGGGTGGTTGATGGCCGTATGGGTTCTGGTCAGTCATGGCCTTCCAGTCCGTGTCGATATAGGCCGGAGTGCTAGGATCGAGGAAGGACGTCCGTGGGTAGTTGTGAGCGGCGCTGAGGTCTTCCAAGTATAGCGGCGACTCTTGTGAAGGCATCGTGACTGCCATCAGAAAGGGGCTGGTTCAACTTTACTTTCAAGGCGGGGTTGCTGGGCCTGAACCGCGGAGACGATCAAATCACCGACTTTCAATTCAGATATCAAGCCTTCATGGTCAATCAGGAAACAGTGGAAGAAAGAAGAACTTGGGAGGCAACACAATGTTATTCGTGAATTTGAGCTCAGCTGGAAATTACTCGAGTACATTTGGCAAGTGCTCCACACGGGAGCCAACTAGACCAGAAAGCCGTTACTCTTTCCCAAACCAAATCACCCCTGGACCTTCCCCTTAGATATGCTCGAACACCAACAAGAATTTGCCGATTTACCTGTCTATTCGTGCGCCATGGCTCTTCGCCACTACCTAGATGCCCGAGATCTTCTGAGCTGCTCTCGTGCGTGTCGCTATGAGCCGGGTCACAGACCTCACTCTCTGACTCGGGGCTTCCTGACGACTTTGGGACAAGATTGAGCACGCTCGTTCTTGCGGGAAACTGCATGAACATGTTTTGAAGCTTATGTATCTGGGAGAGTAGTTACTGTACCAGAACGTGTGGATGACCGTCTTTGTGCAAGTGTTACCATGTTTGGTGTTCTCTTCCACAACTGCTTGCTTACAAGTTGTCGTCGTCAATGGGACACCACAATCATTACTTGACCGAGACTACAGTCACCTCGAATGTCAGCCAACACTACTTTCTCACAACAAGATCTCTACAGGCTCATATATGACCCTGTTAATCTCTCCAAATACCTTGATGGTCTGAGACATCGAATACTGGCGCCGACGACAGCAGACAGCTTGAATGTCCGAGCAGGGTCGTACCATGAGCATCTCAGAAAAGGGACTAAAAGAAGTAACCTCGCACACCCAACACCGATACCATAGGAAATCTGCATTCAACAGAAAAATGCCTCTTGACAGTGCTGACAAGATGTCTCAATGCCATTACACAATCATCTGCTGAACATATTCACTCAGCTTGCAGTGCGGGTGAGAGTCAGCTGCGGGCAATTTCGAAGCATCCGAGATGCGCTGGCAAGCAAGCCACAAAAGAAAATGCCGGACGCCTGATCCTTGCCCTCAATACCATCTACACCACTCGGCCGAAGACCAGAGCAAGAGCAGTCGACGTTGTTGAGGAAGACGTTTACTTGCGACTCGTGGACAAGAGCGGTGAGAGACAGTCGGGAAGTCGGGCTTCCTTTCCCACGCGTCTCGAGACAAGACGCTGTCCAACGAACACAATCTCGCTTTCAAGGTCGCTCACATCTGAAAAGTTGCGGGTAGAAAGTGTGATGAGCATTCGCAGAGTGTGTGATATCGCGCTGGAGATGACGAGGTCAGCATGTCTATTGGCATGTTTCCAAAAATGTACAAGACACGCGAAGGATGGTAGGGATTGACAGGTCCGCGATAGATTGAGGTTACGCCATCATCTTTACCGCCCAGCAAACCATTCGTCGGGGAGTATCGGTGCATCTCTGGCAACATGACTCTCTGACCATCGAAGCAGGTTTGTGCAGGGACGGGCGTCGTCTACCAATGCACATGCTGGCCAACCACACACTGATGCCGTACTCCTGACTATCATCGGCAATCCGCACGCGTCTGTAGGCGATCACTCCATCACATCAACGCTGCAATCCACCGCTGCTCCGACCAATCTGATGCTGCATCATCCCTGTCCGGCAAAATTGCATGCTGGCGCTTGCAATATCCCCGCTTGCCGGCCTGACCTCTGGTCTCGCATATGTAAACCTACTTGCTGCCCAACTAGTCTCTGCCTTTCTCCTCTAACGAAATCCAATCCGCTCCTCTCTTCTTCACCCTTGGCACTCCCCTGTCTCTCGTGCATTTGCACATTGTTTTGCTTCAAGAGAACATCTCAAAAACACAATCAAGTGTAACAGGCTTTATATCTGAGCCAGTTTACCATACTACCAGGATGACATATCGCACCCGCGAGAATATTTGGACAGGTATTGACCCAAGTCTCACTGTTTTGTTTTATTTTGTTTTTACAATACCCGGATGTTTGCCCAACCGGGCTCTTTTGCTGTTTTCCTTTTTGCGTTTCGTTTGCTTTTACATATCTTGGAGCCAGCCTCTTTAGGAAAAATATTTGGATTATCCAGGACCATCCATACCCAAGATGCCATGGCCCAGAAGGATACCCAACCGGATCGGAAAGGAGCATTTCCCAATACCAGTCAAGGATTTTCCGGATTACTGTAGCACAACATACTCTTTGGAACCGGGTAAGTACTTTGAGAGTCCGGACATGCTCTCATAAGCCAACACCCCTTGACCTGGACACTCGCGTTGCATGCTTCTTGCTGGCTATAGTGGCAGCTCTGTCGTCAGTCATCTTATACGAAGAAGACTTGTCTTGAGTTTGTTCGTAGTAAGGCTCTTGATGCATCCATCCCCGTGCCGGACGTTGTTTCTTTTGTTCTTCGCCAGACGCTTCCCAGGCCATCCCGGGAAACCGCTATAACGTGCCTTGGCGAGACAATTGCTAGGGACCTTTAAGTTTGCCCAAGCACGATTGGACAGCCCTGCGCAAACACGTGTTCTTGTCTGCTTGTTGCTTGGCTGTTGTCACGTCAAACTCGACCATCTCTCTTCTCAGCACGACTTTGTTCACCGTGGACTTGGCCATATTTCTACCAGCTATCCCTTTCGATGAGACCTGGGCATGTCGAATGTTGCTGGGCGTCTCTACTCCATGTTGAGGTGGTACTCGTCCTCTGCTTCTTACATCCTAGCAGACTAACAGGAGCTTGATGAACCGGCCTTTCATGCTCTGCCCAGACGTAACCAGGAGTTCTTCACACGTGCCCGACCGAAATACGGACAAGCTTTCCTTGATGTAACCGCGACTAGACCTATTGGAACTGTTGGCGATATGTAGCTATCGCGGACAGTCGTATCAACCACTTTTGGTTGCCGGACCTGGACCTTCCCTTCCGATGGGCTAGCAATTGGTCTGTAGAGCACTGACGAAATCAAATCCTATATGGTGACTAGAGCTAACACCTACCAGGCTACGTCTTTCCTTCTCTTTCTCAACATCATGATCATAATAGCTACTGCATTACGATGAGCCGTTGTCGCTGACTCTTCTTCCCTATCTAGCAACTGTCACTTTCTCCCACCCACTTGCACAAATTCTTTGTTTGCTTCGCCTTCTGAGATCTGCCACTGGAACTCATCTGTTTGGGACACCACATCTCTGGCATCTCCGGCCTCACCAGTGGACTCTTTGGAAGACGTTTCTAGCCAATCCTCGGACTCTGGCATATTTTCGTGTGACTCTATGAGCTCACACGGTATGGATCGCACCATTTACTACTCGTCCAAGTCACCGGAAACCAAGATGGAACACTTGCCGGAGACTGAATTTTATACCACACCTGGATGGACAGACGGCATGTTCGCTCCTTTCTCACCAGTCATGAGTGACTCGAATCAGAGTGCCTACACTCTTCCCGCGTCGGATGTAAGCTTCCCATTTCTCGGACCCTCTGTTTCCCAGGAAATGTCCATGGTAGATGCCTATCGACATGACAGCTGGGCTCCTGAGCAGCCCAACTACAGCCTTTTTGCTGAACCTGCCGTGATCGAATCCGAGATGTTTGCTTTCCCTACTCAAGGTATGGACATTCCTCAACCCACTTTCAATGCCTACTATTGCGCAACGGAGCCCTCCGCAGAGACATACTTTGGTACCATGGACACCCCAGGACAGGTCTTTACCCCTATGATCCCACAGATAGCCGGATTTGTAGGCAACCCAGTTACTATGGTTCCCTCTATCGGATATGGCAACCCTGACCCCCGTGCCGGTCACGTCAGGGTAGACAGCTTATATACTCAAGCTTGTCCACGTGAAGTTGCAGTAAGTCACAACCACATTCCATCGGACGCCCAGATTCAGGAAGTTGCTGGACACCGTCGAATGACCGTACCTGTGACTTTGAATGAGCCTGTCCAGGCAATACCGTTGCCAGTCATTGAACAGGATATGCCATACGGAGCCCCAGCCCAGCAATACAGGACACATATGCCAGCTTATCCCAATGGATCCATGATGCCGTTCCCTGGACACCCCGAGGTTCCCATTTTGGGAAGCAGTGTATCTTCTACTGGCAGTATCGCTCCTCCCGGATACGAGGAGATTCCTTGCAGTCCAGCATCTTCTACTGCAACCGCCAGGACAAGAACCGAGGATACTGATGGCCGTGCCCGCACCGACCCACTGTACTCTGCCAAGCCTAGCAAGGACGGTAGCTATCACTGCCCCTTCCTGGCTTCTGAAGGATGTCAGCACAAGGCTACCAAGCTCAAGTGCAACTACGAGTGCGTGAGTCCTTCTGTTTTCGCGAGCAATTTCTAACGTCAGATCACAGCANAGTACATTGATTCACACATCAAGCCATTCCGTTGCAAGCACCAAAACTGCAACAACAACCGGTTCTCTTCCACTGCCTGTCTTCTCCGCCACGAACGTGAGGCTCACGGACTCCACGGACATGGAAACAAACCTTTCCTCTGCCAGTTCAAGGATTGTGACCGATCAGGCCCCGACAATGGATTCCCTAGAGCGTACAACTTACTTGACCACATGAAGCGTGTCCATGGATACCGTCCGGAAAAGGTGGCCAAGACACCTCCCGCCTCTAATGCCGGAAGAGCAGCCGGGAAGTCCCAGGATAAGGTGAAGAAGAGAAAGACCGCTAGTGAAATGAAGAAAGAGACTGCATCTCCAAGACTGGTACAGAAACTTGCAGTGGATTCACGCAAGCAGCAGATGACTGCGCAGTGGCAGGCTCAGGTCAATGAGATGCAGAAGCGCTCCCGTCAACTTGGATGAATGAAGAACCGGTTCCAGGATACATGACATAACTAGACCATACCAGCCCTCCCCATGAACGGAATCACCCCAGCCAAAGGAAGGATGTGCCAAACGGGTCTCTCAACCACACAGGACCACCATGGAACACAGATCTGTCCTCTCAGAGCCAACCGGCTCAGGAGGAATGGAAGGGAAGGAAGATACATCCGACCAGTGTATTGCCAAGGAGAGAGAGAACATCCAGGAAGTAAGGATAAGAGATTGAGACAGCAGTCTCTCTAAAACCGGAAGATGTAGATACCAGATTGGACCCCAGCAGTTTCGGAGTGACTGACAGCTTGTTTCATACCGGCTTTCTGTCAACGTGTTTTTCTTGTTTTGGCTTGCCAGTTTCTTGTTTCTTGTTTTCTGTTGCTTGGAGTCTACACGACTGATTGTTGCCACAAGGAGAACTGTTGCTAGATAGCTACGATATACATATGTGATTGACTTTGCAAGACAAGCACGAGCGACGAGGCTTTTCTCTCATCTGACAGATGGCTCATATGGTTAGTTGGCCATGGGTCAGATGCGATTGCTGACCAGCCTGTCGTACTTATAGCAAGTCAAATCCTGAAGGGACTAATGGACACAAATGGTGAATTGATGGGTTTGCTCGGGAAGATTGCCCTTTGCGACAGGCAGTAGATTACTGTCGACAATCAGGGTTCTGTCAAGCGAAAGCCAAAAGCCACGAACCTCGGTGCGAACCACAGCGAACGGAAGCTGCGTCATCCGAAAAAGGGCTTTACATGTGAACGCCTAGCTAGTGCCTGCTCACAAATCATTCCAAAGGGTGAGGATCTCACGATCAAATTACATGAAGCCTGTTCTCTCGCGATCCGTGTGTTCCCTGCCTGCTACTTTGCTCCTTCCTCGTACAACCACCTTTGCGACTCAGCATATCAACACTGTGACGAGATCTTTCTTCAACTTTAGAAAAGTTACATCATCGCCTGCGACCATGTCTTCTGCCACCTCCTTCCACGAGTTCAAGCCCCTCGACAGTATGTTCGCGAGCATTTGCGACAGGCAACGTGCGACGCGAGACTGACAGTGATGCGCAGAGAAGGGCAACGTCTATGACCTGTCCAAGCTCAAGGGCAAGGTCGTCCTTGTCGTCAACACTGCCAGCAAGTGCGGCTTCACTCCTCAGTTCGAAGGCCTCGAGAAGCTCTACAAGGGTGCGCAATCTTCACTCTCGCTTTACACACCCCTCCCCCTGACTTTTATCTTCACCACAGACCTCAAGGCCGCCCACCCCAACGATGTCGAGTTCCTCGGCTTTCCCTGCAACCAGTTCGGCTCTCAAGACCCCGGCTCCAACGACACAATCCAAGAGTTCTGCCAACTCAACTACGGCGTCTCGTTCCCCGTCCTCGGCAAAACCGACGTCAACGGCGACAAGGCCGAGCCCGTCTTTGAGTGGATGAAGGCCGAGCAGCCCGGTCTCATGGGCTTGAAGAGAGTCAAGTGGAACTTTGAAAAGTTCTTGATTGGCAAGGATGGCAAGGTCAAGGGCAGATGGGCCAGCACCACCAAGCCTGAGGCTCTGAAGGCGCCTATTGAGGCTGCTTTGAAGGCTTAGATCTCAAGAGCATGAGAAGCGAGGATGAATATGAAAGAGACGAGAGGCAATGGAGGCATTTCTTGCATAACGACTTGCGCTGAGGATGTGTGCGCAAGTAGGATCGAACCCCCTGATACCCGTGTGTTTTTGATAAGCAGAATATCCCTATCATAAGAATTGCATTACGCATTTGTTGCTTTTTCAAGAGCACCTTTGAACCACCATACCCTTGCTTCTGCAGACTTCGGCACAAAAGTGATGACTTCCAAGTCGACCATCCACAACACGACAGTAGATATTGTTCTAGAACCACTCACAATAATCTGTGCCTTGAGCGACATAGAGTGTCACCAGGCTCCACCCGTACAGAACACGAATACGAATCGAAGCCTCGGGACTTTGGTCACACTGACCGTCTTTCGAAGCCACGACCACCGACCAACCTTCTTCTCGCTCCCCTTAAGTTCTATACCAGTGAACATATTTGCGAGGATTTTGATCAAAACATAGGTAAGCATTGTTATCTTGTTCTCCCTTTGTGTTTGATTTCTCGCTGTGTGTACTTTCGTTCGCGGTGTCTTGAAGAATACGTTTCCCAAATTTATGACGCCTCTATCTTCTGCGTTCCTCCCCTCGTCTCATTTGTCCATGGTACTCGAAGAATCATGATACAGGACGGAAAAAGGTCTGGTGTTTACTCTCATCCTCGCCATATGCCCTGTCTTGTAAAACACAAAAAATTATGTTATCTTCTCATTTTCTCTGAACACTTCTCATCATTTCTATTCATTTTGTCGTTTCTCCAGTTTTGCAACCAAAAGAAAGTGAGCTGACAAAGATCTATACTCAGCTCATTTTTAATCACGGCAGCAGAAAAAAGAATCTTCTTTATCAATGTGGGGCAACAATATTCCCATCCCCAATGGTCTAAACACCTTTGACGACAAAAAGTCGACCTACGATCAAGAAGCCATGCTCCGCGCCGCCGCCATGAGCACAAAAAAACTCCACATCGGCATCGTGGGCGCTGGGTTCTCTGGCTTGCGTTGTGCCGATGTATTGCTATCTTATGGCCACCGCGTCACCATTTTCGAAGCTCGCAACCGTGTAGGTGGCCGAGTGGGCCAGAGCAATCATTTAGGTCATACAGTGGACTTGGGACCCAACTGGATCCACGGAACAGACGCGAACCCGGTGTTCGAAATCGCGAAGAAGACGGATACGCAACTGCATTATTGGGATGAGAGACAGCGGATCTTGGATACTGATGGCACGCCGCTATCGACCGAGGAAGCAGAAGAATATGGCAGTATCTTGTGGGAGAATGGGTTAATCTCTCAAGCCTTCAAGTACAGTAGAGAAAATACTGCTACCATCGACGCTTCAACCTCTTTGATGGATTACTTTGCCGAAAAGGCAGAGACCCTGTTCACGAATCTGGAAACCAAGGAGGCACAAAGGAAGAGAAGGACTTTGTTAAAGGTATGTGACTTCTGGGGCAGTTATGTGGGGAGTGCTACGACGCAGCAAAGTTTGAAGTACTTTTGGTTGGAGGAGTGTATAGAAGGTGAGAATCCTTTTGTTGCGGGTACTTACACGAAGATTCTGGAACATGTGGCGAAACCTGCGCTGGAGAAGGCGGAGGTCAAGTTAGAGACGAAGGTTGAGGGTATAATAAGGAGAACGAATGAAGGCGAAAAGGTCAAGGTGGAGGTTGATAACGGAGAGAAGTATGAGTTTGACGAGGTGGTCATGACGGCACCTTTGGGATGGTTGAAGAGAAACAAGAACGTCTTTGTCGATGGGTTGACGGAGGAGCTGAACACAGCTATCGATGCTATTGGGTATGGTTCTTTGGATAAGGTGTGTCTCCGCCCGATCTCTTCCTTCGCACTCCTCCACTGACCAGAGTCACAGATCTACATCACCTTTCCCACCGCCTTCTGGGAGACATCTCTAGAAGAAGGAGAACCAAAAGGCACCGCTACCATCACCAGTTCCAATACCCCAAACACAACAGCAACAACAGCACCACTACATCAAGCCTCTTCCACTACTCCAACAACAGGCTATCCAGGATTCACCCACTGGCTAGCACCCACCTACTCACCCGACGCAAACCCGCACCAATGGGACCAACAAGCCATGAATCTCGCCGCTCTACCAGGCACCTCTGCACACCCCTCCCTCCTCTTCTACATCTACGGCGCTTGCTCCACTCATATCGCCTCTCTCGCTCAACTACCCCAACCCACCCGCGATGAATCCCTCAAAGCTTTCATCGCACCCTACATCTCTCGCCTACCCAATTACTCTGTTAATTCTGCTGCTTGCAAGCCCAAAGCAATCTTTGCGACAGCTTGGGCGGGAGACGAGTTGGCTGGTTATGGCAGTTATGCAAATTTTCAGGTTGGGTTGGAGGATGGAGATAAACATGTGGAGACCATGAGGAAGGGCATGCCAGAGCGAGGCATTTGGATTGCTGGCGAGCATACGTCGCCGTTTGTTGCTTTGGGTACGGCGACGGGGGCGTATTGGAGTGGTGAGAAGGTTGCACTGAGGATACTGGAGAAAGCTGTAGCAGGGTACAAGGAGGAAGGAGAGAAGTAGATGATGTATCTTGGATGTTCTTTTTGCATTTTGGAGATGTATGTTGTTTCCTCTGCCTTTTTGCATTTATGGATGCGTTGCTTGATATCTTGCATGTAGTAGTTTCTTCTATTGCTTCCTCGAATGCAATCAAGAGCTGAATTGGAAGCAGGAATGATCAGGTCTTTTATAAAGGGCGTAGAACCAAGACAATCCGCCCTTGAAGCGAGTAAAAGCTTTTATACTTTGTGATGTGCCCTTCATTATCCGTCTTCTGACCATCACAGATATCCTAACGGCTTTTCTATATTTCGACCCGCTGCTCTTCATATGTGAATCCATGGCTCTTTAGTCGTACAACATATCTTTCCTTTGTTTCTACAACATTTACAGCTTGCCCTCGGTCTCTTCGACATATTTCTTCAGATGCTCAATCGTGACGACCTTGATACCGTACTTCTTTCCAAAGTCGATGCACTCCTTGGCCCTCATCATATGCAAGCCTCCTCTTTCTGCCTTCCCCTCGACTTCCGTCGACTCTTCTACAATCTCTGCAATGACACCGACATTGTTCTTGTCTCCCGATAGCCTTGCAAACTCGACTGCTGCCTCTGTGTGTCCTTGTCGTTGGCGCACACCACCAGCTACCGCGCGCAACGGCACCACATGTCCAGGCCTTCTGAAGTCGTTCGCCTTGACGTCTGCATTGGCGAGCAAGCGACACGTTGTACTGCGATCGGTAGCTGAGATACCGGTAGTGACATTGTCGGAAGCGTCAATGGTGATGGTGTAGGCAGTGCGATTGGGGTCTGCGTTGGAGGACGCGGCGACCATGGGAGGTAGATCGAGTTTGTCGGCTAGGGCGTTGGGGAGAGCGGCGCACAGGTAGCCAGAAGTGTGGTGAATCATGAAAGATGCTTTTGCGGGAGTGAGGGCCGAGGCGGCAATGATGAGGTCGCCTTCGTTTTCACGGTTGGGACTGTCGAGCACGAGGACGAACTCGCCGGCGGCTNNGTAGGAGACAAGGCATTAGTGGGTGATTGAGAGTGTATATGGTTGCGCAGTGGGTAGGATACCAAAGGCCTTGATGGCTGCAGGTATGTCGTCAAAGACGAGGTCGCTGGAGTGGTCTGCCATTGCGTATGTATGTGTGGAGGTATGCGATCGAGAGAACGAAAGTTACAAGTGTAGGCAGGGACGATGTGGTGGATGGTGTATGGGCGCAAGGGTGGAAGGTGCTTTGGACTGTTCTCGCTGATGACTGTTGGCTTCCCGAAACACGCCGCACGAGCAATCGTTGATTACTTGAGCAATTGGTAAGCTGCCGACCTTTACTCTTGGGTTCAATCTATGTTATGAGCAACAGGATTGGACAACATCATATCTGTAACATTATAATTGCAAGAGACACGATTCAGTTGTATGACAGAAAGTGGCAGGTGTATAAATGCAGATGGATGGCATAGAGTCAAAGTTCATGGCGGGGCAGTCGCAGCTGGAGGAAGCACTTGCCCAAACCCTTGCCGAATCCCCGAGAACTCCGAGGCAAACATTTAACCCTCTTTGTCGAACAAATCCTGGCTAATTGACTGTCATTTCCTTTGCTCTCTTCGTCTTTCGAGACTCTGCTCACACTCAACTGTATAAACATCTTCTAAAGCTTCGACTCCCTCAAGTTTGCCGCATGCTCATCTTTCAACACGGCGAGCAACACTCCTTGCTCTACATCGTCACCCTCTTCGTCTTCTAATTCAAGAGCCCACGTTACTACTCCTGACCTCGGACTTCGCACCTCCAACTCCATCTTCATCTGCCGCACGAATGCAATCACCTGTCCTTCTTCCACCTCTTCTCCTTCTTCGACAAGCATCTCTACCAGCTTACCGTTCATCGGCAATATGACATGCCTCTTGTTCTTCGCATCGCCTTTCTTGTGCCTTGAAGCGACTGCGGCTTGAGATGCACTCGTGCTCTCCAGTGACATCTGAAATGTTTGCGATCCTGCACCTGACGTGCTGAATGCGACAACAGCCGACAGCGAGTCCGGAAAATCATTCTTCAAAACTTTCTCGATCCTCACATGATGATTTTGTGATGCCTTTTCTCTGGACGTTTCGACTGGGGACAGGCTTAAAGACCATGCGTTACCCCTCCGTAACATCGCCCCTTCAGCTGCACCTCCACTGCTTGGTCGATCTGAAGAGTCGTTTACAGCAGGTAAGCCGGCGTTCAGATTTTTATGTCTNTCACCAATCTTCTCGCCAGTTGCTAGCAACCTCTTGACGTTTTTCTCTAGCCATCGATTGTCTGCTGTGCCGCTCTTGAATGCTTGGTCTGCAACAATCGCTCGAAGCAGATCCAAGTTGGTCTTTACGCCAACGACTTCTGTATCTTCGAGTGCTCGACGTGCTTTGGCTACCACTCTTGGCCAGCTCGATGCTGTGATAATGATCTTCGCTAGAAGATTATCAAACTCTGATCCTACCACAGCACCTCGCACGATATGTGTGTCTACTCGAACACCGTTTCCGCTCGGGAATCTTGCTTGTGTGATCTTGCCAGTGCTGAGTGAAAAGTCCGCATGCGGGTCCTCCGCGCATAATCTTAGCTGCACAGAGAATTTGGAAGGCGGTCTCGTGTCTGCTGTGGTGGGTAGGTCGGCGATATGATCTGTCAATCCTTGAGCTAGCAGAAGTTGCTCATGCACCAAGTCGATATCCGCTATACTCTCGCTGATTGTGTGCTCCACCTGAATCCTGGGGTTGATCTCTAGGAAGTAGAACTCCTTCTTGTCGACATTGACAAGGAACTCGAAAGTTCCTAGACCGAGATAGTTGATTCCTTGTGCCATGCGGATCGCCGCCGCAATAACTTGGACCGCAGTCTTTCGATCTTCTACTACGGCAGGTGCAACCTCGACGATCTTCTGGAAGCGTCGTTGCATGCTGCAATCTCTTTCCCAAACATGCTTGACTCCACCTTGTCCATCACCAATAATTTGGACTTCGATGTGCTTGAAGCCATCCACAGCTGCCTTTTCTGCGAATACCTTGCCTGAAGGACTTTCGGCGATGCATCTCTGTACTGCTGTTTGCAATTCTGCTGCTGAGCTGACTAATCTGATCCCTCTGCCTCCTCCACCATCTGCGGCTTTGATCATGACCGGAAAGCCTACTTTGCTTGCAAATCCTTTAACGTCTTCGAGGTCCTGAGATGGCCTTGTCATGGCTTGTAAGACGGGTACATTGTACTGAGCAGCAAGTTTCTTGGCTTCCAGTTTATCTCCGGTGGTGCTGAGGATGCCGTGTCCAGGCCCGATCACCATGCAATTTGCTTGCTCCAACATTTGTTGAGCAAAGTCGGCGCTTTCGGATAGGAAACCATAACCGGGATGTATGGTGTCGATGTCTTTGTCTTTTACTAGTTGTAAAAGTGCGGAAACATCCATGTATGTTGCTGGCGAGGGTATCTCTAATGCATGATCTGGTCGTCCTAGCGTGATGTGTGTCGAATCATTGAATGTATAGAGGCAATACGTTTCCGGCGGATCTGGTAATTCTCGAGTCGACTGTAAGATGCGGATTGCAATCTCTCCTCTGTTTGCAACCAGGAGCCTTTTGATGGGTCGTTGTGTGATGGTGGTGGACATGGTTGTGGTTGCCAGGATCGTGATTCCAGCCTTTTCTTACAACGTCGATGATGATCTGAGATATCCAGTGAGTTGAATTCAGGCTCCAAGTATTTGAACACCTCTTGATGGTAGGCATACGGTATCGTCGAAGGTGTGTAGTAGTCGGTTAGTACGATACCTTGATCAACGGAGGCGCGGGGTTGTGCCTCGGCAGAAAGCTACCTCAGCCTGTCAACATCTACTAATGTGTCGAAACTCGTTCTTGAGACTTATTCTCAATTAATTGCGTCAAGCAACACTGTTTTGATCAATCAAACCAAGCAAGGGCTCATCAGTGTCGAGGCTAGACAATATGCCAGACGTTAAGGACAAAACAACAACAAGGTACTGCCTTCACCACAGTTATATATATCAAGAGACATATTGACAGCCGAAAGTGTTTCTAGCAACAAAGATAGTAGGCTGCAAGTATCGGGACCCAATGACGAACCCAGCAAAGCAACCTCTCGTCTATCACAGCTATCCTCACATCTTACTCCACCACTCTCTAAACAGCGAAAGACAAGGCCAAAGGCCAAGAATGCACTCCCGGCCGACTATTCAGACCTGATGGACCAACTCACCACCATGAAGAATATTGCCTCCAAACCTCCTGAGACCTCAAAAGGCCATTCTCGCCAAAAAGCAGCTGGGAAATTGTTTGCTCGCGAACGAATCAATCTCTTCCTCGACAAAGGCACTTTCAAAGAAGTGGGCGCTGTATCAGGCACAACTACATGGCAAAAATCACCTACCCATGCTGTTTCGGAAACAGTCAAAGACTTTGTGCCCAGCAACAATCCTCAAGGCTTTGGAATGGTGACTTGTCCGGGGACGAAACAGCAAAGAAGAGTATACATCACAGCCGACGACTTTGCCATTCGCGCTGGCCATGCCGATGGATCCAGTCATCTCAAAACCCTCTATGGCGAGGAAACAGCCCTAAAACTCAAGATTCCTGTTGTCAAACTCGTGGATGGATCTTCAGGCGGTGGTAGCGTGACGACAATAATGGCGCAAGGATGGTCCTACTTGCCGCCTTTGACGAGTTTCCCAGCAGTGATAAAGCAGCTCAATGCTGGAATACCAAATCTGGGCGCCGTGGTGGGTCCCGCGATTGGTCTTGGTGCTGCTCGCGTGGTGTCGACGCATTTTTCGGTCATGGCGGCTGACGTGGGGAGTTTGTTCAATGCAGGTCCTAGTGTTGTTGCGGAAGCGACGTTTGAGGAAGGCCTAACGCTAGAAGACTTGGGTGGGTGGGAGGTACACTGCCGCAATGGTACCATTGATAACTTGGCTCCCAATGAGGCAGCTGCGTTCGAGCAACTGAGAACAGTCTTGGGGTTCCTTCCTAATTGTGGAGATCTACAGCATCCTCCTATTCTGGCAGAAGATTGGTCTGGCGATACCACGGAAAGAGAAGATCTCAATCTCCGCAGCATCATACCAAGAAAGAAAGGAAGGATGTACAATCCCTACACCATCATCACCTCGGTTGTTGACAAGTCATCCTTTTTCGAAATTGGACGCCTATGGGGCACAACTGCCATCACTGGTCTCGCACGTCTCGCTGGCCGTCCCGTAGGTATCATCTCCAACAACTGCGAGTCCTCCACCGGAGGCGCCCTAGACNCCCTAGGCAGCCAAAAGCTCACACGGATGATAAAGTTCTGCGACGTGTTCAATCTGCCAATCCTCCAATTCGTGGACATACCTGGTTATGCGATAGGGACAAAGGCGGAGCGAGGAGCAACCATGAAATGGGGTGTCGAATTGGCAAAAGCTTACTATATATCCACCACACCCATCTTCTCCGTGGTTACAAGACGCTGTTACGGTATTGCTGGAGGCGTGATGATAGATTCGCGATCTCCTCGTTCGCTGGTGGCATGGCCAAGCGGAGAATGGGGGTCTTTGCCGCTGGAAGGAGGTATTCAAGTCGCTCATCGAGCAGAGTTGGCTGCGATTGCAAAAAGTCAGGGTGAAGAGGCCATGAAGAAGAGATATGCAGAATTGGATGCAGAGTATCGACGCTTGATGAATCCAGTCAGAGCGGCGAATGCATTTGGCGTCGAGCAGATCATCGATCCAAAAGACACAAGAAGTGTGGTCTGCGCTTGGGCGAAGGATATGTATGGTTTGGTCATGGTCGAGAGACTTGAAGACCGTAAAGCGAGGAGGATCGTGCCTACGTTTACTTGAGTTTTCATTTTGGTCCCCAAAGATCAGATTATGCTGTTATCATCCGGTTGTCGACCGATGTCAACGAGTTGGTTACATGATCGATGATCACTCCTTCCGGCGGGGTAGCGGGAGGAGTGCTTTTAACCATATGACCTTGCTTATGACACCTTTGACAAAGTGATCTCGACATCGCTCATCAGCTTGTTTCGTCAGACTATCAGACCGTTCAGACCATTCGTTCTCCTCTAGTCATGACAACTAACACCACCGAAAATGCAGCGGAACGTCAACGTCTTGAAGGGTTCTTCAGTGCTTCTCGCCAGGGTATTCTTGATTCCATCAGACGAGATCCGACAAACGACGGCGGCCTCATGCAGAACATTCAGTTCGCAATCCAATATCCCCAAGATATCTTACTCAGGAATGGGATGCGAAAGTCTGACATGTATCTCGAAATAGAGCTCAAGGATCTTTGGTGGAAGACGATCGAAGCAGCAAAGTTCTATCCAGCCGATGACGAAGGACGACAATATAGACTCATAGCCTGGATTGCCGGAGCGAGAGGGCGTCCTCCTGTATCAAGCACCCAGCAGGATACATACGTCGCAGATGGTGGAAAAATCTTGTGGAAAGATCTTCCGTTCTTCCAAGAAGCGCTCGAATCGGCATGGGCGGATCGAGCCAGCTTGTCAAAGGTTGAATGGACGAATCTGAATGCTTTTGTTTCTCGACTCATGCAAGTCACTGGAATGGACCTGATGAGTTTCGGCCTGGAAACCATCCGGGAGGCATTGGAAGAAGGAAGACCTCTATTCATGATGGCTGGCGAGGGTCAGCAAGGGGAGAGATGCATAGCAGATCTATTGCCGGCTACACTACTTTGGTTGAGGCATTCGCACGGGTTTATGAAGATCATGACAGTGGTTGTCGAGCGGGCTATCAAAGAGGGTCTCGAACGACCATCAGGGTGTGGGGGTAACGTCATGCCAGGAGAGCTAGCCGTGGCCAGTGAAGTATCGAGGGGTGGCTTAAGTCTCGCAAGAAGACGCTTTTGGAGATTGCGTCTCTTGGAGATTGGACAAATGGAGGGTGGAGCTGAAGGTAACAACGATGCTACAGTTGCAGATGCCTGTGAATGGGCGAAGAGAATTGGGACGTGGAATCTCGATTGGCCAGCAGAACTCAAAGACGTGCCTGGATGGGAAGAGGCAATACGCTATCGTCCCAATCCGATGCCCAGAAATTAGCACTGTCCAGCGTAGGTCCCGTATTATGGAGTGCTGCCCACTAAGACTGATTCGAAAGCAAAAGATTGGCATATCCGTCTGTCGTTCCAATATCACACTCGTCCTCCCTGGCGTAGGTACCGATAGACAGAATAGATCTGAATCCTCCCAACAATCCGTCGAGCTCGCCCACACAAGTCAACGGGGTTCAAATGAGTCCTCAGCCCTTTCTCACACAAGAATACAGGACTTGCATGTCTTGGGTATGTCAGAAATGGCTGAGCAAATAAAATTATTTCTAATCAGCTGTCACAGTTGTCGAGGACAACGCAATCAATCAAAAAGTTATCTCGCAGCAATTGCGGAAACTTGGAGTTGCTTCAGTCCAAGTCGCCGATCATGGGCTGGACGCACTAGAGCTGCTATCGACCACCACCTTTTCTGGCCCTGCCGATGCAGGCAAGACACCGTTGTCTGTGGTTCTTCTAGATGTGGAGATGCCTGTCATGGATGGATTGACTTGTGCACGATGAATACGCGAGCTTGAAGAAAACAAAGAAATAGTACGACACGTGCCGGTCATTGGGATAACAGCAAATGCTCGTACGGAACAGATTGCGGCCTGCATCGAGGCGGGCATGGATGAGGTTGTGGTATGTCTCGATATTCAATCGCCTTGTGTGCTTCTACTAATATGTTCGTTTCAGACCAAGCCTTTCCGTTTGGCACAGGACGTTGTCCCACGCATGCTGGCGCTCGTCGATCAACACACGACTATGGAATGATGATGGTTCCCTCGAGATGATGTCTTCTATCAGTTGTAGCATCTATTCAGCCGGGGACAAAGGTCCAGTCCACTACCATCATTGTCACGCTTCACAATAAGTCCACGGAGTTCGACGAGGAACTGGCCATTGCACGTTAGTCAAGGCCCTCTTGATTGAGGTTTGGCTATGTCAACTTCCATGATGGCTTTCTCTGTGCTGGCGTGGGGAAAGGAACGATCATGTTTCTAGCAGATGGCAAGAGTGTGAGCCGGATGATTGCAAAACCCTGCGAGAGATGGTCAAAAATCATTGACAGATTGGTCGCAATCTCAAATATTTTAAGAAGTGCTGTTGAATAGAAAGCCATCCAGATTTTACGAGAATATAAAGCATACGTGTATATGCATTATCATATGCAGTTTTTGCTATCTGCAGAGACCTGCTTGTAGCTCGATTACCCAGCAGGCATCCTTCCTCATCCGGACACTACGAGCGGAGCTATCGGAGTTGGCGCCCCACAATCACATGCTTCGGGTCGAACATTTACTTGGTTGTTCGTTCAGAAAGCGCGACTCTTGGATACAGTAACTCTGTTCACCACGGCGCTCTTGTCTAGGCAGTCGCAGACACGCTCGCCGCAGTCGCGAGACGGACCCATGCCGTACCGCTAGCCCTCAGCTCTGTCCCACGACCGCGCGACCTCCCGACCATGTAACTACTGATTACTCGTTTCTCGAATCCCGTCATGTCGTCACCCAATGCTTCAAAGATGACTTACAACAATCTCACCGTCGTAGGCCTCCGGCAAGAGTTCACACATCGTGGTCTCTCTACTGCCGGCATCAAGCTTAAGAAGGATTTGATGGCGCGTCTGCAGCAACATGACAGTGATAACAATGTCAATACATCGTCTTCTGTCGTCAAGTCAGAACCCGACTTCGACTCTTCGTCTCTCACAGTCAAAGCAGACGAGTCCTTGCCTGCCACCGTCAAGACTGAGACTCCATCTGTGCCACCTTACGAACCGTCAGAGTATGGCTCCGACGACCTGTTCGATGAACTCGACGCCGATGCTCTAGTCAGTGCAAGCCAGCAATTCCAGTCCGCCTTTCCCAGACCCGACTCCTCCTTCGCCATCCCTCCGACTCCTACACTCAAGCGTCCTCTCCCCACGGACAACGACGACGATGACCTCTCGGGCGATGACATGTTCGATGATCCGAGCATCGAAGAGATATGGACCTCGTCACAACAAGAGAGACATAATACAGCTCCACCAGCAGACAAGCCTGAGCATGTCGCTCTAGTCCGCAGGCTGCTGCGAGAAAAGTTTGGGTATCCCGCTTTCCGTGGCGAACAGGAGAAGGCCATACTGTCAATATTGAGAGGCGAGAACACTCTGACCATCTTTCCCACAGGCGCGGGGAAGTCGCTTTGCTACCAGATTCCAGCCATTGCCTTTCCGCTCATGGACAAAATGAGTGGTAATGAACGACCACACGGAGCTGGCATCACACTTGTCGTTTCACCTCTCATTGCGCTGATGAAAGACCAGACTGATGCTTTGAAGAAGAGAGGCATCGCTGCTGATTGTTCCGACTCGACAAAGACGTATGAGCAGCATCAACAAATTCACGCCGATATCCACTCCGGAAAACTGCGTTTGTTATACGTGTCTCCTGAAAAGCTCTCTAATGAAGCTTTTGTTGCAAGTATGAAACACGTAGCAGGCGGTGTCAGGCTCGTTGCCGTCGATGAGGCTCATTGTATATCTGAGTGGGGCCACTCGTTCCGCCCAACTTACTTGATGGTCGAGCGTTTCACGAAAGAGATCAAGGCTGAAAGAGTCATCTGTCTGACTGCGACTGCTACGCCCAAAGTCGCTGACGACGTACGCGCAGCCTTCAGCGTCTTAGAGCGCAACGAGTTCCGCACCAGTCCGTATCGCCCCAACCTTAGACTGGAAGCGGTCGCTACAGACTCGCAGNGGGCGAAGCTCCCGCTGTTGTTCAAGTGGCTCAGAGAACACCCAGGTCCTATCATAGTCTACGTCACCCTCCAACAACAAGCAGAGGATTTGTGCAAGACTCTGCGTCAAAAGTCGTTCAATGCTGCGTTCTATCATGCCGGCATGAAAGTTGAAGAAAAAACAGCTGTGCAAGACAGCTTCATGGCTGATGAGATCAGAATTGTCGTTGCAACTATCGCTTTCGGCATGGGCATCGACAAATCAGACATCAGAGGAGTGGTCCACTTCGACCTCGCTTCGACAGTCGAAGAGTACAGTCAGCAAATCGGTCGCGCAGGAAGAGATGGAGAGCCTGGCTATTGCATCATGTTCATCTGCCATGCGGATATCTACCTGCGTCAGAACTTCAGTCTCGGCGACCTTCCTTCTCGCAACTCATTGCTGCGCCTGCTCAAAGACGTATTTGGTCGCGAACGCACACCGGACATCGAAGGAGAGGTTATCAAGTTGGCACACCGCGAGTTATCAACTCTCTATGATATCCGTCTTAGTCCGCTTGGTGTCGTTTTCGCTGCGCTCGAACTGAGATTTGGTCTCTTGCGTGCCATCACACCGGAGTACACCAGTTATCAGTTCGAAGATAAAGGCCGTTACCACACTGTAGCTTTCAGCGATCACTCGCCAGAGGCTAGAGCCGTCTACTCGATGTCTACCAAAGCCGTCAAGAACTTCACTTTTGACATGAACGCGGCTACTCGAAGAGGTCTCATGCGTGCGGATCTCGTCAGGAAGCTAGACAGCTGGAATGCTACTGGAGTCATCATGCTCAAGACCTCAGGGGTCATGAACCGCTACAGAGTTTTGAGTCCTTTGCCTACAGTCGAAGAAGACATCCATGCTCTAGCCGATGATCTGTATGCAGATATGGCCCAGCGCGAGAAGGATGCTCTTGGTCGTATTGATCAGATGGTGGGTCTTATCACGGGAAAAAGCTGCCTTGCTCTTGGTCTTGCGCAGCACTTTGGCATGGAGCTGCCAGACGGCAGACATGCGTGCGGCCATTGTACCCATTGTGCCTGGGGTGAAGCCGCAACCTTGTCGCCTAAGCCAGCTCCACCATTGAACGTAGAAGGCGTCAAGCGGGTTCTGGCTGCTTGCCCCCACGATGATCCCAGACTCCTGGCGCGTGTCGCTTTCGGCATCAAGAGCCCAAGAATTACTCAACTCAAGTTGGACAAAACCCCAGTGTTCGAGTCGTTGGCTGATCACGAATTCAGCGTGAGTTGTTTTCGACAAATGCATTATCCATCGTACTGACAAGTTTTACAGACGCTTCTCAGAGAATTCGAGACAGCTTGTAGAACTGCGGCTCACGGGCCTCTGGATGTGATGCCGACTCCGGTAAAAGCTAAGAGCTCACCGAGAAGGACATGGAGCGCAGGTCGCTCAGGCTCAACTGGCAGTGCCAGAGGCCGAGGAGGAAGCAACAGCTACAGTGGCGGAGGAAGCTACAAGAGAGGAAGTAGCAGTGGAAGTAATCTCGGTAGAGGTGACTCTAAAAGAGGACGTGGATCATATGGTTCCTACCGCTGAATATAAGGCTCGAGAGGTTGAACATTGCTACGATCGCCAAAGGACAGGTAGATATTGCTGTTCACACAGGCACGAATAACGAAAACATACATAATGGCAACGAGCTTTATCGACAACACTGTTTACGGCGTTGTTTCACAAGGCAAACAAAAGAAGGGAGAAGATTGGAAAAAACCAAAAAAGGTAGATTTTATAATGATACTCAGATCGCCAACAAACACAAATGATCTCTCAAGAAGAAGGGTTTTCAAAACAAGTCCTTTCAGCAATCTCCAACATAGCACCCGCAGACTCAAGAACAGTGTTCATGTCATTGCAATTCTCGATGTCAGTAGTGGACGAGGCAAGCATACGAAATTCTCTAGAGTGATAGATGCAGCTTCTACAGCTGGAGTGGCGGCAACCTGAGCAAGTCACAGCATAAGTTGACTGAGTGTAGTGGCAGCGGCAGCAGGTCCAGGGCATTTTGGATGAGTTGTGGTATGTTGTGAATGTGGTAGGTTTGTAGATGGTTGTGGATGGATAAGGATACATGGTGGAGATGCTCTAAGGATGGTTATGTAGTATGTTGTTTCTTGTGTAAGGGAGCATGGTTTGTAGATGGCAGACAAAGAAGTTGATAGAGGTGAGGGGTTGTGTGAAAGAACGGGTTGGAAAGGTTTGTAGTGCTTGACAAAGGAGAGGTGTAGATGCTTGGTACTGTATAACAAAGGACAAGGAATATAGGTAGGTGAAGGTGTTTGTTTCCATTGACAGCGGCTTGTGTAAGAAGTTTGATATGAACAGAGGTTGTGTGAATTGGTGTTTGGCTTGCATACCGGATATGTGGGTGTTCAGAAACCAGTTTGTACATTTCCAATTCCATCGTGCCTTCCTACATCAACACTGTCTTCCACATGAAAAATAGACAAGACGAAGTTGGAAAGCAGACAATTACCGGTACTTGACCTGCAACTTCCATTACGTAGCTGTTAGAATGTTGTCTAGTGCTTCCGCGTATTGAGCAGCCCGCCCTACTCAGACAAAACCTGCCGATAGCGCTCTGTGCTCGACATCGACCTGGCTTTGGAAGGTAAGTAGCTATACAGAAATTAGCATTCCCGCCTACTTATCGACTATAAAATTGTATCATGCATTGCTTGTGTATCGCTATAATCTCTGTGGCTAAGTCCGGATAGATTCATTCTCGCCATCAACCTGGCTTGTAAGGATGTGGGTGCTCGATCCTGAGTCTTGCTTCCTGTTGCGCATGAAAGACGTCTAGCCAATTTGCCGACACAACGAGCGTGTCCATTAACAGATGTTGGCAACGTAGACCCGGCTGTCGAACATATGCTGAGTGCTTTGATCATCCGAACTTGGCATCGTGCTAGCTGCCATGATGATGTGAAGCTGAAGCAGATGTAGTATGCCAAGATAGCAGAAAAGGTTTACCATGTTTGAGTGTCATGGCTTTTGTTGCCGGGAAATTGGCAAAATGGGTTGTTGAGATTCTCCTCTATGTGTGTGGGTAAACATTATTCGTGAAGTATTGGAAAAAGTCCAACAATGTGCGATGATTATGTACAATGGATGACGAGACAGGACTGAATCTCTGTCGTCAGGGGGTATTTCTATACTTGTGATGGTTGTTCCGCGTAAAGTGCATCAGATGCTGCCTTGTTGTCCTTGAACGCCAGAATAGCGATCCATAAGGTCAAAGACCATGGCATTGTCGACACGACATTCGTTGCCGTCGGCACGGCAGCCAAGGGCTGACTCGACCTCGTCACCCGCCTCGGAATGCAAGGCGCGGATTGCACCTGCGGCTGCGAAGCAGGAAGATGTATTGCCTTGTTGGTTGTAAACAGCAGTGTTGGAATGCGTGGGCGATGCATATGTTCCTGGAGTTGGAAAGGCCGCCTGGGGTGAGGTGTAAGTTCCAGAGTGCGGGATGGGTTCGGCGGCAGCCATGTCCCAGTCGAGCAGTTGAGACTGCGGTACCGAGTAGCCGAAGGGCTGAGGTGCGTAGATGGGATAGTCATTGGCGAAGGCGTCAGGAGAGGTATGCACGTTTTGATGCGGGGCCAGGGGTGCCGAGGCATGTTGTGGAGGCGACATGAAGAACTGCTGCTGTTGTTGAGGCTGAAGATGGTGATGCTGAGGATGGTTTGGGAACTGCATGTGCTGCTCACCCTGCTGTTGGAAGTGCTGGTGTTGAGGCAGCTGTTGGTTGGGGCCCGACGGTTCGTGAGATCGAGGTCGGGAGGCAGGAGCGACGGCAGGAGCAGGAGCAGAAGCAGAAGCAAGAGCAGAGACAGGAGCAGGAGCAAGAGCGATGGGCCTCAGCTGCTTCTGTTGTGGTTTGGAAGGAGCGCACACTGGAGCAGCAGGCGTCGAGATGACGCTGTGTCGCCTCGACTCCATGTCGTCCTCATCCTCGGTCTTGCACATCTGGCTGTCGCCGCAGATCGAGCCCGACGACGGCCGACACGGCTTCCTGGTCACCAGCATGACCTCTAGCATCTCGGCGGCCAAGGGCGACGAGGCAAACTCGTCGTGCTCGGGGCCATCAATGTCGGCATCGCTGAAGCCTTGGTGCCGCAGCAGTCGGCGCAAGCGCTTGTTTTCTTCGAGCACTTTTCTCGCCGCAGATTGTATCTCCTGCGACGCCTCTGCGCCGACGGCCTCGCACGACCTGTACTTTGTTTCCAAGNNCTCTTGCAGGTATTCCTTGCGGCGGGCGCGCGATCTTCGCTGGTTGTCGCTAGGACGCTCGAAATTAGCCTTTTCTCTAGGGTCTGTCTTCACTCGTCGGTTGTTTGTACCGGATGCGCGCCAGGTTGGCCTTCTGCTGTGGCGTAGATTCGCTCATGGTTGCTGTCGCTTGCCGTCTATGCCTCTGTTCATCAAGTGCAAGGGATACGCCGACAAGTGGGCAGGCGCATCTTGTTGATCAAGTGAGGAGGAGGAGGACAGAAGGCTCTGGCCTCGAGAATGATCCAGCCTCTGCAAAAGCAAAGGCCCGCCGCCCCATCTTCCCCGAACCATATGGGGAACTGACTTGAACCTTCGTTCGTCCATGGGCTTGCAAGCCTTCGGGACGTGGTATACGTGTCTCGACACTCTCACACATCGTCTCAATTAAAAACGTCCGCCTACAAGCGCGTAATGTATAGCAATTCGCTTGCAGACAGGTACGTGCCACACTGCTGATAAGAGCCATTGGCATTATCCTGTTGCCCAATTCGGCCATCATCAAGCGCCAAGTCTACTCAGCCTCCTCTCCGCAGGCCTTGTGCACGTGACTATGTCGAGCCGTTTCTTCGAATCATGGTCCATGCAAGCCCTTGTCGTGTCAAACATCATCTCCTGCTTGGCTCTACCAGTACTTCGATCAGCCTCACCAACTTCCGCCATTACTGCCTCTGTCTCTTTGCTGATCTACTCAATCGGCTGTCGTCGACCATAGCCTCGTCTCCCAGAGCAAAGCTCAATAAGCAGCCCCTGAGGAACCTCCTGGCCTTGTCCAAGTCGATATCATACTGGTGAAGCCACACAACAGCTCGGTGGGAACGCCGTAAAACCAAGTCTCTTATACCAGAGCTTAAGGTTCCGAGAAGTTGGCTTGAATCGATGTCAAAACAACCTCACGACAATGTCCGGTCTGGGCAAACGACAACTTTGTCACTTTTCAATCTGCCAATTAAGCCTCTCTCAATACTCAAGGTACAGTCCAAGAGGCCAAGTTCTTGGTTCCGTTTGTTTTTGCCATTGACTTCACTACTTCTGGCTTCCCCCTCCTACGGTAGGTTTCAATCTCCAACGACACCTCGTCTGCACCACTACACATCTCGACTTCGTGCCGCTTATGCCTACCTCTGCCATCCCCTTGGCTGTCTTGGTTAATCTTGACATCGGGACCATTCGGACGATTTTGCAACATCCCCCGCATGTGTGGAGCAATAGTATGGGACTGGGAACAGCATGGGGAAGTCTGGGGAGGAGGCTTGCTCAGAGGTGAGATCCTGGACAATGGCTGTGCTATCCCTGAGCTCCTCGACATATATAAGTCCTCGTCTACAACCCTTCTCTTTTCGAATCCGTTCGAGTTCAATCAATTTCCATATCATCTCTTTCAGATTACTCCTCAATCATGCAGAAAGACATCAGCGAGAAGCCTACAGTGTTGATGGTTGAAGACATCGGCGCTGATGACGATCTTAAGAAGCCCCAAGTCAACAAAGACTATTCGGGAGTGGCAGCAAAAACAGACCCAGCCGAGATAGCGCTTGTGAAGAAGCTCGACAGATGGATCATGCCCACGCTGTGGTCAATGTATTGGCTCAATTATCTGGATCGCAATGCCATCGCTCTGGCCCGTCTCAACGACCTGGAGGAAGATCTCAACCTGACAGGAACTCGTACGTTGGACCTTCCATCCACGGATGGTAGCCATGATGTTAACAACAAGCAGNAATACCTTACCTGTGTCAGCATTCTCTTCGTCGGCTACCTACTAGGTCAAATCCCATCGAATATGTTCCTTACCAGGACTAGGCCTTCGCACTACATGGGATGCTGCATGGCTCTATGGGCTATCGTGTCGGCCTTGACTGCCGTGTGCAACAACTTTGTCGGCCTTCTTCTTGTTCGCNTTGTAAGACATGCCCTTCCCTATGTCTACAACTGTGGCTAACATATACCTACTAGCTTTCTTGGTGTTACAGAAGCACCCTACTACCCTGGTGCGGTATACCTTCTCAGCATCTTCTACAACCGCAAGGAGATCGCTACACGTATCGCTATCTTGTACACTGGTAACATCCTTGCTACTGCCTTTGCAGGTCTCATCGCCGCTGGTGTGTTCCATGGCATGGACGGCTCGGCAGGATTGACTGGATGGCAATGGTTATTCATCCTTCAGGGCGCAGTCACCTTTGTTATTGCGATCATCGGATTTTTCTGTCTCCCTGACACACCATTGACGACCAGATGGCTGACCCCTGAGGAGAGACAACTCGCCCATGACCGCATCGCGAAAGACACTGTTGAAAAGACGGGAGATACCAGTGTCTGGAACGGTCTTAGACAGGCTGGGTCCGACCCAGTCGTCTGGCTCNTTGCTCTCATGGCTCACCTCCACTTGGCTGCCAACGGTTTCAAGAACTTTGTAAGTCTTGACACGTTGAAGAATTTTGAAATCATAGTCTGACAAGCTCTATAGTTTCCTACTGTGGTCAAGACTCTGGGCTTCAACACCACGATCACTCTTGTTCTGACCTGCCCACCCTACCTCATCGCCGGCGTCTCGACACTTTTGGTCTCGTGGTCTTCTGGCAAGATGAACGAACGCACCTGGCACATTACTGCTTCGAAATCAGTTGCCATCATAGGCTTCGTCGTCGGTGCCGTCGTGATGAACACCGGAGTCAAGTACTTTGCCATGGTCGTCTTCACCATCGGTACCTATGCCGTCAACTCACTGATCCTCGGATGGGTCGGCTCCACCTGTGGCCAGAGCACAGAGAAGAAGGCAGCGGCCATCTCTATCGTAACCACGATTATGAATGCTAGCTTTATTTGGACCCCTTATCTCTGGGATCCAAAATCCGCGCCCAAGTATCAGCCCGCAATGTTCTCGAGCGCTGCCTTCTCTGCTGGTACCGCACTTACGGCTTGGGTCGTCAAGGTTATCATGAAACGCCGTAACGAGAGACTCAGACAGTCTGAGGACGAGGTCCAGACTTTCTATGTCTACTAGATATATATGGTTTGATGGCAACGAAATTTGTGGACGACATAGGTGCAGGATGTATATATGGGGACTTCCTCGAGGCGAACCTTCGGCTCGACGTATGTGTTGATGAGTATATGGTGGATTACCGCTTTACCAGATATGTTTACTTATCACTGGTCTTGTTGTTTATGTACCGTTTTTTACGACTAACTACTCAATTCTGCTCGAGTAGAAAGCCTTCCCCTTCCTCTCAAAAATATCGACTCGACTATTTATAATTCCATTATGTGACGCAAACACCCAAGCTTCACATCGTCTGTCTCCACTTAAGTAATGTCGCCGTGTTCGACAAAGACTTTTCCGCACTGGTATGTTCTCCAGGGGCCTCATCGATATCATCTTGCGAGATATAACATGATAAACCGGATTCCACCGCCTCCTCGGTTGGCTCTTGGACCAGATTGTGTTCTCCAGCAGGTTCTTCTTGTTGCTCATGCCAGCTGAAAAAAACTTCCACGATGACAGGGAGGAATACGACGACAGAGACCACCTGGCCAAAGCCCCATTCGCTGTCAGAGTTTTGCGTACTAAGAGCTTGGGTAATGTTTGCCTGAAAGCTTTGCAGCCTGAAGTAAGACCAGATTAAACCGATAGAAAGAATAGGCACGCAAACGAGTAAAAGTCGTCTGAGATAATCAAGGGGCTGCTGCACAATTTTCATAAGATCGTGGTGCCGTTGTAATTTGTGGTCGTGATGCCTATGGAGTCCTGCCATGACGATCTTGCTGACTGCGAACAGAGAGGTGAGCAAGGGAGCCATGATCCCGAATGCGTTCATGAGTCGGTATTCTGCTACGCTCGGCGGAGATGTTTGTGATAGGCAGATATCTTGCAAAACTCTCCATTCCTTTGTGGTGAGGATGTCGCTTGGCTTGTCCCCAATCACACTGTCCGCGAAGCTCTCAATCATTCGGCTCAAAGTTGGATACACCGAGCATACCCAGCAGATACTGAAAAGAATATCGCGACGAATGTTGTTGGAGAGAAATGGTTCGGCGGCAGATTTGGTGAACTGTGTGTTGGCTCCAATTTGCGGCAATCCGGCGAGCAGGAGGCTGTACATCAAGGGTAAGAGCGTCAAGGCAGACACCGTCCAAGTTGTTCGTACTGTCACATCGCCCATAGAAGCAGCTGAGACGCCATAGTCGACTCTTGCTAGGACAACAATACTGGCAATCTGTATCGAGAAAGTGAAGAATGTGGCACAATCATCGAAGCAAGATAGCAACTTGAGTGCGAGCTTCTTCATCTTCGGTCTAATAGAGAGCACGTAGAACACTGCCAATCCAGCACCCAGTATGCTCGAGCAAATGTACCCGACCGACATCTATCATGCATCAGATAGATTCTTTTCGAATAGGGGTAGACATTTGACTTACCCCNNGACCCCCGATATATCTGGATTACCGCTCCCCCAGAGTGCCGTGCAAACCTGTATCTTGCATTGTTGGACAAGTGAGAGATCATGGTTGGTTGCGTTCCTGAGTCTCTGGATGTACGCTACGAAGCTGCCCTGCCGGTCACTAAGACCTGTACAATTGAGTGGCATGGAAAGTCGACCAGAAATCCAGTCGCTGATTCAGATGAGGTATTCAACGATATTCTGCGTGGGGATCAATATACTGTCAAATGCTGGGGATGGAGTTATATGTGTCTACACAAGCCTGACACCTGCACAAGATATCCAATAGAAGCGATGAGGCGAAGCTTGGTGGCGCACACGCATGCATATCAAGGTGCATATATCACGCATGTCAGTGACGAATACGCGCACGAGATGCGCGCAGTACACCTAGGAAACATTATTGATCTGAAGGAGGTGCCTTCTGAAATAATCTTAGACTTTCCTCCTAGCCTTTCTCCTTGCTAGGACTGGTTGCGGACGCAATGTCTCTGTCCAACACCACACTTTCGACAGCTGTTATCACGAACCCTACCGTCACAACATCGATTGTGGGCGAACGCTCAGTTTCAGCTACAACTTCTGGTACTCCCGTTGGCCAGCGACCTGTAGGAGGTTAGCAATCTCGTTCATCTATTTGCCTTTTCATGCAGGACCTCACATTGAGAGATGATCAAGACTGACACTGAATCAGGCTTCAGTACCGGTGGTAAGGTTGGCTGTGCGCTGGGAGCTGCTGTAGTTGTCGGTCTTCTGATATTCTGGTAACGAGCTCATATCCAACAGCAGAATCAGGTGGGGTACGCTAACAGACACATCAGGCTGCGACCCAAGAAGCGCAAGGCTAAGGCTCTGGAACAGCCAGAGATTCGAAAGAATGATACAATGAAAGACAAGACAGTACCTATGGTCAGGACTTTGGAGACTGGTGGCAGCAAGACAGAGTGACAAGTTCATGTTGTGGGAGTATGACACGCAGTACTTTGAATTCCATTAGCTCTCGGGTCCGAATTCCCAAGTCACATCTATGTGGTCTCTCAAGTGAGTTGTATCTTCCCTGGAGAGGTGAATGAAATACTTTGTAGAAGCAAGCACAAGAACAATCTTCGTGTGAAAGTGGAGGCTCACAAGAGCGGGAGCGCGCACAGACCAAGCATATTGCCGCCTTTGAAGGCAGGAGCGACACTTTGAACTTGTCGCATAACGACTTTCTTCTTCATCTTCCTCTCCATCACAACAAACACCAACAACAACCGCAACCATGTCCGAACGCAAGGTGCTGCAAAAGTACTTTCCTCCGGACTTTGATCCGTCCAAGATGGTCAGGCAGAGAGGGCCCAAGAAAACGGGCCCTCTCTTGCAGACCGTCAGACTCATGGCCCCCTACAGCATGAAGTGCACAGCTTGTGGAGAATTCATCTACAAAGGCCGCAAATTCAACGCCCGCAAGGAGACCACGGACGAAAAGTACTACGCCATTACCATCTACCGCTTCTACATCAAGTGCACTCGCTGCTCCCAGGAAATCACTTTCAAGACCGACCCCAAGAACATGGACTATGAAGCCGAAAAGGGCGCCAAACGCAACTTTGAACCTTGGAGGGAGGCCAAGTTGGCAGAAGAGACGGAGGAAGAGAGGCTGGATAGACTGGAGCGCGAAGAAGCTGAGCGCGACGCCATGAAGGAACTCGAGACAAAGACTCTGGACGCAAAGACCGAGATGCAGATCGCTGATGCCTTGGACGAGATTCGCACACGCAACGCCAGGAACGAACGCACTGCCAAGGAAGGAGCAGAAGTCACCGTTGTGGACAGAGTCGATGACGACAGGGAAAGGCAAGAGGCAGAGGACGCCGAAGCAGCAAGGCTGGCTTTTCTGGCAGGCACAGGCGAGAAGGTCAGAAGACTGGTCGAAGATCCTGAAGAAGAAGGGACTGGTACCGCTTCTGCATCGACTACTGCTACAACAAGTACAAGCATTCTCATGGGTCCCCCACCCATCCCAACCTTTGCCCGCAAACCAAAAAAGAAGACGGACTTCAGCGCAAAACTGGGTATCAAAAAGAGATCACTCGTCTGAACGCCTGCGATGGTGTCGCCTTCGACCCGATCCTGATCCTGACCTAACCGATCCATCACCCTGCTCGCTCGTCTGGCTCTGGTACTCCTCGGCCGCCCTCATAACTTCCTGCATTTTGCGTTCTGTCCCTTCTGGATCATCGTTACCTCTCACACGCCTGACTATACGATAATCCTTACGACCCGCTGACGAATTTGACTTTTTATCTTCTTCATCAATGTCGTAGTCTTCTCTCGTGGTCACTGCATTGTCGTTGGTGTAGTTGTATCTCTCACTCGCGCTGCGCTCTGAGGTAGTGTTGCTGCGGGTGTCCGACAAGTTATTGGCTCTCGGTGCGTCAATTGGAGATATGTTGCTGGAGCCGTAGGCTGAATCGCGGAATTTCGTGCTGGGATCGAAGCGTATACGGCTTAGACCAGGTGTGGAGCGAGGGTGTCTGCTTGTGACGGATGAACTGCTGGCGGGAACAGTCAAGTGGGGCAGGCCTTGAACTGCTCTGTGCACATCTCTGCTCCTGGATGACGTTGTTCTGCTCGGTGTGCCCGAAGACGATGGAATGGTATCTCTGGTGGTGAACGCTGCAGCAGCGCCAGGACCCTGAGGAGGAGTGGGCCGATTCGGTGGAGACACGAGGGTTGGCGGCATGGAAGGCGGCGGTGACCTCCTGTTCGACTGATGAACGAATGCAGGTGGCGGCGGCATAGGGGCTTCAGGCATCATTTCTCCTGAAATCCTCCTGCTCTCACCACTGCCACGACTTCCACGAGAACCAGAACCAGATCCAGAGCCACGGTCGTCCATCCTGCGAATACTGAACTCGGGCGACTTGAACAAACCCCTGAACCTCACACCAATCTCTCCAGAGTACCGACGTTCCTCTCGCGGTTGTTGCCGATGGCGAGGCGTGTCTTGGTGCAGCACGACCTCTTTGTGCCGTGAAGAGGAGGGACGAAGCGCCAGTTGTGAGGATGTGCTAGGCACGCGCTCTGTAATCTTGTCCAGGACGGTGTTGTCGCATGGGCGGTTGTTGACAGAGTGGCTGCATGGGCTAAAGGTTTCTGTGGTGTCGGAGTGGTCGTCTGGGTGGATGGTCGTTACTCTCTTGATCAGACACATGGTTGTTAGGGTTCCTTGGCTCTCTCTGGAGATGTTCCTGGTCCTTTTGGCCCAAAGTGATGCCGGGTTGACCGGCAGGAGGAGTTGGGAGAAGGCCCAGTAAAAACCGTATGAAGTGGTGTGCTCTCCTCGAAAGAAGGGGAGGATATTCAATAAAGTGCCTTTGGTATGCTGTCATATCCAAGTATACCAAGAAGAAGAGTTGTTCGCCTCTGTGGGAAAGGAGACAAAGACGACCAGGTCCGAGTATCAAATGTCTTTCCTCAAGTCAAGTGCAAGCAAAGAAAGGTCTCGTGTACTTAGTATCCAGGTATCCAAGAAATGTCTCAGAAGAAGTATGCCCCACGCGGATCAAGCACAAGATGCAAAAGATGTTTCAGTCGTGATTCAGAAGATGAAAAGAAGAAAGAGAGCAGCAAAAGAGAAGTTCAAAGACATGCAAACAGAATTAAAGGCAGCAGCAGCAGCAACCAGATGTAAAAAGAAGCTTGGACTGGTTTCCGCTCATGCACTGATCCGCTGCGTGCAGTCAAAAAGTGTCATGGCTATTCTCAGTGGCTTTCATGGGATGTGTAAGGCTGCAGAGGCGGGAAAGGCAGACATGCGCCTCCACCAACAAACCCGCAAAGCCACAACAAGACACCGAAAGGAACCACTGCGCTTTTGGGGGGGTCCGAAATAATTTGATTACCTCCCCGATCTCTCGAAATACCACTCGTAGTTCTTGTTTCTTGCCCTGGAAGATTTGAGGGCAAAAGGCTGGGTGTTTGGAAAGGAAAGATGGAAGGTGTGAACGTGACTACGTGGATTTCTGGTAGGAACTATGCAGAGCGTGTTGGTTGTTGCCTGGTCATTATTGCCATGGCCATCACGGTCGTCTGCCTTCTTGCACGCTTTTGCAGCAAATAGACATCCGAGATCAAGATGATCGCATGTCCAATCGTTTTTGTGCTTAAGCTTCCAGCAGAAACAAATCCATTCGCTCAGGATGCTCGCTTTGGAGATCTGCTTAGAAATCCGAGGCTATGGTGCACACGCGCACTCGCATCCATCCCAGACGCGCGCACGATGCGCGATCACAATGTGTACATCTTTCGCTGTACCTTTGCTATCTCTTCCCATCGCATCGTCTGCACATCTATTCCAAACCTCACAACTCTCTCTAAAACACCGCGGTGTGTTAGAACAGGAAAAAACGGTACAAAGATCTCGTATCAAACCCGATCCTACAGGCGCAGTCAATTTAAACACCAAACATCCGGTCATTTGACGATTAGATGGGGAGTGTGTGTGTGTGTGTGTGTGGAGGGATGACAGGAACCCAAGACATCAAAGTGTGGATGAGCAAGGTTGTGTCAACACAAAAGTGGGCGTCCGCTGCCCGCGCGGGATGATCAACCAGCGGCAGCGGTCCGTTTCGCAGTGCCCGTCTCCATCATCCACCCAAGAACTTGCTTTACTGAATATCTCGCTGTTTGGTTCCGGGGTTGTTCTTGCTGCTGCTGATGATGCTGACCCGACCACTTCAGAACATAGATAGCCGACATGCGAAAATGAAGTGCAGCAAAAAGTGTCAAAAGAGGTGCAGCATATCGCAGCGCATTCGCAACGGCATGTTCGTGTCCACCCCCGGCTGGCTGCCTGAGGCTGTGCTGTGCTGGGCTTTCTTGCTGCCCTCAAAAACAAGGATAGAAGAAGCTTCACTTTACGGACATCATCACAAGCACAGCCTCATCGTTCCAGCTGGGCTGTCTACGCAATATACACGCCTGTGTAGAGATGTTGACGTTTCGGCCCCTTGTGGCCCTGCTGAGGGAGAATAGGAGGCTGACCATCCATCTTGTTGTCCCTGCAAGCGAAGCACTGCAAGCAAGCAACGCAGGCGAGCGAGGTACCCGGGCATCCTGCATGGTTGCATGTGCTTACCTGTGGCTGAACACAACACCCATCGTGTTGCATGAGCCACTTGTGGCTGCTGACCAAAAGGTGATGGCAATACTTGGGAACTAAAAGTAAAGGGACCAAAGGAAGGAATTCATGAATTGTTGGTTGCTCGTTTTTCCGCCTTTCCACCGAGAGCAAAAAAGAAGCGCCCAGACTCTGGTATAGACAAAGTCGAAGGGGAATTACACATCTGTAAGTAAGACGTTCAAACAGGCTGCCTGCCCAGCCAATATATACACCTCGTGCCAAACGCCAGGCAGCCCAGAATAAAAAAGTGTTTCAGCCATAATCCAACGCCAAATGCTCTGTTGATCCATAATGTTTCGCTCAGTCGTTAACAAGGGCATAAATCGTTTCTCCAAACCGTCGTAATCATGCTCCAATAGCAGCTTCGGGTAGTAGTCTGGTCGGTAGTCGCATGATGAAGCCCTCGCTGAGGCGTCGCCTGACAGAAAGGCCTTGACGGGCAGTGCTCTGCAGCAACCACATGGAGCGCTGCAAATCTTCTGGCCTTAAGAAAAGGTCAAAGTTCAGCAGGTAGCAAAAACTGATCTCGAGCTTTCGAAGCTCGTTTGTGCTTATGCCGCCCAAGCGTGCAATTCGCTCTTGTGTCCATTTGTTGTCCTCGAGCGACTTGCTGGCTATCCGGATGGCGGCCAGTGCTAGGCGGTGCACTGTACGAGGGGTGGCTGGTACCATGGTCTCGACAACACATAGGCGGTGTATGTAGCATGCGGCAGCCAAGTAGACACCAGGCGAGTGTGGGCTGAATTTATGTATGCGAAGGAGATAATCGGTAATGGAGAATGGCGGAGCAGCCTTGAGGAAGAAGCGTCGCGAGACAGCAGCAAGCTGCAGGGCGTTGGCTTCGGCAAGATCTGGCTCGGGCGAGTAGTCGGCGGGCGGAGCGATGGGTTCGTCGCGTTTGGCCTCGGGGGCGCCGATGTGGTGGACGGGCACGCAATGGTGCGGAGCGAGTGTTGGCGAGCCTTCCAACTCTGGCGTGTGAGCAGGCGGTGTTATCGAGTCGGGAGACGGCGGATTAGAGCCCTCGGGGATGGTCGCTTGCGGCTTGAACATTTGTTGTTTCTGGTATACGGGGGTTGTGCACACGACATCTCCGGTGATGTTGGATAGTGACTGCAGTGCCTGCGCCAGCATCTGCACAGCCGCGACACTCGACACCGAGTAGAGGTCCCAGTTCTCGTCCTTGAGCATCAACGGCTCGTTGGTCTGCTCCATGTCGACGTGGTAGTCGTGCGGAAGGCGGCCGCTGTCTTGGTGTGGATTTGGCTTGGGTGGTGCCTGTACGCTGGTCGAGTCCATGTTTGCGAGTACAGGAAGGGGCGACGCAGAGATGTGGTTTGAAAGAAGCAAAGGAAAATCGCAATACAGCGTAGTACTGCCGACGGGATGCTCGGAAATTGTTTGGAGATTCCAACTTCCAAGGAACGGCACGATAATGGCCTTGACTCGGTGTGATTATCGGTGTGCCTACTGGGAAGATAATAACCCGGAATGCGTGTAAGTTGGTTAGAGCGTGTAAAGGACGACTACGATCAAGGGGTGACTCGAAGACGAGGACTACGGGCAATAATAACAAGAAAGATAGATAGCGGGGCACAGCCATGGCGTGTTTCTGCGAACGTGGACGCTGCCCGCATCATGCGCCCGACCTCCCAAAATGCACCCTGATTTGCGCCTAAATCACCCATGTTTCACTTTTCGCTGTCATTGCGACAACCGTTTTGAAAGCACTTCCTTTTTATACGCTGCTTTTTCCATCATTGAGTGCATCATACCTCTCTATCCTGGATAGCGACGATATTCACTCCGTCATTCACAACACCACCACCGCGTCTTCACCGGCCTGGAAGTCTCTTGGTCCGTTCCTGCAGCCATCGTGTAGCCCTCCCGCTGAACGCCTTTGATTGGCCCCGGATCAGTTTAACCGTGCAGCTCTGCGTCTAGTCAATTCAGGCAGCATCACATGTGAATACAAACTGTTGTTCGCCTTCACAACAGCTGTCGTCTGCTGCCCAACGGTGCTTTCTCACTCGTTCTCCTCCACATTCCGATATTGATACCGTTAGTAGATGTAAGGGATCAGCTTGTATGGCACCTCCTTTTTGACTTCTTTCCACTGCTCGCCGTACTGCTTTGATGTCAGCCTATGTCTGTAACCAATGTGGAAAATCTTACCTTTNCGTGCCAGATACGTCTCCAACAACGGTATGGCTCTCTGCGAAAAGTCCCCGGCTAGGAACATAGCTACTGCGACACCCCAAGGGAGCCCGGCGCAAACGAGACTGTAGCCAGCTCTCCACAGTGTATAACCACCATAGTTGATGTTGCGTGCCAGCCCGAACAGACCCTCGGTGCAAAGCTTGCCTTTGTTGGCTGGGTTCTGCTTGAATCGCTTGCGCTGCACTTCACACCACCACTCCGTGAACAATCCAAGTCCGTAGAGTCCGGCACCAATCGCGACACTTGGTCGGCTTGTGAACAGTTCGGTCCAAGTGTCGGCGACTGCAGGACGGTTTGACGTGACAGCCCAGAGAGTGAGCAGAGTATTGAAGGTGTTCAGAACGGTGTTATACGAAGCAATCATGGTTGCGAACCCAGGCTCGAATTTATTGTCTGCTACTCCCAGGCACCAGTAAATCTGTTTAGCAGCACTACCGACAGCGAGGCCAAATACGAGGGAGTGGTACGGCGAGAGGCCGATTGCCGTAGCTGGCGACGTGACTGCATTCGAGATGGTAGTACCGCCCAGCTTATGCACGAGTCTCAATCCTAGGCCGGACGACAAAAGATAGTATTGCAGAGGCAGGTCGGCGAGTCGCAAGATCGTGAAGAGCGCGTTCCCTGCCACACTCACTCCCTTCTTGCGTGTCTCCACGAACCATGTGGGGAGGTCTTGTTGAGTGTCGTTGCCCTGTCCCATTGTGTCCTCAGCAGATGCGTCAGTTGCAGAAGTTCTTAACGGTTATATGCGACGATCGAACAGTCTGGCGATGTATATCAGACACGGTGACTACGGGAGTTCGTCCTTGAATAATAAACCAAGATCTGGGCTCATGACGTAGGCGTGTCCGCCCAACGGAGTACACATTGCACCGACCGCATATTAAGGATTGACTGCCTGCGTCTGTAGTGGCGTGGTCGTCGCTTCCTCTTTAATTTCTGACCACAAGGATTTCGACATCCGGATGATTACGGGCTCCGCCAGAACTGCTCTTGATTTGTGTGCCTCAACGTCTCAGCGACCAATTCGGCTGGAGTTTGCTATCCTGTTTTCTTGTCAGCACCAGATACTCATCTCCCTTCTTAATGGTTTTGATCTCGCACTCTCCATCCTGACCTGTAGCAACAACTCACTTCAACACACATTAGCTTCAATCATTAGATTCCTGCCATGGTAGAGTGGCTGTAAGAAAGCATATAACGAAAGCTACAAAAACAATTACCCTTCTGTCCTCCAAATATGCCTGTCATGGATGATACTCAAAGACTGACAACGATCTTCTTTGCACTGACACCCCCNTTAGCGACCTCGAACGCTTGCTCAATCCCCTCGAGACCTTTCCCAGCTACCTGAGGCTCTGGAGCTGGCAAGAACGACTTTTCCGCTAATCCGACAGGCAAGAACTTCTCGTAAATATCGGATCCAAGCTTGTTGGCCATGACTTCTGTGGACCAAACAAACTTGTAGCCGACACCCTTGGTGAAACCCTTGAGCTTCCAACCCACGAAACTGGATCCCATCTTCCACATGATTGCGAGCATATTTGTCGGGAACTCCTTCATTGGGATATCATGGCTGGCTTGAGCGACGAACTTTTTGCCTTTGGTTTTGCTGAGGATGTCGATGCAGGCATGCAAGGATCCGACGCCGATTGCATATGCGCCGGCGGAGATCCTGTGCTTGCTGTTCATGGTGGCTATGATGTCTTGGACTACTGTTGGGCTGTTGTAGTCGTATACTTCGGTGGCACCTAGACTCTTCAGATACGCGTGGTTTCTGGGAGAGGCGGTCGATATGACTTCGTATCCGGCAGCAACAGCGAGCTGGATAGCATTGCATCTGCGTACTTGTCAGTTAGGTTCAACAACTTGCTGTTTATTGGTTGCATACCCAACACTCGTGCTGCCTCCCCAGATTATCACGGTCTCTCCAGTAGGCTTCTGCGGTTTCGGAGCAGTGGGTAATTGAAGACCGAGAAAGTCTTCTAGGAATAGTCCACAGGCCGCGGTAGCCAAGCCAAGAGGTATGACAGATGCAGATTCGAACGACATCCAGTCCGGGATTTTGCTCGTCAGATTCGTTCTCAGGACAGTGTACTCCTGGAATGCACCCTCGCTAGCCTTGTTGGAGCGCTTGTCAAAGCTGACTGCTAGACCGAGCACGCGATCGCCGACTTTGAGAGTGTTTACTTCTTGTCCGACCTCAACGACTGTACCCGCACAGTCGTCGCCAAAGACGAATGGGAGCTTGACTTGAGGAGTAAACATGCTGACAACGTTTGGAAGTAGCCAATCCACGGGGTTGATGGCTACAGCGGCATTCTTGACCACGACTTCGTTGGGACCGGGTGGTGTGTATGGTGCTTCTTTGACTTCGAGAGGTTTGCCCTGGGTGACCACCCATGCAGCTCGGTTTGTTGGCATTGTATTTGATGTCGTAAGGTACGGGGTTCGGTGTGTGACTGCTCAGATCGTAGCAGGGGCTTCTACAGCTACTTATTTGATCTCAAGGGGCATTGCAGTTGCCTTGAATACATCACAGTTGCACCGTCCCGGCATCCAGAATCAGTCGCATGTGCGAGTTTGTCAGCGATTCATAGCATCATATCGATAGGTACCTGAACCTGCTGCCACACTTATCGGATCCGTTTTCGAGGACTGTGCAACGGGTGTCATTGGAGCTAGGCGGAGTAGAGGCTTTGTGAGCGAAGCGGGATAATTCGAACCCCGACTCGCATCCAAAGGCTTGATTCTCTTTCCTTATAGGCAGTGTCGGCTTTAAGACACAGGACTAAGCTTCGTTTGGCAATCTTCTATCCCGACAGCTAAAATCCGAAACGGATTGCTCTCTGGCTAAAGTAGTTAATTATTCTAGAGATTTAGATGGACAACAAATCAATCCAAAGGCGCTCACGAAAAGGCAAAATTAAGGATAAAAGGCCAATCCACATTGCTTCTGCTAAACTTGTTATACCTGTTGCACCACATACAAATGCGATGGCAGAACACTACCAGGATAGAGACTATAGATCTGGTAGGAAACCCCAGACAACGATCACTGTAAGAAGGAAGAAATAGAACAAAATTCGACCTTGATCAGATCTCCGCATGGCAGCCTCCTTCTTACTGATGTGTCGAGGGAAATCATGTCGATCTATGATGCGTCTGTCTCCAGCGCCCACATCGTCCTCTTCGCTCAATACACTTTTCGGAGACTCCACAAAGACGTACGGTTGTTGGACTTCGTGAGTGTACCACTTGTAGTTTCCATTGAGCAATCTCACACCTAATTTGCGTTCCGGATGTAGACCTGCAGCGCCGTTCCTTTGTACCTCATCCCAGAAGGCATCGGTAAAGAGCGACCGCACCCAGTCCATCGAGACAGCGTAATATGACCGCCATCTGCTGACGTGGCCGAATTTGCGCTTGCTCATCCTGAGAACAGTGAATTTAGGGTGAATTGTAGGTCCCGTAGGTCCTGGCCAGCGAGTCGTGAGTAAGCCATACGAACACCCTACGTGTTGGTTTATCGGGTCAAGATTACTGCCGTCAGGGCCAAACACAATTCTCTGCCATTGAAGACCCAACTCGGCAACACGAGTGTCAACGTAGTACGGTTCCGGAGGAAGATGCTGGTCGCGGTAGGGCCAATTACCATATACAAATCCAAGCGCGTGCATGGTCTCATGGACCAGTGTAGTAGCACACATCAAGCTGCACCTCAATCTTGCCGACTCCTCATCGGAGCCTGGGTCCCAGGCGGCGGCCCGATACGCCCCGGCAAAGTATGTCAATGTACTCGGTCGTAATCACGATCTTTGCAGTCCTGACATCGGGCATGTTAAGGAGCGGTGGATCGACTGGCACATAACCTGGGTAGGTGATGCCATGGTAATGTGGTTCCGGGTCATCGTTTGGATCCAGGACTGCGAAAGNTGAGAGAATGTGCCAGGTCTCTCAAGACGCTATGGGCCTGCTGTTCGTTCTGTGGAGTGACAACAGCTGGAATCCGAAACCAGTTGGGATTTCTTTCCGGCGTCAGGTAGCTTGGATCAATCATTCCATAGTTCGCTTGATCGAGAATTGCGAAAACATAGTGAATTGTTGCATCACACTGCAAAAGGCGTGAAGCAAGCTTGAGCGTTGGTCTGAAGGCGTCCCAATCCATAGTCGCAAGATCCTGTTGCGACCATCGGCCTCGTTGAAAGAGTGGGTGTATCTCATCATCCGGACAGTCTCTGAAAGACTGGTCGATCGATGTATCCTTCAGATTGATGTATCCCCTTTCATTCAACTCCTTCAAACCAATCCTGGTAAGCAGAGGATGGTCACCCGTCCGTGCTGGATATTGTGGTTGGGTTGCCATCGGGCAGAAAATGGCGACAAGCGCTAGATGGATAAATGGGACGATTTGGAAGCGCTGCCTCGTGGAAGGCGGCTCGAATTCGAGTCCATTTTGTTGGAGCTACACGTTTCGTACGCAAGCGTCATGGTCGTGGTAGAGCTGAATCCGGTAGCAAGAGAAGTCGAGGACAAAGGTTCAAATTTCTGAGATCGGCAAGCAAGAAGGCGGGTTGCAGTCGCACCTTCCTCATGCAAGCCACATTCCTTACGATTCCAGCCAAACTCATCATGCCAAGTCGCTCGGACGTTCGCTTGCTCTAACACCCCAGCCATTCTCTAACAACTTCTTGACTTGTTCGAGCTCAAGTCCCATAGTCTCAGGGAAGCACCTCCATACCCAGATATATCCGACCAAGCATATGAAGACATAGACCAGAAAAGTGACACTAGGTCCGAGTACATGCATCATAGGCAAGAAACTGGCACCAACAATGAAATTGCTGGTCCAGTTTGTCGCAGTCGCGAGGCCCGAGCCCATGCTCCTTACCGAAAGACTGAATAGTTCACTCTGTTGCCATGGTACACAACCTAAGCCGCTCGCGTATGCAGCCACATAGAAGATGAGCGAGAAGAGGAGAACGAACGACCAAGGACGCGAACTAGTAGGTGCAGTTGAAGAAGGTGCGGTCGAATTCGAACGCAAAGCGTCGATATGCATGAACGCAAGAGCGCAGCTGGCAAGCCCAAGAATCATGAATGGGATCGAGCAGAGCAGTATGCGGCGTCGTCCTACCTTGTCAATGATTGCGAATGCCAGCAGCGTAAACACAAAGTTGGAAACCGAAATGCAGAGCGATGTTCCGATCGGCGAAGTGAAACCAACCAAGGAGAAAATTGTGGCCGAGAAGTACATCAGCGAATTGAATCCGGAGAGTTGTTGCAGAGCTTGAAGTCCGGCAGCGATGGTCAGGGCGCGTCGATTAGCTGGTACGGTAATCAGTTCCGTGAACATACTTCCACTGGCACTGAGTTGTTCTTCCTTGACTTCATGCTTCACCTGTGCAACGATATGTTCACAGTCATCATGGCCGAGTCTGGCGAATACTGCAGCAGCTTCGTCATCTCTGCCTTTCAAGACCAGCCAACGAGGTGACTCAGGCATACCAATAAGTAGTGCTGCTTGGATTAGAGCAGGGACGCTTCCGAAACCGACAGCCCATCTCCAGCGTCCGATAACTGCCCATCCAGCAACGTAGGCTACAACCTGACCTCCAGTGATGAAAAGACTCTGGACGGAAACAAGCTGCCCTCTTCGATCTGATGGTGCAATTTCTGCAACGTACAACGGTACCACGGCACTGGCTGCACCTACAGCAGCGCCAACTACAGACCGACCAACTACCATGGTCCACACGTTGGTGGCAGCAGATTGGAACAAGGCGCCAAATATGAACAATCCGCATGCAGCTGCAATTACCGGCCGACGACCGACAACATCCGCAAAATGTCCCGCCAGGGGCGATGCCATTAATGCTAACAACGATGTACTGCTCGTAATAGCGGACAAGTCAAAAGTCGACAACGGACGTCCCAAATCCTCGCGTATTGAAACAAGAGTAGAACTTATGACACCAGTGNNCTATTCAAAAGCTCAGTAAGGATTCCAAAACGTACTGAACCCCTTTTGAACTCACTCGTAGCCGAAGAGCAAACCACTCAAGCCTGCGCTGAGGGTCAATAGCCAGATCAAACGATTCGCTTCATTTCGGGTGACTTCCGGAGGCGCGGTCGCGTCGTCGCTCTCGTCAACGATCAGCGGTTGTTGAGATTCGTCGCCCGTGCTGGCATACATATTTTCGCTTTCGAAGTCTTTGTAGATATCTGTAGACTGGACGAAGTGTTTCGGCGGGTGATGGTAGTCCATCAAGGAGTATGAAGTTTGGGCAGGTGGTCACGAGTCAGAAGCCGTCAAACGCCACTTGACAGGCTCGCATGCCAGGGTCGCCCCTGACCAACTGAGACGCACACCGCTATCATGTTAAATACACCAAACAGCAAAGGTAAAAGGAAAGAAGATGTGCAACAGATGGTCGCAGTAGGTAGTTGACATGCTTCGAGAAACAACAACGCATCTATAGTATTGATGTTGTATTCACACTTTTGGTATCCCGGATACATTCGAATGCCACGGAGATACGAGATGCAAGTACAAACGATTTGAATTAAAAGTCGTAGATTGAGAAGATAGCGACCGTATGTCATTCTACGTAAACTCGGCTATGAACAGGAGAAAAGTAACAAATCATCAAACACATCGTTCCTTCTACTTCTTCTCGGCAGAAACAGGAGTAGTATCGTTGGGAGTCAGAGATCCCTCTCGAGTCTCAGGAACACCGTGTGTGAAGGTAGTCGGGCCCGATTGCATGACATCAATGCCAGCGGGGCTAAGATCCCAATGGTCCATCTCTTCGTCAAAGAACTGATCAAGGTCGAGTCCTCTGATCTCAGCCTCCCTGTCAACACGCAGGTGCATGCCAGGAATGTACTTGATGATCATGAGCAGGATATAGCTGACAACAAACGAATAGACAGAGATGGCGGTGATCTCAGCAAACTGTTTGCCGATTTGGATGCCGTTGCCGTTGTAACCACCAGGAGCGAGAGTGACGCCGTCGAGAGCAGAGATGGACTGGTTGGCAAAGATACCAGTCATGAAGGAGCCCATCATGCCGCCGATACCGTGCAGCTTGAAGACGTAGAGACCGTCATCGATGCGAAGCCACTCGTTGATGTCTTGCAGGAGAGCACAAACGACGGCGGTCAAGAAACCGATAACAGCTCCGAGCCAAGGGTTGACATAACCAGCAGCAGGTGTGATGCCGACAAGACCGGCAATTGCGCCTTCACAGGCACCGACGACAGAGAAGCGTCCCTTGTGGCGGATGGCATCAACCATGACCCAGCCAAGGACGCCGGTAGAAGCAGCGACCTGAGTGTTGAAAGCAGCCATCATACCGCGGACAGAGGCGTTAAGGGCACTACCACCGTTGAAGCCGAACCAACCAAAGACAATCAGGACGGTACCAACAAAGACCAAAGTCGAGTTGTGGGGCTTGTGCTTTGCGTGATGATCCTTGGAAGTTCTTTGACCAAGTGCTAGAGCGTAAGCCAGAGCTGCCCAACCACTGGCGATGTGTACGGGACCACCACCAGCATAATCAAGCGAAGGAAGCTTGAAGAGCCAACCATTAGCGTTCCATGTCCAGCAAGCGATGGGACAGTAGACAATGGTGCACCAGCAGAAGGCGAAGATGAGGGATGGGAGGATACGACCACGCTCGAAGGCACCACCGACGACGATCTGTACTGTGCACGCAGCGAAGAGAAGCTCGTAAAGGCAGAAGACGATTTCGGGCAGAACGGCACTGCCAGGAGAGGGCGCGGCAACAACGTTCTTCAATCCAAAGTTGGCCAGGTCACCGATGAAGGGGCCAGCGGTACGGGAGAAGGCAAGACTGTAGCCCCAGAACATCCACTGGAAGGTGACGATGGAAATGACCATCATACTCTGGAAGAGCAACGACAGACCACTTTTCTTGTGTGCGAGGCCGCCATAGAGCAGACCGATACCAGGGATGATCATGTATACAAGGAAGGAGCAGACTATGAGGTAGACGTAGCTAGCGTGTGTATTAGAGACGGCGTGTATCGGGTCAAGATGACTTGAGCTTACTTGNAACTCGAGTCCTGCATATTGGGCATTCACATCAACATCCAGAGGGTTACCTCCGGCAGGCTGAGATGAGTTGTATACGGGCTATGGATGGGATGTTAGTCAATCAGCCGGAGCAGTGATGATCATTGAGGACTTACTGCTGTCGACATCTTGAAGGAGGAAAGCGATCGCTGCAGCTCCACAGACAAGCAGATCAGAGAGGTAGGAAAATGAGAAAAATAAGGACCTGGAAAGGCAGCATGCGTGAGCGGACCTGCAGGGTATTTCTACCTCCATGTAACACCCCGTTACCGGTCAACACTTCATCTATCTCGCAACATTGCAACCGAAGGGCATCCTTTATCTCTACGATTCCTTCCGTGTTCCAAAGACTATTGCCCCATCACCCATACATTCCTCCTGTTCCTATTCCCATCCAGACGCCAAGAGATAAGAAGACCGAATACAAAGCATGCATTTCAAAGAAAGCGTTTCGGCTCTCTGAGTCTTTCTTTGTAACGTTGACGAATGTCGAAAGATCAGGCTTAGTGCGTTCATGGCGGCTTGAGGTTACCGATTTTCTATGGCCTGTTGTTGATAGCACATGGCAGGGTTGGGTGTACAGGTGAGGTTCCCAGAGATAAGGATCCTTCCACGAGGCGCTCCCGAGACGCGCTAGCGATTATCATGGCAAGACGTTTCCATAGCCGGCCGTGATGATTCGTTGACTAATTTCCGTTTGTACTCATTTCGATCCGGGCTGCAATGCACCATGCGAGAGAGACCAGGGTCGGACAGGATGTTGGTCCCCTTGTTGTCTTGTCAGCAAATTCGAGAGGTTTCGTCGAAGCGCAGCGTGGAATTCGCTTTGAATTGACGCGGCTGCGTTTGCCGAGCTTTGATCGACCAACTCCGCTGAGCGACAGAGCCAATCTCGAACTTTGAAACCTACAGTGTGCATCCATCCCCTCATGCCATGGATCATCCAACGTACATGTACAAGGCACGAGAGATGGGTTTGATGAGAAATTTTTCCACAAATAGCCATGCCAATGTTTTGGCATGCCATTTGTCAGCCATAGACTGCTCCACCCTTTATGCAGTGCGACTGGGTTTGTGCAATATCACACTCTGGGCATCACACCTCAAGGAATCCTTCCTGAGCACAAAGAGTCCTTTCGATGGCGCCTTACAGATGTTTCAATGGTCTTGCCAGCTTCGACTCTGGACTCGAGACACGCGCAGATAAGGACAGCGTCGATAGAGCGAGCAAGTAGGTCGTACTTCAACAACTCCTGGTCTGACTGGTGAGGGAAGTAAGCCTCTAGCAGAGACTTGGTGTAAATGGCATGCATTGCATTCTAGAGGAAGGTATGCTTCGACCAAGACTCCTCAACATCTCACCTAACATGATCATGTGTATATCCCCTTTTCATAACGCCGGACTTTTGGAGAATGCGAAATTGTGTTCGTCTCATGACTTGTTGTAGTAGTGAGCCATCTCGAGACCGGCGCGCTTGAAGCCGCACTTGACATAGAAGCCCTCGTTGGCCTCTGAGCAGTCGAGAATGGTNCTATATGTCATTAGTTGGCATGCTTATGTGAGGGTCAGATTGTCTTGGGGAATGGAACCAACCTTGTAGCACCCGACCTTCTCGGCAACATGGTCCAGTGCTTGGATGATACGAAGACCAAGCTTCTTGCCCTGCTGATCCTTGGCGACAGCAATGTCCTCGATGTGACCAACCTGACCCAAGTTGTGAATGNNCTGTTGTGACAACCATCAGTACCAGAGTCACTATGTAAAAGTAACACAACACGACAAGACTCACAACTTCTTCTCGACGATCAAGGCACCAGTGCCGACAATCTTATTGTCACCATTGAGAATGACCAGTATATGGTAGCCGCCTGCGCCTCTTCCCAATGCGCCAGATGCCTGCATCTCTTCAAAGCGCTGGTTGAAGTCTTGTTCTGAGACGTCGCCGACGGTGGTGAGGACGGCTAGTACATCTAGAAAGCCAGCATGGTAGTCTCCCTTTCGCAGGGGGCGGATTGTGTAGCCCTCTGGTAGGGCAGCGGCGACTTCGGACGAAATAAGGTCGGGCGAGAAGAGCGAGTCGGAGGACATGGTGTACGGATGTGAGGGCGATCGAGGGGAGCTGGGCGGTGGGGAGCTGGGTGCTAGGGAGCCTGCGTGAGAACTGGCTTCGGTCGATTCTTGTGTAAGGTGGAGTGCTTCGGATGCCGAGAGTCGTGCTCTAGCTTCTACAGCAGGGCGATGATTGATCCAAAGGGATGTGGTCTTCGTGTCAAGAGGGTTGTGTTTTGGGCAGATTTCGGGACATGGCGACCTCAGACACAGACAAGCTTCCCCGGACAGCAGCTTGAGCCTCGATGCGCCCGTTCCTGCAGCAAAGCCAAATTTAGAACACCATCTTGAACCATCAAGGTACGATACGCCATTTTGAATACGATGGACTGTTCGACGAGACACATGCTATGCTATTGCTCAACCACGCCGCCAAAAGATTCCCTTATTTCAGAATTGCCTTAAATCGAGCTTTGCAACTTCTGTCTTACTCAACAACCAACTATGGAAGTCTACCCAACACTCATGCCTTAGAGATTATTTTGCCCAGGGCCTCTTGGGTTTGCTGTCGCCGGCATACGGATACCCATGGCGCTAGGGTCGACAGCCTTCTTCTTAGCCTCATCGATCCTGCCTTTCGACAAACTGATAGCCGGCACTATCCACTCTCCACAACTGCATCGCATGCCCTGCCATGCATATTTGCCCACATTGGCTTTGCATTTGGCATTGGGGCATTCCAACCTTCCTTCCACCTCTCCCTTCTCCAGCTCCGGTCGCATCCACGATAGAGGATCAAGGAAGTAGTGCGTGCAAGAATCAGCCGGGCCTCGTTGAGCCTGGTGAGCTATCAGGAATTGCGATGTTGCCAGGGTGCGTCTGTGGAGATTGTCAGTCTTCTAATTCGAGAACACCAAANNGGTATGCGAAACTTACCTGCACTTTCGGCATCGCATCTCAAATCCACCTTCATCCTTCGCTGTCACATGCTCATCCTCGAAGCGAATCTTCTCTGCCTCTGGTGCTTGTCCGCAAGCACGGCTCATCTCCACTTCACGCTGATAGACCCAGCGCTGATATGTCGGTGTATCCTCGACGTTCTCAGGTGTCTGCATCTCATGGTAGAGCTCCAACTGCTTCATGAACCCTTCGTTGGGCTCGCAAAGTGGCCTGCTCTGTCGTATCTGCTCCAGAGCCTCGGAAGGTGAGATGTGGTACTTTTGCATCAAATATGCAATGACGCATGTTGCAGACCGTGATTTTCCCATTGCGCTGTTGGTCACTCGTGAGTCTTACCGTATATGCCAACCAAGTGCTGTACGAACGACTTACCAGTGTACAAGGACTGCGCCTCCGGACGCAAGACCATCTTCGATAAACTTGGTAGCCGCCGGGAAGTGCTCAAGCAGGTTCTCATCTTCGACATCATCAACCTCAACTAACATATGCTTGTATCCTTCGAAAAGCTTCTCGTCGAGCGGGAGCCTCAACACAGACAGCACATGTGTGATGCCAGCTTCGGCGAGTTGATCTTTGCGGCGTAGAGTAAAAATNCCTGAAGGCAAGTCAATACATGTGTTTAAGCTTTTCGTGTCATATCGATTTCAAGATGACCAAGGCAGAGTCGTTCTCTTCTTTATCACGAAAAGAATTTATCGAGAAGTATCAGATTTTACTCACCCTCCGATATAGAGCTTGAGATCGCCGGGCACTTTATCGAGCAAAGGCATGATGACTCTCAGTATTGGTTATAGTATTCGTTGGTTTCAGAATGGCAAGCGACTTTGGCGACTTTTCTCTTGGTGGAATACAGCAAGCGGTTCGCCGCCACGAGATGGATGGTCTAAGTATGGATTATGCATATTTTGGCTTGGCACGATGGATGGATTCTATGAACGTTCGTGCACAACCTCCGCCCGCCGATATCGCCGTTGAACTTGCATGCATGCTTGTCTAACTATCGAGGATTCGAGGCACCAACTCCTTGCTCGACCATCCTTCTTCCAAACCCCTTGGTCACTGCTTCTCAGGGGCGGCGGCTCTTTCCTTCCTCAGGCAGCAACACAGCAGGTCTGGCCCAGCCAAGGTCAAAGTCCACAGCAAGATCCACAGCACGACGCAAGCCATCGGACAAGCTTTGCCATTACGCTTGTACAAACACGGTATGTGTAGACTCAGTCAGACAGCTACTAGCAGTTTTTACGAAAGCATGAATATAGCGAGTAGTTCTGCTGGCAGCTTGGCGTCAGCTCGTGGGGGTCGTTCTTTTGTGTTTTGCCGGATAGATTAAGTGGCTTGAATATCGAGTCCGTAAGGCTTGGGAGCAAGAGTAGAGACATGGCTCTGGGTTGAGGTTACATGGACATGTCACTTGGGGTACCACATAAAGTCCAGGTTAGAAGACAAGTAGATTGGCAGCAGAAGTCCAAGGACGGGTTGTCCCACCCTGAGAGGGTGACTACTATCCGGTTACATGCTGCCTGTGACTAGTTGTGGGTAACTTCTTTGATGTGCCTCAACGCTCAAGCATATATAGGGGACTTTTGCATGCACACGGCAGCTCTTTTCGATGTGTCGACAGCCAAAACGTGGGGCATGGCAGAAGTCAAGTGGGAACATGCACCATGGAACGGCGAAGGTGCATGGAAACGGGGGCTCTGGCAGGCACCTGTTCCCTTGGTGTACGCACCGGCAAAAGCCATGGTGCCAAGTCACAAGTTTGGAGGAGGTTCGGCCTCTTTTTCCTCGGGCGCTTGGACGCTGCTGACTAGGACGGCTGGAACAGTGGAAGGTCGAAGCCATGCCCGCAACGCAGATTGAGTAGCATGTGTGTTTACGGACGTATTGCAGGCCAGCTGGCCGGCGTATGAGAGCGGGCGAGTGGTGCGTGACACACGGCGGAGCACGAACAGACAGCAAGATGGATTTTCTAGAAGGCCATGACGGCAAAGGTTGCGGACTTGATTGAGACCCTGACAGGCTGAGTGGGGAGCAGGCGCGTTCCAGACTGACGAGCTGCGCAGCTAGACACAGCAAATTTGGGAGATCGACAAGAAGCAAGCTCCACGGCCTGAGGTGCAAGTGCGAGGGAGTGACAAGGGACAAGGATGCAGCGGAGAGCAGCGCCTGGGTGGTGGTTTTTGCATAGGGCTGATGGAGGAGCGACGTGAATCAAGCACACGCACACGCACACGCAGCAGTCCGAGTCGTCGGTGGATGCTCGACTCCTTTCCTTATGTAGCATCAGCTTACCCTAGACCGTACCCTTAGACTCTAGCAGCTTGTCTCTGTTGTTCAGGTGCCTTTTGTGCCCCTCGGCCCCCTCCCTCTCTCTCCCAGCGGCAGTTGTCAACGCCCCGTACAGCACCGGCTTTGCCAAGTTGACGACGGTGAAACGCTCTTTGCAAGTCGTGCGCGCCCGACCACCATGGATGGCACTCCTTCTATCCGCATCCACTCGCACTCCCACGACCACCGCTACCACAGTCCGCCGCCTCTCTCACGACACTCGCCGCAGCATCCACTGCATGCGCCGGCGTCGCCGATGTCCATCCCGCATGCCACACAAGACTCTCCCTCGGTGCCACCGCCCTTGCCGCCGCCCACGAACCTGTACGAGGACCTGACGCCCCAGGCGCAGCAGAAAGAATGGATTTTCTTCAACAAGGAATACGTCGATCAGCACTGGACTGATTTCGGCAAGGCCGCCACAGTCAGGCCCGGCTCGAGTCTGCTGGGCGGCAACAAGTCGCAAGAAGATGGTCACGTCCAACATCATGAAGCAGACGCTTCCCGGAGAGGCAGTTCCATGTCGACCATCACGGCGCCGCATCGCAACTCGGAGGCCATGATTGATCCTTGCGACAACGACGACGCGAAGCTCTCGGGCTACAGGTGTGTTATTCTGCCATTCTCTTCGTGTCACGCTGGTCGCATAACAATTGCGATCTGATCAAAGAAAAGCACCCATCTATCACAGGCTTGGACTGCTCGTCGTGGTGACGATCAGAGTGCAGACAAGTTTGTTGATTGTTGATGTGTTTTTCGGCTTTGCTCGCTCAAAGCCCGACCCACCACCAAAACGCCTCGGCTCTTTGAGACAAGGACCACTCACCGTTATGTCCAACTACAGAAGCTGACACAACATCCCACANGACTACAAAGCGAGCGACAACTGGAACAGCGCTCTCTCAGCACTTCGTCGCAAGCATACGACAGGAACCTGCTATCCAAAATCGGCGGGCCGAATACGCCAAATAGACTTTCGGTTTCAGGCGGGCCGGAAACCTCAGGAGCTGTGTCCCCCGGACCAGAGCCCAACGCAGAACACTCGGCCAGGCATCTCTCGACCTCGTCGTCGTCTCAGTCCGAGAGGCGCCATCCTTCGGTCGACAGCTCGACCTTTAGGTGGTCTGTATCCAGTGCTGTCTCGCCCGGTCCTTTCCGCAATCCCAACTTCAATCCGGAGAACACCAGACCAACAACACTGCGCCACTCGAGTTTTCAATTCGACGACAGCTCATCGCATCGCGGTAGTTATGATCAGTCCATGTTCTTAAACGAGGAAATTTCTACAGAGGAGGGTCAGATGAAGGACCTGAACCTCAACGACCGCGATGACTTCCAGCTTGGCGCAAAGCCAGGCATGAAGAGACGTGCTTCGTCGCCGCATAGAGATTCCTTGCGCGAAGACCGCTCTTCCATCAGTAGCGCTCCGGGCAGTGGTGACTTATACACTCGTCGCTCATTACAACAACAACAATACCCTAATCGTAATCCGTCCATCTCGGCGTCGAGGTATGCGCCGAGTCATCATGGCTCAATATCTTCTGCCTCATCATACAACCCACGCCACGGCTCGTTGGCTTCATCATACACATTATCTGTCTCTAGTAGTGCTACGAGCTATGCTTCTGGACGTATCTCACCTGGCATGATGTCGCCAGCCATAATCGATCCGGAGCTCGGAGCCATGGGCTACATGAATGCTAAGCCTCCAAACAACCAAAGTCCTGCGCCTCAGCACATAATGCCGCCGTATACTCGCACAATGTCCGACACGCCACTACATAACGCCCTCCACACTCCTGCGGACAGTGCACCACAATCACGTCACAATAGCTTGCCTGGTGTACAAGGTATCTTCATTTGCGACTGCTGTCCCAAGAAACCGAAAAAGTTCACTAGCGAAGACGACCTGAGGTTAGTCTTGAAATACTGACAAACTCTATTGCAAGCGCTTACTGACAATGTACAACCANGAGCCCATCACATGGAAAAGCAATACTCCTGCCTCTACTGTCCAAACCGCTTCAAGAACAAGAACGAAGCAGAGCGACATCAAAATTCCCTACATCTACGCCGTCACTCATGGTCGTGTAACGCCCTCACCACAATCGAAACAATATTCCACACCTCACCCAGCACAAACGGGGCAACAGACACTTGCGGCTACTGCGGCGACGAATTTCCCAATCCGGCAGACTGGAACAGCAGACGCGAGCACGTCCTGCAAACGCACAAGTTTGGCGAGTGCAACCAGACGAAAAAGTTCTACCGCGCCGATCACTTCCGCCAACATCTCAAGCACAGCCATGGGGGCACGAGTGGGAAATGGACTAATATGCTCGAGACGACGTGTATGCGTGACGAACCGCTGCCACAGCCAATGAGTATGACTGCAAACGTTCAGCCAGCGATGCCCATGATGGGTATGGCCAATACGGCGGGGCCGCCCATGGGCAGCAACAAACCAGATGTGATTGCGGAAATGCCGCATGAAGCATGACATTGAGGGAAGACACGGTTAGCGTGACACGATACCAAAAGACGCTGACGGCGGGGCACGAATGGCTCTGACCGTAAGCCAATGCCCATGCCCAGAGCATGACAGGACCGAGAGACAAAAAAGATGCGAGGGAACCTATCATCATTGATCATAGAAAGGCACACGCACGCATAGAAGAGGTCAGCAATGGCCACGGGGGTTTGGGGAGAGCCGTCTCCCTGACATGATGGAGTATACGGATGGATGGCTTTTGCATTGCTCTGCATTGCTCTGCATTGGCAAAAAGAACATCTGATCTCAAAACTTTTTCTCTTACTCACGACCAAAAAAGGATACTTATTTTTCATGACTATGGGGGGCAAGGAAATAGAGAGAGAGGCTACTAGATATTTCAGTAGAGCGATCATTTCTTTCCCATCCACCCCCAACACACAGGCGTCCTCTTCTGAGAAATCAAAATCATGGGGATTTGCAAGGATCAGCTGTGCTTGGGCTGATCAACATGGCATTGTTGTTTTCCGTGTTTGTTTATTCTGTTTCTGCTAATATTTCGATTGTCTATGCTATGATTTCTAGAAAATCCACACGAACCAAGTTTCAGTCCCGCTATATTTGGCGAGAGGGTAATATCAGAGATCCTTCATGGTCCGAGACGAGAATGTCCGAAGTGGCGTTTTTTTTTCTTGCAGTTCGAAAAAAGGTGTCGGGTTTTTGATGGAGGTGGTTCAGTGGGCTTCGGACATTGCTTGGTAATGGAAGGAGAGAAGGCTTGCTTGCTCTTCGTATTCGATGCAGTTGTCGATCGAGGATGCTTCGGCTTGGCGTAAGAGATGAGAGGTGTTTCTTTCCCCCTCTCTCTTTCGGCCTTTGCAATTGTCCGTACTGCGTGAGTCTTGGAAATCAAGTGAACGACATAAGCATAAGCAAGAGGTAACATGTGACAGACATGTACGAGGACTGGGCAGGTGCGTGTGACACAAGATCTGATGACAAGACTGCTCTCGAGACAAGCCTTTGGACAAGAGCCAAGATGGCACTTGTTTGGCAAAGAGAGGATTCGAAGGATGGATAGGCTTACGGGCGTACCGCAAGGTCGGTATTGCGCTGGCAAGAGTGATTATCAGATGCTGACAAGGGCTGGCGAGTGCATCCTGTGTCTGCCTCAGCCCTAGTGCTGACACGGCCTTGGCAGATGGCGGTGGCTGTGAAAAGGACAGGGCGTCGACGTGCAAGAGCGATGCGGCGGCTGCGCACATTCAGCAGTTCAGTGGCTCGAACGGCGATGGTGAGCAGGCTGCAGCTGCGGGTTGCCGTTGCGGCCTGCGGCAGGGCCATGCAGGACTAGGTGGTGGTGGTTTGGCGGGATTGACTGTCTCAGGGATTGCCAGACGGTACCGAAGGAAACAAAGAGGGATTGCGCAGGCGTTCCCTCTGGCGCTTTGCAGCTTCGGCATTGCGCATCTTCTCCAGTCGCATGTTGTAAAAGTGCTTCTGCAGCTGAAAGACACGCGGGCCGTCGTCGGTGCCTGTCTTTGACGCTGACGAGCTGTCGGCCTTGTCGGTCAGCGCCTTGATCTTGTCGTCTCGCTCCTTCTCGTCCTTGTCGTCCTTGTCCTTGTCTTTGGTGTCCTTGTCCTTGGCCTTGTCCTTCTTCTGCTGCTGCTTCTTCTTCATCTTTTCGTCAAACTCCTTCTTGACGGCAGCAATCTCGCGGTCCAGGTCTTCTTTCTTCTTCCTGTCGGCAATGGCCTTGGCTTCGTCGTCGGTCGGCAGGGCAAAGTTGCGGTCCTTGAGATGCGAAGGGCAGATGTAGAAGAAGTCCTTGCTGTCGGGGGTGATGAGGACGCTGGCCGAGGGCTTGTAGCAGACCATGCAGCCCTTTGCAGCCGTCTCGGCGACGCGCCGGTGGTGCCAGATGTTCTCCATGGCGCGGGTGGTGGTCTTGTCAAAGATGGGGATGCAAAAGGTGGAGAGTCTGGAGAGAGCTACAGAGGAAGTTGCGAGATCGGGGCCGCTGATAAGCGCGATAAGGAAGGAGCAACTATGACTGTATCACCATCTTTTTTCTCTCTCACCCATTGTCAATTCATTCTCTTTGATCCAATCTTGTCCATCTCGGTGCTGCTTCAATCTACTCTCCAATCCACCTCATTCCCATCGTACACATCACCGCAATCATGGCAGGTGCTCCTAGCAGCGAAAAGCTTTGGGGAGGTCGCTTTACTGGTAAGTCCACAGCTATCAAGAACGACACAAGACAAGCCAATTGACATGTCCTCAAGNGCGGCCAGGACCCCCTCATGACGGCGTACAACGAGTCCATCTACTACGACCGCGCCTTCTACTCGCAAGACATTCGTGGCTCCATTGCCTGGGCCCGTGCGAACAAGAACAAGGGCATCCTGAACGACCAAGAGTTCGCCGAGATTGAGAGAGGTCTCAAAGAGGTGGAAGAGGAATGGAAGTCTGGCAATTTCAGCATCAAGCCCGGCGTCGACGAGGACATCCACACTGCCAACGAGCGTCGCCTGGGTGAGATTATCGGCAAGAACATTGCTGGCAAGCTCCACACTGGCCGCAGCAGAAACGAGCAGGTCGCTGTTGACATGCGCATGTGGCTGCGTGAGCAGCTCGAGAACATCGAACAGTTCCTCGTCGATCTGCTCAAGGTCATTGCCAGCCGCTCCGAGCAAGAGATTGAGCACGTCATGCCTGGCTACACCCATCTCCAGCGCGCACAGCCCATCAGGTGGTCCCATTGGATGCTCTCGTACGGCCTCGCTTTCGCCAACGACCTCGAGAGACTTCGTGAGGTCAAGCAGCGTGTGAACCGCAGCCCTCTGGGTTGTGGTGCCTTGGCTGGAAACCCATTTGGCATCGACCGTGATGCCATGGCCAAGGAGCTTGGCTTTGACACCCTTATTTACAACTCGATGGCTGGCGTTGCCGACCGTGACTTTGTCGTCGAGACGATGCAGTGGGGAAGCATGCTCATGCTGCACCTGAGTCGCTGGGCCGAGGACTTGATCATCTACTCGAGCGCCGAATTCAACTTTGTCAGACTCGCAGACGCCTACTCGACCGGCAGTTCGCTCATGCCCCAAAAGAAGAACCCCGACTCGCTCGAGCTCATCCGCGGCAAGGCTGGCAGAGCGTACGGTCAGATGGCAGGTCTGATGATGACAATCAAGGGCATCCCTTCGACCTACAACAAGGATCTGCAGGAGAGCGTTGAGCCTATGCTCGACCACGTCAAGACTGTTGGCGACAGTATTCAGATCGCGACCGGTGTCCTCTCCACCCTCAACATCCAGCCCAAGAACATGATGGCTAGCTTGTCACCAGACATGCTGGCCACTGACCTGNCAGACTACCTTGTCCGTAAGGGCGTGCCGTTCCGCGAGACGCACCACATCTCTGGCAGAGTGGTCGCTCTCGCCGAAGAGAAGAGTACGCCCATGGACAAGCTTTCGTATGAACAACTGAAGGGTGTCGATTCGCGATTCGAGCAGGACATCCTAGAGGTCTTTGACTACCAGAAGAGTGTCGAGATGAGAAGCGCTTCGGGCGGTACTAGCAAGAGCTCGGTCATGGAGCAAATTCAGGTCATCAAGCAGACCATTGAGAAGAAGTAATGTAAAAGCTATGTAGAAATGTATGACTAGATTATTGTGATTCCATCTATGAATTGCCATGTAAAATCGTTGTTGCTCAAAGCGAGATTCAGAGCGACCCTGTCAACAGATGACTCCGCTTTCATCCCTCTGTACTTCGCATCACCACTTGTTCTCTCAACTATCCGGTCATTCACACGGGCGGTACTGCGCTGTCATGTCGGAGCCCACGCTCGAGTTGATCGAGACAGACGAAGCAGGAAACATTGTAGCCACATACGTCCAGACGACCAATGCCAAACGCGACGTCACAAGGGTAGACAGAATCGTAATCACTCTCCAGACAAACCACCACGAAACCACACGCGCTCACACCCAATCACAGGCACCCAGGAGTTCTCGAAAATCACTCAAGACACTACTCGACATTTTCCTACCAGCCGGATACCCTCACAGCGTGACCGAAGACTATTTGTCGTGAGTCGCAAATCATATACCAGGGTCATGGACACAGCATTGACGTTTTTTTTTTGGCAAAACGCTACAGATATCAAATCTATGTACGCTAACAACCAACTCGCAAATACGCATACGACCGTATCGGAACTGCCACTGATCCGAGAAACACCAACAAACAGNNGATTCACTGCAAGCATTTTCTAGCTCCATAGCAGGACTTTTGGCTTCCAGGGCAGTGCTCGAAGGTCAGTGGTGTTTTTGATTTGCGTTTTCGTCTATCTTGTCGTTTTGGGCGGAACGCCGCTCCGTCGCGTGCTAGAGACTTTACAGACGTCATTTTCGTTAATATGCATTTTTCCTCTCTGGCGACGACGAAAGCNTTATTAAGGGGGGTATTCAATTGACGTTTGGTATAGGTGTTGGCGTGGGCGATGCTTCGGCATCGGCTACCGGTGCGCTGTTGCTTTCCATTCTGCAGGAGAGCATGGGCAGGGTTGCGACGATAGTGTTTGCATCACATCGCGGCACTGCGTTGGAGCCAGAGTGTAAGCTTTACCGTTTGCTGGTATGTATTTTATGATATGAGTGGTTTTGTGCAACAGTGCTCTGAGACCTTTTCTCGCATGGCTATGTTGAGTCCACTGCTTGCAAGCTCTCTTCTGCTCGCTCTGTGAACGAAACCATCTTACGGACGACTTGCTGTGCAAATGACTAATTCGACCTTTGCGTGCGTATTTCTAGGNCTGATGTTTTCAACGATGCTGCCATGGTTCTGGATTGCCTGTCTCCCATGTTTCCGAAACCGACGAGGGTGCTCGTACTGGCGACGGCAAGCGTCTTGCGATCACTATGCGGCGTTGCTGCTGGCAGTGCCAAAGCAAGTCTCAGCGCGCACTTTGCTCGATGGGGAAACCTGGGAGAGCTCAATGCTGTAAGTTTCATGATTTGTTCCCACATCTCCAATTCTTGAAACACACAAGAACCTAAAATCTTTGTCTCTTGGCTTTGGAAAAGAAAAAAGATTGCTAATCTTGGTACCCCTTTTGCGCCTTGCTTCTAGAAAGATTCGAGTCAAGAAACTGTAATTTCGCTCGTGGGCATGCTGGTGGGCTGTTTGGTGGTCAAGGTTGTGACGACCCCTTTTGCGACTTGGACGACGCTGCTGCTGCTGTTGACGTTGCATCTTGCGACAAACTACATGGCGGTCAGATCGGTATGCATGCGCACGCTCAACCGCCAACGCGCCAACATTGTGTTTGCACATCTGCACGAGTACGATTGCGTCCTGAGCCCCAAGCAAGTGTCGGCCAAGGAACGCATCTTCGAGCGCGATGGCATATTGCGCGATGCGCAGGACAAGTGCTTGGGCTACTGCAAGATAGGAGTCCCCGCGTCTGAGCTGCTGCAGCGTTTGGGAAAGACGGACAGGCTGACTAGAGCAACTAACCTCCGTGACGGCCGACTACTGCAGCTGTTGGAGCTGTTCGAGGAGGAGAGCTACATTGTCTATCTGGAGCGCCCATCAAACGTGGCTTGCATCTTGTTGAAGAAGGGCAGTGATACTGCGGTTCAATTGAAGGCCTGGTACCATGCCCTGCTCCTAGCAGGGCAAGCCGGACAGGGTTTTGAAGGTGAGAAGGATGCTATGGATGCGGTTCAAAGCACACTTGTGGCTGTAAGGAAGGACTGGGAGAAGGTCCAAGCCAGGCTTGGTGAAGCAGGTTGGGACCTGGAGACAGCAGCGCTGGAGACAACCTCGGGCTCGAGAGTGGTCGTTCAGAAGTGAGTCGCAACTAGAGATTCTGGTAGATGCCCTCTGCTCTGTCCTCCGCACAATTCAACGACACACCATTCATCATCGGCGATCGTGAGAGATAGTGAGATACGAGAAGCTTGTCTGTGTCAAGAAGCACGTTCTCTCGAGTGCAGGGGACCACGGTCCACGGATCAGTGGTTGTCTCGAGGGTTTACGTATCGGGTGACGAGTCAGTGCGAGACGTGTGCCGAACCAATCACGCCAGAGTAGAGATCGTCGTCCAAGGGCACGAGACATGCACTGCACGCACAGAGGAAGCGGATGCCGGAAGGACCAAACTCCCTCGAGGTATGCGAGCCAGAAAGTTAAGCTTAGAGGCAAGCGTTTGATGTCCTTGCGATGGAACCTCTGCAAGCCTGCCCCTTGATCCTTGACTCTGATGTACCAAGGTAGACAACTTCAAAGTTTGCTCCGGCGCCTGTCAAGACATATCGCACCGAGTTTCACAAAACCAGGAGCAAATTGCATGAAAATGATGAAATAAGGGAGAATGACAAGCAAAACGGCGCAGCGCGAAATATGCGTCGCCGCTGCTGGTCACCGTCCCCCGGGCCCGAGTGAAGAACGAGCATAGGGATCAGCAATCTACAGACGTTATGACCAGCAGCAGTGATGTAGAGGTTTCTCGCAAAAGGGAAAAAGGACACATACCTGTAGAGATAACAAGTTAGACATCGAGTGAGACAGGTTGTCGCCATCTTCCGCAGCCGTTGGTTGTAATAATACTGTTTATACAACTGGTCGCCACGCTGGTGTCCAATCAGCCGGACTCCGGAGCGGCAAGGTTTCTCTCTGCAGCTGTGCGAACATGCCAACCGAGTTCAACAGCAACCAGTGGTTCCTGCGTTGGCCGAGAAGTCAATATCAACAAGAAAATAATGAATTGCTCGCGCTGAGGCAGAAACAAAAACCCAAACTGCTGGGGGCCGACAGAAGCGCCGGTCGGGAGTGATGACGGAGATGGCTACCCGGTGTGGCACGCAAACCTGAGCTTCGGCTCTTTGTGCTCTTCTAGAAGGAAAGCTTCGAAACTTGGTCGTGTTTCGAGCAGCTCGACCAATGGCACGCGGGCTTGCAGCCAAAAAGCCACAGCCAAACACGAGCACGAACAAGATCGACTTGGGCGATGCAGCGAAGGAAGGACGAGTCAACGACGGAGACTGGCAGCGACGTGGGACGATCGACATGATACATGCCCCTTTCTCTCACTCAGCGCAACGGGAAAGGGTCTTGAAAGTGCTCGAGCTTTTGCGGCGTGCCAACCGTCGACAGACTGTTAAGGCACGGGATGTTGAGTGCTACGGACGTACAGAGCAACAGAGAGGAGGCTCAGCCTTAGTCTCTTTGCGAACGGCTACCGGAGAAGGAGATTGACGTAGAGAACGACAACAAAGTTCAAACAACTGGCAGATTGACAGTCATGGGCCAACTCTGTTTACGACTGCCGTTGGCGGTGAGATGGCCCGCAGAGCAAAGCAAGCGATCGGTGATTCGACGCGCGCATGTCTCATTCTTGGGCATGATCAAACAAACAGAAGATTCAGACGGCGTTCGGGGATCAAAGAAGACAGGCCATGAGTGCAGTGGAGTGCAGCATGGCGGACAAAGGAATGGATCGCTGCGCCAACCCACACAAAAGAAGCGCCAGGCAGGACGAAATCAGCAGCCAATACCCGTGCATGGCGGCGCAGCCTAGTGGGTCGCGCGATGCCGCATCGAGCGTAGTCCGTTCTTACCAGTTTCTANGCGTGGAAGGTGCTGAATCCGTTAGCGCCTGCCAAAGAGGGAGGAGTACCTTCCTCCCGTGCCCTCGTCCTGCAAGAGCGCACCACATCACCTCACACACCCGTCCGGCCTCGTCTGGTCCTCCCTTCTTTTTCGATTTCCCTCTTGCCCACTCGCTGCAAAACCCCGCCCGCGGCTCGTCGATCACGCACCAAACGANNCCACTTACATCTCNNCAATCCTCCTGGACGCTGGTTACTCGCTCTTTCAATTCTTTCGCACAAAAGACGACGATACAAGGCCCGTCGCTCGCTCTTTCCCCGGACTCAATCTTCAACNCCTCAGCTCTTCTTACGGCCGGCCTACTGGTTTTACTGAAAATCGACGCCATACTTTATCATCTGTCTCTCGNNTTGTCGCCTGTTACTGCAATCACACTCCGATATACTCCTGCAGCTGCCCGTCACCAAAGAAATTCCCCTGTCGGATTCTGGCCCAGCTGTGCGACACTCCGTGCATAAGCGTAACCACGACAGCCGACGTCAGACACGACAAGCAGCGACAGCTTTAGAAACCNNCGCGACAACACCTTGCTTCTGGTTCATGTTTCGCCCTTGACCCACCGCAGCACAAGACAAGCCAGAGACTCGTGGGAGATTGACTCTTCCACTCCAATTTCCAAGCTGGCGCCTATATTTGAGCACCAGCGTGCCTCTGTCGGCACCCTGACCACAGACTCTACCCACAGCAACCCGCCTGCTGGAACCCGTCGCAAGAGCAGCAACGGCTTCTGGGGCAGCGTTATGAGCTCGCGCAAACCCTCACACTTCCAAACCGATTCTGCTCACTCTGCAAAGATTGCCATCTACTCATCCACCGCCGACTGTGACGCCGACGACGAAGCCACAATGTCCGCCGAAGAGGCACCACAGCAACAACGCCCTGCCAGCACTCACATGGCTGCATCTGCTCCCGCATCTGCAACATTGTTGACACGGCCAATGTCTTCGGAATCTGCACCTTTCTGCCCAAGGAGACCGAACCTCCGCGAGATTCTCGCAAACACAGCACCTGCACCTTGGACCCTCGCCGCCTTCATGGCCTACCTCTCCAACAACCACTGCCTGGAAACACTGGAATTCACCATGGATGCAGGACGTTACAAGAAGCATTTCTACAGAATGATGAACAAGGCTCCTATCCCTGGCCAACCAACGGAACACGATGCAACCTACGTCAAGGAACTATGGATTCGTTTGATGGAAGCTTACATTCAGCCCAACGGCTCGCGTGAGGTCAACCTACCCTCTCAGGTTCGCGATCCTATTCTGGGGCACAAGCCTGCAAACACACTCCCTCCGGAGCCTTCAGTGTTGGAGCCCGCTGTTTCCAAGACTTACGAGTTGATGGAGGAGTCAGTCCTGGTGCCCTTCCTCAACAGTGTATATCCCCAATCACCTACACCTGTCAGCCCCTACTACTCAAACAACTCGAATGAGAGCATGACGACGCCCGTCGAAGAGAAATCGTCACGCTTCGGTCGCCGCAGCCGTCACTCGTCGAGAGGTAGTCCCCCTCCTCTCAGTGCCAGCTCTGTCGAATTCTCCGCCTCGTCCTACTCACCTCCCTCACTCAACAACCGCAAGTCGGCTCCTTCGGCCCTCACTACTGCCCTTTCTCGTCACCGCTTCTCCACCAAGCTGAGCCCTACCAGCTCGGCTCCTTCTCACTCTCTGTCAGCTGCTCTCAGCACAACGAGTAGTGCATCCGATGCCATCTACTCAGGACCTGGACTTACCGACGACTCTGGTAGCAGCGGGTCGCCGATAAACGACTGCCCGATGACTCCGCCCGTCACACCACCGATGAGCGATCTCAGCGGTAGCCCCAGAACGCACAGGGACAGTGGAGCCTGGAAGAAACTGGGCCGCTTGAGCGGTTGGAAGCCGTCACGAAAACGGAGCCAGCCAGGTTTCGACCTCCACACCACATGAGGTCTTACAGGGGACTTCTCTTATGAACTAGAGTCCATCCTGATGACCGTCATGTTTCACGTCACGCAGCGAATGCATCAAAATGTTTACAATCATGGTTAGGCGCTGGGGAGTTTTTAGAGACTAGGGATCGTTGATGCTCCCCTGATGGGACCTTTTGGCATATTTCTTAGCACATTGGTTTTGAGATTGTTATCAACGAAACGCACGAATGGACGGACGGACAGACAGACAGCAAGAGCTGGGCTTCTAGACCGCGGGGTGGGTCGTGTACGAAGATGTCAAGGGCCGATGGCCGATTTTGACTTGTTTATTTGCGACACGCGAGCTCGACCTTACGAGGCAGCCAGAGAACTGTAACAATATTTTTAACTCCTTCTTGATGCATGGGCTCAATTTACAGTGCAGTGCTTGTGATGTCTAGAATGTAATGGATGCTGCCGGCCGCTAGAAGAGGCTAGCTGAGTGACGCAAGTACGGCAGCCAAAGACGCCATGTGTCGCGGCAGGTGAGTGGTACGGCGTAGCACAGCAGGATGCAGCCCAAGCAGATGCACTAGACCGTTTGTACATGGTATGCGTTCCCGACGTGAGGTGACGGCCAGCAAGCAGCAGCACCACTGGTAAGGACGATCGATGTGCGGCTCGGCCTGCTCCTGCTGGGCGGGCATGTGGTGATGCAGCGGCATATCTAATGACATCACCTTCGGACATGGGTGCTCGAGTTTGTGTATGCGTACGAATGGATCTCGCAAGCCCTGCTGATGGACGCGCACAAGAGACGTCAGGAGGACGATTCTTTCTGTCAATCCTGTCAAGTCTACCCACAGCCATGTCAAGTGCTGACACGGCCTGCTTAAGCCCTTAATGTCGCAGCACAGTCAAGTATACGAACTGCCAGGCGACCTCCCTCCAGTGGCCGAGTTGCCAGGTGAATACCTGCCGACAGAATTATCTGCCAATCGCTCTTCCAGAGGAAATGATCATGGACACTCAAGAGAACCATCTGATGGCTTGATGCCTCCAACACCATATTCGAACGATCTGCTGCCAACGCCTTTCTCGGCTTTCTCTGCCATCTCCATCTCCTCGAATCCGTCGCTGAAGCCTTCCCCGCTCAACTTTTCGCGCCCCAATTTCTCGCGACCACGGCCAGTAGAAGCCACCTCGTACAATTTTGGCAGCCAGGCTGGTCCCATCCCCGAATACGATCCGGACAATCGTCCGACACTCTCTGATCATGCTCAGACGTTTTGCGATTTTCACCTCGAAGAGANNAAAAATGTCGATGGGGAAGAGGATGACGATGGTGACAGGACGCCTGCACCGTCAGTCATGACATATGCACAGGAATACACTCCACGACATAGTATGGATGGAGCCAGTATAGGAGGGGCCAGCATTGACGAGGCTGTGCCGCCTCCGATAAGAACATATGCAGACCTGAGAGACATGAAATTGCCGAGGGACAGCACTGATGGTGATTCTGTTGCTGAGGCCACACCACGTGCAGTACACGCTCTTAAAAGCTCTGGAGGCTTCAACCACGATTTTAGCACCTTGAACATCTCAAGAGGTGATAGCATTTATGAAGACTTTCCCAAACCTCCTGGCACAGAAGGACAATTACGAAAAGACTCGCAGGCACTACCGCCACAAGTCAGGGCGATCGTCGACGATGCTACTTCCTCATCCTCTGGACAGAGCGCTCATCCTCTCGCACGCATGAATACCACAAGCTCCATAGCTAGCAGTTTTGACGAGGCCGCACCACCTCCTGTATCGATACGGAGACACCAATTGCCACATATGGACACCGAGAGTTCGAGAGGAACCAAGTCTTCCAATCAGACAAAGACCTCGAGGGTGGACAGTGTTGTGGATCCATCTCCAGGCATTCCACCAAGAAACATTGCACGCAAAGAGCCCTTGGAAGAGTCTGGTGCAACAAAACTGCTCATATACAAGCCGTATCTCGATTATGCCTATAGTCAACCATCGAGTTCAACACGCACACCCACCAGTCAAGAGGAAACAAATTCAAACTCTGGAATCGACAGCGACCGGAGATACAGCTCAGCAGGCAGCGAGGCCAGTTCAATGGCCGACTTTGCTTTTGATGGTCAACTAGGATGGAACCCACGCAGCGACTCCGTTTCTGCCAAGGAAGCTCAACGTCAGCAGCGATGGTCAGGTTCACTCACGAACCCCTTGAAACTAGTGACAGCTCGGTCTAAGGGCAAGGAGAAGCAACAGTCACCAATGCCGACCATGCAGGAGCAGCCATCACGGCAAAGCTCGAATACAAGCTCGCATCACGCTCTTTCACCAACGTCGAGCAGGGCATCCACGGGCACTGGCAGCAGTGCTTCCAGTAGAGCACCAACCATTCCTGCACGTATCCCACGTATCATCAAACGCACATCCATTGATCAAATGTCCGAGCACGTCAATCCCTGGCAAGGCGAGAGCATGAGTGACCGTGGTAGCGTATCCAGCAACGAGTGGACGAGCAGCGAAGTCGACACTTCGAGTCTGAGTGTCGAGAAGATACACAAGCTCAAGAAGAAAGGAATCAACCCTGCTCTGTACATCGAGATGCAGAACGCGCGCAAAGGAAAGAACAAGTGGATTAGTCCTTTGCAGGGCAACTCGTTCATCTCTTGATTGTTCCTCAAGGCATAGCTCGTGCGAGTACTTGCCGACGATGCTACTATGGAAGCTCGGCATACATCTCACGAATCAGGCTCGCTATGATACCGGCGCCCTCCGGACGCATAGTGCACCCAACACCTCTACCTTACACAATTCGAGATCAAAGACCCATGTGGGCGCTTTTCCATACTCTGGTTCCCTCGCTACGCCTCAAAACGTGGTGACGGCGTGGCAGAGGACCACAGTCACGACAACAATACCCACGGTTAAGATGACTCGCCGTCTCTCATGACTCCTCTCCCATCCACCGTTGTCACCGTGCCGCAGTGTCTTCGACCAAGTTTCTGCTCGAGCAGCAAGTGCAGGGTAAGCTTTTTCTATTGTATGGAAGAAGCCGTTCTTGTGGTGGAGCAAAAATACAGAACGAGAGCGAGCAATTGTCGTTGCAACGGCTGGTTTATCTGGATGTCTCGCGGCTTTGCCAACGTTTTGGGGCTTCGCTTGTGGGATGGGATAGCAAGGAAATCTGGACCTTTTTGAGGTGTTGGAATTATGACGATGGGAGCTTGTCTACATAAGCGAGTAATGGGGTATGGTATGCTGAATAGAAGCTATGCTACAGTGGCGCCAAAGAAGAAGCGAAAATGTGTTGGATATCAAGTGTACCCTTGTGCCGTTCATTCCCAAGTTCAATCAGTCTAAACACGTTTTTTTGATTCACGTTCCTTTGAAGGATTGCGTGTACCTTAATTTTTGCTTATAGATAGTAATGACGTGTTGATGGACTGGTCTCCCAGCGTATCTCTGGGTAGGATCAAATAGATTGGCAGATAAATCCATCTATGGTTTGCGGGTGACACCTCTTTCCCGAAAGCATCACTGACAACCTACTAAGATGTGTATTCGGCATATGGTCCTCATTACCCTGTACCTGTTTTTTTCTTTGTTAGATCTGCAATTTTTTTGCGAGTAATCTGGGCATTCAAACAGTTTGTTCCGTTGTGGTTGAGCATGGCGTTTTGGCCAATTTCTCTCGACGCATCGCTATTACCACTGATCATCTATTTTTTCCAGCACTGAAAACACCGTTATATGCCGATCTTCTCACTGGCTATCAGGATACAAGGCTGTTGAAAATAGCTTGTGGGTCATCACTTCCTAGATCCAGCATCCACTTGAGTCTGGAATTAGTGTCTAGAAGGTAAAGAAGAGATCATCCAAGACTTCAAGGATGTAGAAAGCAAATTGACGATCAAGGATACAATCGACAACGTATAGAAATGGTTAGCGATAAGGAGAGACAGCAGTTCTTTCTAGCTCGTATAACTTCTAATCAAAGGCATGTGTGCAGTGTGTTTATAGGGTTCTCTTGGAAATCAGCTGAACGCCCGCGACCTATATCTCCTAAGTCTAGCAAAAAGTAAAGATCAGCGTTGTAGGATAAAGAAGGTTGTGGGAATAGCTTTACTATACAGCTAACTGAAAGGAAGAGAAGAGGCAAAAACAGATGCAAAAACATACAGCAGCAGGGATTCCCACGTGGTCACCCACCGTAGTACTAATCTACCGTTCAACTGCTTATGTATGGCAGAGCGGACGGGATGCCCAGTTTTCAGCTGACTGTGGCCGTATGTGCTTGATTCGCTGTTTGAAAACACTATAGACCATCAAAAAGATGATTCTGCTGCTTGATCACATACAGCTCCTAGTATCCGGACAAGGAAGGAAGTCCACGAAGAAGATCCCCAGTATCGACTAGGGCTCCGAAGTAAGCATTACAAGCTACACGAGACAAGACATATATCTATATGCTGCGACACAACGACAGGTTGTTCAAGATCCGCGTGACTTTGCGTCCGCTGCCCCATCTACCTATCTCTGACACCAGCTTCGACCCTTCCAACAGAACACGCTCGGGAGCTCCAGCGCCGCGGATGCTTCCCACGCCTCGAAGCATCGGTACCATATCCCTGCCATCGTTGACGAATGATCGCGCCAGGTCAGGGTCAAGCGGTTGATCTATGGCGATGTTGATGGGATGTATCTGTGTGTCTGAATATCGTCGCTGTGTCGTCGGTTCAGTATTGGTCGCCGCTGTTGCGAAGGACCCAAATGCCCAAAGCGTCAATATGGCGAGTAAAACCGCTGATGGCTCATAGAAGCTGTTCGTGTGGAAAGCATGTAGATGGCGCAACAATGCTCCTGCGTGCAATGCTGCTAGTCGAGCTCTGTTCGCGTCCTCGATGGCCCATTTGCGTATCGTCGTACGTAGATTCGTCATCTGTGCTGAGTTTATACTGCTGTCTTCTTTCGTCATGCCGTATGCCAGATCGCAGATGCTCTGGAACGGTGCGAACAGCACGATCCTTGCGAGATGGAGGTGTAGTAAAGTGGGATGCTCCATGCCAGACGCGGCGTTAACGACATTGTTGGCACTCCACTCGAGCACTTCGAGAGATCCTGAGACTGAGTCTCTCCAGAGCGCATACATCGATATCTGGTGTGGCTGTGGTTGACTTTGTACCTCAGCCTTCTCCAACTCCCAACATTGGTGATAGAAGCCATGGATCAGGATTATGCGACTGAACTCGCCCATTGTGTTCTGTAACGTTCTTTCGTTTTGGAGGGATTGTAATGATGACAAGAGTGTTAGGTTCGCTAGTTTGTCAGTCATGTCCCAGAATCGAAGGCTTCGTAGCAGCTTACAAGGTGAGAACTGGAAGATGTGGTGCCATTGCAGGGCCGTCTTAGCTTCCCAAAGAACCTCTTGGCATGGAAGAGGCATTCTTCCATCTTCCAGTGTGAGTCTTGGTTGTACCTGAAACTGATATGCCCACATCGTATCGAGCATCTTTGGAGCACATTAGTATGTGGTACAGATAACGTCTAACACGACACTCACCCATATCGCATATCCGGTACGTCGACAAGACTCGAGCTGGACCCATCGCTGCCAGAACTCGGCTTCTTGGCCCTCGGGAGCAAATGTTGTGAATCCTGTCTCTGACATCTTCCATTCGAGCTGACAGAACGAAATCAAATCCGTCAAAAACTCGTTATAAGCAGATTCTTGCCAACTCTCCTCTCCGCTGTATATCTGGTTGATACAGGCTAGTAGTTTTGCCTGGCAGAGCGTGATGCGATCGATCGTGTCGTGAGGATCNCTGAAGACAATCAGTACCGCCGAGCGTGGACACACCACAGAGAACGCTCTTACCAAAGCCGAGATCGCCCGTCGCAGAAACTCGTCGAAACACACGGCGTATTCCTCAGATTGTTCAAAGTCCGACATGTGACTTCCGATAGTCACAACAGCCAAGCTGAGGATCCAGTGACTTCCGTTGAGATCCAATGTTGGGTGGTGAAGTATAGGCATCACAGGATGGAATAGATCCAGATATAGTTTGACAAGGGCGTTCAGGGTGTTTCTCGAAGGAAAACAGCTCGATCCATATGGCGGTTGATAAGCCGTCAGACCTGTACAGACAGCCATGAAAGATCTGTGAATACTGGAATATGTTTGCTCGGACAACATGTTAAAGCTTGTGTAGCTATCATCTTGGAAGGTCGGTAGGACGTCACCAGATAGTGGAAAGTTGAGTCGACGCCTACGACTTAAGTAGCTAGTCGCGGGAGTGAACGACCTGTGGAACGACCCGCGGATATCTGACCTATCGAAGGGTGGCTCTTCTTGATGGCTGGCAAACGTGAATCGCGAACTGGAACCGCCAGAGTCCAGGATAGCAGTCTTAGACCTCAGATTGGGCGTGAGCCGAGGTCTCCTGGACAACTGATCCAGACTTGCATGACGATCTCTCAAAAACGGAGAGCTGTAGGGTATCTCGAATGAGCCTTCCGTGCCAGCGTATGATCCTTCAAATGGTGACAAAGCCGCTTGTTGCGTGTGATTATCATGTGACAATAGACCTTGAGCATACGTTGGGAGCGATCCTGGGATGGAGAGTGGAGGCTGAGATGCTATTTCTTGATGTGAACTGTAGCCCCATGGCTCTGTAGCGTTGGTGATGTGTTGTTCTGGAAACGGCACACTGTGGCCGATATATGGTAGTGACTGCTCCAGCTGCCGAGGAAATGTTACAGACTCGAGTGCTGATGATTGGACGTTTTCAGACGTTCCGGGCGTCGAGGCGTAGTCTGATACAGCAGATGACGGAGAGTCCAGGGCTTGGGCAGGACTCGCGGCACTCGGATAAACACAATCGACGACTTTCATGCTGCACCTCTCGCAGGGCATAGTACCATTGCAGCGAACCTTGCTATTTGCACACTCTTTGCAGGCTCTTGCTCCTTTGAGCTTGGAGACTCCAGGGTCTTTTTGGTGAATCAGTTCGTGTCTCTGTAGGGTGTCCCTATGCAGGAGGTCAGTAACCCAATCAGTCCGTCGAGAAGGTGACATANNCAGTCGATTGAACCCTTTATTACATGCTGCACACTTGAAAGATCGAGTCTCACCATGGCTATTGGCATGGCGTCTTAGGTGTTCAATGCGGCCAAAGATCCGATGGCATTGAGGGCACTGGAAGCTCGTTTCTTCCCGCCTCCTTCTCTTCCTGTCATTGATAGAGCTCGACGACGTATCAGGTGCCTCAGGTGCCTCCGGAAATTCTTCTCTGTTGAGATTGTTATTCTGGAACATGTTCAAGCAGCAGGTCGATGCAGCTTGACGTTACCCAAAGCCACAAACGTGAGACGTGCGCCGGTGACACTTCTCGCATTGCAGTGGCGGGATGAGGAGACTGGGGCAGGAGCTGGGGTAGATGAGGATGCATCATTGTTGTATTAATATTAGCCGCACTGTCGTCTCTGCGAAACTGACGTGCGATGATGGGTTGTGGAGGAGAGCAGCGGGGTGGAAGAAGGAAGCTCGGTTAAAGACGTCGAGTCGTCAAATCAGCCGAGCCTGGAACCATTGCCCAGAAGCACTTCTAAGCACACGTTCGCAAAACACGAGATCGGCTTTGGTTGTTCAACTCAATTCGTGAATTGTACCTTATTATCCAATCTGCGGATTGACAAGCATGCGACGTTGTGTTGCCCCTCGAAGTCTACCCTTGCCTCAATGACCGACTTTCTCCTCATCTTCAATCGCCTCCTCATCGAACTTATTCGCTGGTTGTCCTTCTTGCTCCATCATCTGTCTGGCCCAAGAGCTTTTCTGTCGTAACTCGAGGCCGTATCTACCCAAAATGAATGGAATGGGCATCAAAACAAGCGCCTGACAAACCAATATGAGACCTGCGTACTGAGTGCCTTCATTGACATACATCCTAAGAAAAAAGTTAGCTTGATCCCACAACTGGTCTGTCAAGGCAATATATACATATTGCCGACCAAAAAGAGGGAACCCAGCACCTGCCGCATTCCTGGCTAGCCCGACTGCTGCGAGAGCAGATGCACTGAACTCGCCATAGCTGTCTCCAATGTACGTGTATGTCGTCAAGACGAGGACATAGAAGCTCCAACCCCACAGACCACTGGCTATAACAGGGCCGAGCCAGCTCAACCAGACATACGAAGTAAAAGCAAAGATGAACAAACTGATAGGAAATGTCACTGCAGCAATTTGGCGAAGCTGGCCTTGCGCTTCAGGGATATTCTTTCCACCAGCCTGCTGAATTCTTCTCTGGTAGTAACGCTCTTGCCAAAGATTTGTCAATGGCCCAAGAGAGATCCCAACACATATACCGAGGAAGGTAAGTCCGACTTGGTAAGTCTCAAACCCCTGCCAGAAGGTCCAAAGATCACACTGAATGCGCCATTGAACGAGAAGCTTAGTCCGTAGAGATAACCATTGTACAAAGCTGCGAAGATCACGATAGATGCTCTAGCCGAATGTTCCGATTTTACTCGAGACTCCAAAATCTTTCGCAAACTTGATCACTCATGCCTGTTGTAGAGCAGTTCCCGACGGAAAACAGATACATCCGTCTCTTGGTTGTTGGCTGTTATGTTTATTGATAAGTCAACCATTGCTAGGACCTGTTCAATCGATCTGGTACGACGTTTGCCGAATCAAGATCTGATGTGCGTAAGATCGCCATTACTTTTTTTTTGGTGATCGACGGCCTGCGCTTGCCCTATAAAGTTGTTGCGTCCACGACACGACTGGCCCGCACCGCGAACAACACACCACCGCAGACAGCACTGGTTCAGGAGTGACTGACTCTCGTATATTGAGATTGTGGTAGCAACTCTTCAGAAATGCAGCATCTTTACATATCACATGGAAACCTGCCATAATCCATGACAATAGCAGATTTTGATAGATCTAGTAGTCTCTGGAACAGTTTTGAAGGGAGACACATTAGACAGTACTCTGTGGAAAGCGACAAGCAGATAAAACGACTGATACAACGTTCAAGAGAGTTGGTTAGCGAAGATCTAGTCGCCGCATTCATCGCAATAACAGCATTCTTGACATGCCCGGGAGTTTACGCGTACTGCGAGCACATCTCTCTCGCACGGGAATTTGGCGCGCAAAAGGAGCTGAAGAGTGTCGGTCTTGACATCACACCCAAGAGCACGACGCAGCGCTGGGACAGACAAGGATTGTTGGTTCCTTTCTGAGCCAAAGGAAAGCTCGGTGGCGTACTACGACAAGCCGGTCGTGATTCTAGGCGTCACGAATGACTTCAGGGCGATTCTTGCTTTTATACTCCACAGGAGCATGTTCAAGGCTCCAGACTTGTCAGCAGCGGGCTCGCCAGCGACAAGCATCGTGTTGTCGTGCGAGTTCAAGCTGACGTAGGCAAAGTAGTCGAATTTGTCGTTGCCCGGCAGCCAATCCGATCTCGGCATGGGAGCGACACAAACCAGCATATCGTGCAGTGTGAGGCTGGAAAGGCGGTCATAAGTGGCTCTGGACATGTTTCTCTGGGGCAGTGGATTGGTCGAAAGAAGGATCCATGCATCGACTGAGAGAGATTGTCAGAAGCGCCAGATGCAGAACTTCAACACAGCATACCGAGGATCTTGGTCAACAACCGATCGCCAGTCTGCACGACAGCCGTTATAGAAGGGGTAGCAGGCACTCGAACCTTCTCCTAGAACTCGAAGATTGATGGATTGAGTAGCAAGTTGCGAGTCTGCTCGATTGCACGAGTTCGAGCCTTCAGGTCCAGCTGTGTGACATGTCGGCGCAGTGCATGATAGCCAACGCAATTGCACACAAACACGGGGTACTTTGCCGACTCGGCCATGTTGGTTGTAACAATGGAAGCCGATCTGAAGAAGTAGGAATGGTGATGTCGAATGTATGCAAGTGCAGGTCAGCAGTGTGGCATCTTGGAGAGGCTCGGAAGTGCGGAGGTGTCGGAGTTGAGGTTGAACGCACGTCATTATAACTCTGGTCGAATAATCGAGTATAACTTAGGACGAACACTTCTATAATTGCAAAACCCATTCAACACTTCAAATATATATCCTACAGAAACATGTCGCCAAGATCGCTTGACTTTCACACCGCGCTGGTCACCGGAGGTGCCGGTGGTATTGGACGAGCCATTGCTGAATATTTCATTTCACAAGGAAAGAAGGTCATCATCGTGGGCCGTACCGAGTCCAAGCTACAAGCGACAAGCAAAGAGATTGGCACTGACTACTATGTCTTGGACACCGGTGACATCAAGTCCATCCCAAGCTTCATTCAGAAGATCACAAAAGAGCATCCAGAATTGGACTGCCTAGTCAACAACGCCGGAGTCCAGAGACCTCTCAATGTGAACGACATGTCAGCTGAGGAGTTCCTCGAGAAGGGCGACGCTGAGATCAATATCAATGTCCGAGGACCCATGCATCTCGCTGTCGGGCTTTTGCCTCACTTCAAGTTGAAAAAATCAGCCGTCATCATGAACGTCTCGTCAGTTCTTGGCTTCATTCCATTCAGCATCATCAACCCAGTTTACAACGGTACCAAGGCCTTCGTACACTTCAACACGATGAACCTGAGATCTCAGCTGGAGCAGGCCGGATCGTCCATCAAGGTGATCGAGATCGCACCGCCGTCTGTTGGCACCGACTTGCACAGGGAAAGAGAGGACCCAGACGACAACAAGAAGGACAAGAACGCCAGTGCTCTGTCTGTCGAAGAGTTCATGGATGAAGTGAAGAAGGGCTGGCAGGAGGACCGCGATTGCATCGGAGCCGGTATGAGCCAAAAAGTGGTTGACAGGTGAGTTCGGACATGATCCTTTGAAAGCCTTCGGAAACGATATTAATTACTTCCANGATGGTACAACGAGTTCGGGCCCGACTATGCAAAGGCTGAAGGCAAGGGAAAATAGACAATTGATTGTTTGGCGGAAGGATGGGCGTCGCAAGCGCCGGGTGACGGTTTCCACGCCAACTTCTCCACGCGAAACAAACAACATGGTCCAACTCTCAGGCACCATCATTACCATCAAGAAAGACGGTGCGCCTGACAGAGAGCTAATCTTAATCCACCATCTTTTGCTTCGTCATATCTGAGCTTTGCCTGACCGCCGTTTTGATCTGTTGACCTCTGAACTCACAAGCGTCTTTTTCCAGTATGCACATGGCGTGATTGCAAGCAGTTACATCTTTACATTCCTCGCCTACCTAGTCTACGCCAACATGGGCTCTCGCTATGGCGACCCGTCTGTCTACAGTGACAACGAGGGTTCGTCTGGTTCGCGCAATGCCTCAACCATGAGGCTGCTCACGCACATCGACGAAAGTCCCTTCGAAGAGTATGTCCAGCAACCTTCACAGCCCCAGAAGTCGGTCCCAGTCGACGACAAGACAGAACAGCACACTCGCTCCAGATTCAGCGTGCCTAGAAAGCAACCGAAAGAGCGCAATGCCATCCAAGACCTCCTTGAAGAGGCTCAGACGTCCCTGTCGACAAGCAAGAAAGACAAGAAGAACCACAACTTAACAAAGTCGTCTAGAGAAGCCGCCGAGGAGATCCCCCCATGCCCGCTACCTTCGTCCCATACCACCCTTCGCGCCCGCCCTCACGAGCCGTCTCGATTGTTGACGGAGCCCCCAACCTCCCGCCTCCCTCGGATGCGCCGCCCTTCTACTACGATCGACCCTCGTCTCGTAATTCGCACTCTCCTTCGCGCTCGTGGTCACCTACCCGTACCTCCCTCGATTATACCGTCCCGCCCACGTACAATGCCCCCTACGAACCCGCCGACATCAACGGTAGCCCGAGACCTGGCTCACCTTCTAGTAAATATGGTGGCAGCTCAAAACGACCCCTTCCACCAGCACCACTCTTTGCTGGTGTGCGCCCAAACTCATCCGACGGCGACAAGGACCTCTCGGACATGACAGCCATACCCATCGATGGCGACGACGATCCGTTCACCGACGACGAGCGACCGGACCTGCTCAAGACCGACTCGTTCGTGTCAGATTCAACCTATAACGACGACGATGACTACGACGAGAAGGGAAACTACGAGCTCGCTCCAGATGGAAAGCAAGAACGCCGCGGCGCAAGACCTGCAGTCATGTCCAGGAAAGAAGTCAAACTCATCAACGGAGAACTGATCCTAGAGTGCAAGATTCCCACCATCTTGTACTCTTTCTTGCCGCGTCGCGATGATATCGAGTTCACGCATATGCGTTACACGGCCGTCACATGCGACCCCAACGAGTTCGTCGAGCGTGGCTACAAGCTCCGTCAGCAGATTGGAAACACAACCCGCGAGACCGAGCTGCTCATCTGTATCACCATGTACAACGAGAACGAGCTCGACTTTACCCGCACCATGCACGGTGTCATGCGCAATGTCGCCCACTTCTGCAGCAGACAAAAATCTAGAACTTGGGGCAAGGACGGCTGGAAGAAGATTGTCATCTGTATCATCGCCGACGGTCGCAAGAAGGTTCATCCTCGAACGTTGGACGCTCTTGCTGCCATGGGTGTATACCAAGACGGTATCGCAAAGAACTCTGTGAACCAACGTGAAGTCACTGGCCATGTGTACGAGTACACTACCCAAGTATCTCTGGATCCCGATCTCAAATTCAAGGGTGCTGAGAAAGGTATCGTGCCTTGCCAGATGATATTCTGCATGAAAGAAAAGAACGCAAAGAAGCTCAACAGTCATCGCTGGTTCTTCAATGCCTTTGGGCAGGCCTTAAAGCCCAATGTCTGCATCTTGCTGGATGTTGGTACAAGACCAGGAGACACTTCGTTGTACCACCTGTGGAAGGCATTCGATAACGATTCGAATGTTGCAGGTGCCGCTGGTGAGATCAAGGCCGGCAAGGGCAAGAATTGGCTCGGTCTCTTCAACCCGCTCGTGGCGTCTCAAAACTTCGAGTACAAGATGTCCAACATCTTGGACAAGCCACTCGAATCCGTCTTTGGCTATATTACTGTCTTGCCTGGCGCTTTGAGTGCTTATCGATTCCACGCCCTCCAGAATGATGAGACTGGCCACGGACCTCTCAGCCAGTATTTCAAGGGCGAGACGCTCCATGGCCAAGATGCAGACGTTTTCACCGCCAACATGTACCTCGCCGAGGATCGTATCCTTTGTTGGGAGTTGGTCGCCAAACGCAACGAATCCTGGGTGTTGAAGTATGTCAGACAAGCCACTGGTGAAACTGATGTACCTGGTAAGAGAGTGTCGAAAAAATACCTCTGAATTTTGCTGACCTTTTCAGATGCCGTCCCAGAATTCATTTCTCAGCGCCGCAGATGGCTGAATGGTGCATTCTTCGCCGCAGTCTACTCTCTCCTGCACTTCAAGCAGATCTGGTCCACGTCACATTCTCCAATTCGCAAAGCCCTACTCCACATCGAGTTCATCTATCAGTTCATCCAGCTCACTTTTACCTGGTTCTCGCTTGGAAACTTCTATCTCACCTTCTATTTTGTTGCTGGTTCTCTCTCGGACCCAAAGATTGACCCTACTGGTGGAAAGGTCAATCTCTGCAAATACGTTTTCGCCGTTCTGCGATATGCTTGTATCTTGACTATCGCTATGAACTTCATCTTGAGCATGGGTAATCGACCACAAGGAGCAAAGAAGATGTTCTTCGGCTCCATGATCATCTACGGAGTTGTTATGGCTTACACCACCTTTGCTTCAATATGGATCGTAGTGAAGGAATTTGGTGGAGGCAAGATGCACCTTGGCAATAACCTTTTCACCAACTTCATTGTCAGCACTCTCAGCACGATTGGACTCTACTTTCTGATGTCCTTCCTGTATCTGGACCCTTGGCACATGTTTACCAGTTCTGCTCAGTACTTTGGCATGCTGCCCAGCTACATCTGTACACTCCAGATTTTCGCTTTCTGCAACGCGCACGATATCTCTTGGGGCACAAAGGGCGACAACACCGTTAGTACTGATTTGGGAGCTGCCAAAGCATCAAAGGGCGGCACCGTCGAACTTGAAATGCCGAGCGAGCAGCTTGATATCGATAGCGGCTACGACACCGCTCTTCGCAACCTTCGTGACCGCGTCGAGGTTGTTGAACCACCACCAAGCGCTGCACAGCAACAAGAAGATTACTATCGCGGAGTCAGAACGTACATGGTGACGATCTGGATGTCTACCAATGCCATCCTTGCCATGGCCGTGAGCGGAGCATATGGCGAGACTGGCATCTCCAACAACGTCTACCTCAAGTTCATCTTGTGGGCTGTCGCTGTTTTGGCCTTGTTCCGTGCCATTGGTTCTTCGACTTTCCTTCTCATCAACGCCGTCCATTCGATCATGGAAGGCAAGTTGAAGTTTAGCGATCGCAGCTCCACTGGTAGTAAGACTACCTCGAGAAGACGATACGGTTGGCGCAGCAAGATTCCATCCTTTAGCTTCCTCAACGGAAGTGGTACGTGGATTAGTGATAAAGCTGGAAACACAACTGTGGGGGTCAAAAAAATCTTCCGCAAATGATCTGAATGACTTGCTTGCACCTCTTTGTTCCAAGCCATGAGATAGATGAACGATAAATCGGCGTTGGACTTCTCGGATTTCGTTTCTCGGTGGACAATGAATTGGTGGGCTTTTTACGTTGTAACGCATGTATTGTAATGACCTTGTACTCGAGTACA